GCGATCATACCAACACTTGCGGCGTTATGGACAGGAAGCCGCATCCCCCCACCGTCGGGAATACCTACATACGGACGTAAATAACTATACCATCAACACCCCCTTGCCAGGTGACTGGTGCCGGATCGTGCGGCGAGAGAGTCTCCCACCCCAACATGTGGATGCTGGAATAGAGGCTGCGGACTCCCCGTGCACGGAGAAAGAAAGGGAGGGGGCGCCCAATACGGACGATCTACGCACCGCCCAACAACCCCATGTGAGGCTCACACACCCCCCCCCAGGAGGGAGGAAGTGATATCAGTGGAGCCAGAACACCTAAAAGATTTAATGTTAAAATCTCGGAGTGTACGGTTGCCCATAGCAACGAGGAGGAGCGTCCCACATGGAGAGGGGAGAGAAAGCATAGAATGACAACCCGCTCGATCAGTAAGGGGAGGAGTAATGAGAGCGGTTTGAGTGCCAAACAACGGGAGGGACCGGATGTAAGGAAGACTGGGATGGAGAATAAAGACATGATTGCTTAGGCATACCATACTCAGATAAGAGCTGTTGACACGACAAAGGAGGAGAGAGGTATACAATTGGGAAGGGATATTAACCCACAGTTAGTGGAACCCTATCCCCATCATAAGACACAAGAAAACATCAGATCGAATCCTCCCCCCGATACGGCAGGCGTTGGTATTATCGGAAGAGGAGGGGATGTAAGGTTACTAACGCCTCCAAAGACCAACAGTGGAGAGATAGGGAAGGGCATCCGAAGAAAAGAACATAATGTTATAGACACATCTTGGTTATCAGCTGGCCAATTAGGGCCAGTAACACGGTCTAGGAGCCGTGCGCAAACGTTACTTGAACCTACTTAAACCACCTTTATTGCAATGGCCTTTTAGCCCTGACGATGCTGGGGAGTTCCCCCAGCGAAAGCTTGGCAACTTTTTAGTATAAGTATAGTATATTTTTAGTAAAGTATTCTTACTTTAACCCTCCCGGTGATCGTGTTTTATTCTTTTATTCATAATTATGCCCAGGAGTCGCATTTTTACTATATATATATATATTGTGGCTGTTGTTTATTCACTTTCTCTGATATCTTTTTTAGATTGGTCATGTAATGCTTTTCCTTGCCAGCATTCTATTCCTGTTTTTATTACTTTACTCTGATATTCATATTTTGCTTTGTGTGCATTCAGTAAGTTCCAATTTTTAACTTGCATCAATGCTTGTTCATAGCTGTCTTTTACATAATCAGCAAATGCATGCTTTTCTTCTTCAACAGTTTGTTTGCTTGAAGTTAATCTCTTCCCCTATATCCATCTATCAGTATCATTATGGGGATGTAATACATAGTGAATTTTCTTGTTTTTTTGGTCCAAACTCTCCAGTTCAGTTTATGTCCATTTAATAATTCCAGCAGTGTGTAGCATTACTGGCCCAGGTATTGATGATTTTGATGCTGTATCCACCATTTATTTTTGTTTGTAGCACTTTTCTCAGTCTTTGGATGTATACTTTACTAATCACATTTTTAACATATACATGCTTGATATTATTTAAATGTAAAATGCCCAGATATTATTATCTGTTCAGTACAAGTTACAGCTGACAGTTTCTTTAATTGGTGTTGACCTTCATATGCATCAAGTTCTTCCCAAGAACCAAAGATGTTGTAATGTATTGGTGTGATATATGTGCAGTGTAGTGTGATGTTTTATTGAACTAAACACTAAAGTATTGCTGAAAATTATTTTAGCCTGTGTAAGACGCTAAGAAAAAGACATAGGCATGTCTTGAGCAGAGGTTTGAAGCTGCAGGACATAGCTTGACAAACTCTGAGTTTATTGCTTCTTATATACTTGTTACATACATAGGCTTTACCATTAAATGCTGACATTTTACATTCATAAGTTTAACCATTAGATGCTGACATAAAGTTTCTTCATTGGAAAATTCCTTCATATAAGCAACTATTTTCTAGTAACACATTACATGGTCAAAGACCAGGTAAGAACAAATACAGGTAAATCAAAAGGAGAAAGAACGGACAAAGACAGGAAGAGATAGGAAGGAACTTAAGCATATTATCTGTTTAGGTAGGTGAGGCATTAAGTCAAAAGGGTATAACCTTCTGGCTGCTTCACTGGGACAAAGAGTATCAAAAGGTTATGAGGTTTGTGGGGGGAAAGCACGGCAGTTTGCTGCGCGTGCATTTTTCCCTGCAAGCCTGCTTCTCTTTCCTTCCCCATAGATATTGGCGATTGCATGCCTGGAAAGAGAGTGACAAAATCTGAAAATGACTAACCTTAATGAGTGACTGGCAGACTGACGAGTAGAGGAAAAGGAAAATACTTTACTATTGAGGACTCAGCACGTGCAGCAAATAGTCACAGCAAAAGATGGGCCCTAAAGGGAGTCAGACAAGCAGCAAAAAGCTTGAAAACCTTCTTTGTAAAGTTTTATGCTGCTTGTCTTTAGTACCCAGGTTCTGCCACCACCATTGCTACATAGTACTTTTGTGGAGTATTTTCCTTTTTATAAACAGCCCACAGAAGGAATTTCTTTACTGCCTTCATTTTCTCTCCTTCCACCCATTTTTTTTAATTAAACCCCATTTCCTCTAAGATTAAAAATCAAAGATGAAGATATTAACAAAAATATGAAACTAGAAGATCAAATAGGACTGGTGGAGTAAACTGGTTTTAAGATTGAGAAAACAGTAAAACAGTAAAGGTATTATCATGACAAATATGAATTATATGTTATTTCAAAATAATTGTGTTAAATCATGGAATAAGAAGGAAATGGAGGACATATAAAAAAGCTGAAAACAATTAGATCCAAATAGATGCATTGTTACAGAGGATTTTACAGGTTAATACTTAGTTGAAATATTAAGTATGAGTCATGGTGGTGCAGTGGTTAAAATGCAGTAAAGCACTGTGAAGCGGTATATAAGTCTAAGTGCTAATTCATATTTATGATAAGCAAAATCAATGGGGAAGACAGATTCACTTAACAACCATGGTAGTAATTTAACAACTACAGTGACTCACTTAACAAATGTGGCAGGAAAAAGTCGTAAAATGGGGCAAAACTCACTTAACAAATGTCTCACTTAGCAACATACATTTGGGGCTCAGTTGTGGCTGTAAGTTGAGGACTGCCTGTACTCTTTCTGAGTACTCTTTCTCTCTAACATTACTTTTGAACTTCTCTCCTATCAATTTGAGCTGATGCCCCATCTTCTTGATTTTTGCTTAATGTTGAACATACTGCCTTCTAAAATCTTATTCATAGCTTAATATATTTAAAGGTTTCAATAATGTCATCCATTTCCCTTCTGTCATCTAGGGCTGTACATATTTAGTTCCTCCAATCTCTTGTTATGTTTTGTTCCTCAGATCTTGCACCATTTTTGTTGCCCGTCTCTAGACTTGCTCAATCTTGTATCTTTTTTAAAGTGAGGTCTCCGGAATTGGACACAGTTTTTAGATGTTTAGATGGTTGATTAGAATTGTGTGTGTATATATGTGTATATAAGGCACGTCTTAAATAATTTTTCATGTTTTCTATTTCATTTCTGTTCTGTTCTGTATTTTCATTTTTCTATGTCCTTTTCCCCTTCTCTCTTCTTTTCCTTTCTTTTTTTCCCTTTTGCAGTAACTTTACTATGCTTTTTTCTTGAATGTAGTTCTTACTGCGTCTGTAAATCTTTTAATGAAAACTAAAGAAAGGACAAAGATGAACTTTGTAACCATTAGAATTCAAAATTGATATTGAACAAAGAGTTTTATTCTGTATAGTTTGCATCCACCAAATGATGTGAACCAATTGCTTTAATACCATGCTTGCATTGATTTGAAAAAATTACTACAGTCACAAAGATTATTGTGGAGGCAAATGTATTAACATCAACGATTAAAAACAATGCCTTGAATGACAAGCAGGATTCCTCTGTTTTTGCCTTTAAGATGGTGTCACAACTAAAATGCAAGGTGGTTATAATAATTACACTTATAATAACTACACATTAGGTTGAATTAGCCTGCTCAGGATCACGTGATGCACTCCAGATTTTATTTCTATTAAACTGGACAAAATAAACTTTCTTGCCTCTTCCAGTTCATCCAAATGCTAGCTTATTAATATCCTACTTTCCCCTTTTGTTAACATGAGGCAGGTTATTCCATGCTGATCTTTCTTGCCTCCCCTCTCCCCCAAGTACTATACAGAGTTAGTCAATACTGACCTATTCCCCAGACCCACGAATTGATGCTTCAAAATCAGCTAAGGAACTTCTGTTTGTGGATAGCACCAAGGTGACTCGTGGTTTCTCTTCAAATTGGTCAATTAATGTTCTTGTGAATGTACTTGTGAGTGAAAAAAATGGTATATGGTTTCTCTTGCCCTTTCCTTCTTTGTGTACATGGAACCTTGACGCCAAGAATTCTTTGTTATTAGAGGAAATCTTAGTTTTTCAATTGCCATTCCCCCTCAGAACAACAAATGCAACTTAGCCAGTGAAATGGTAGATAGGAGTATATGAGGCCTGTTGCCCCGGTTACTTGCTTTTGGGGCATATTCCCCTCTGCTATTTTCGTGGCCTTTGACCATGGGGATTTATAAAAACTGGGAGCTGAAGGCCAAGGCTTCTAACAAACACGGTACTGTCCTAAGATCGGCTGTTTTAGGCCACTTGGTTAACAGAAAACACAAACTTTGAATTTGCTTGACCTCATTTAAGTGCAGTTTATTTTGGTTATGAAACAGTGCTTTATTGGAGAATGAAATCCTGTATTCTGAATTTAGGTGGGATTCAAACAAACTTGGTTCATCTTGTTGATTGATACATGCTTATAATAATCAGTGTGCTGCTTGATACAACGCATGGACACTTTAGAATACATTATTGTGGATATGTCTACATTGTTCTGTATCTTGAATTCTCAAGTCTTCCTATCACAAAATTGTTAAGATTATCTATTTCGTATTACCTGCAGGTGGAGATTTACGTTTTCTCTTTATATATTCACCTATGGAACCCGGATCTTAAAAAAGGTAAGATGCTTTATCTTTTGGGCTAAATCAAATTATTTCATGAGTGTTGACAATAACAGCCTTATGAATACTTATAAAGGAATTTTATGATTAGATGGCTTAGACATTGGTACTTGAACATAGATGGTTTTAGTATTTATATTTTATACTGTTTTACTATTCTAAGGGAAATCTAAGCAAGGTTTTACTCATCCGTGTATGATATGCCATATGACTGATGAATGAATGAATGAATAAATGAATGAACGAATGAATTTAATTTTGGGAACATTTGAAAAAGTCACTGTGAGTAGAGTTGGATCAAATAGTACACAGTCTTTTTTTTTTTTTGAAAGAGATTTTATTGTTTTTTTTAATTTTTAAAACAAAGTGCTCAAGGCACACCGTGGTGTTAGGGTAGAAAACATCCAAAAACAAAAACAAAACACATATATATATAGTTCAATCTAGCATTCCCTCTTTTTGCCTTAGATAACATAATTTATTTAAAATAGTCCAATTCTAGCTTAAATTTTTTCAACCTATACCTGTTTTTAAAGCTTTAGAGATTTACACTACCATAATCAAATTAAATTTAAGTACAAACATTATCAATTCGGGTATCCCTTCCAAATATATTCTAATTCCTTAATTTTATCATAAATCTTATTTAGTTCTTCTTCCACTAATATCCCTTAATTAAAATAAAATATTAATCTATTCTATACATATCTAGTCTATCAATCAATGTCTCTTTAAGCTGACAAAAGAACATCAGACCTTAAGTCATCTCGATCCATTAAACAGAATTCAAATTACATCCAATTAATTATCATAAGAAATAACATCCATGTTATCAAACAAACAAATCATCTTATTAGATTAACTTAACATTACATAATAATTTTCTTACAAGTAACCCTATCATCCTAAAAAAGAAAAAAGAACACACTCTTAATCAATTTAATATATATTTCATTAATCACCTCTTTTTCTCTTATTTCTAGCTCACAATCTTAATCCTAAAATCAAGCCATAATTCTAAATTACCTTTAATCCATTATCTAAAAATATCTCCTTTTTAAGCTAAAATATTAATCTATCCTAGAGCTATCTAATCCATCCATCAATCTCTTTAAGATAACATCAAACCTTAAATTATTTCAATTCATTGAACATCAAACAAATAAATCATCTTGTTAGAAATGGTAGTTTTCATATAGATAAGCTTTATATGTCTTCCATTAGTCGCCCCTTTTTCTTACATCTAACTCATAATCTTAATCCTTAAAGCAGTCCATAATTCTAGGTTGCCTTTAATCCATTACATGAAACTTTAACTTTCACTTTTTTTCAGTCTTATTCTAGGTTTCTTCTTATGCCAAGTAGGTTTCCATAGCAGAGCTTCCCTTCCAGCTGATAGGTCTCTCTTTATTGTTTGTAGTATCATTTGAATCAGTGAGAACCATCTTGGCCTCTGCATTGGCCCTCTGCTTCTCTTAATCATAAAGTCTCGTTGCTTTAACATTTCAAATCTCAGTCTTTGTTTTTTCTGATCCTCAGCACCGTAAGTAAATTGCTTGTAAGGCAAAATCAATTTCTCTTTATTCTCAGTTAAATCCTCTTCTTGTATAATCTGTTTTATAGAAGAATCAGGTGCAGTCTGAAAGTCAATTTTGCAGTTTGAAGGAGAGATTCTGGCTCTTAATTCTGTAGTAAGCTCTTTCATTGTAACACATATTTCTTCTTTAGCCTCATAGATCTTTTCAAGAATAAGTTTACAGTTTAAGTGTGAGTGCAACTCCATTTTAAAGAATTGTTCAGCTATGTCAAATTTTCTTTCTCTTAAATAACAGTTTGAATGCCAAAACCATCTCCTCTCCAGTTACAATATTAGCTTTTAACCAATAGATGTCCTCAGTGGGCTAAGAAATCTTTTTTCAAAAGTCATTTTTTTTCCTTTTCCCTTTTTTCTATTTTTTCAGGAAAAGATAGAGGAAGAAGTACTAAAAAAAAAAAAAGATACAACAGCATAGACTGATAGTAGAATTCTTAGGGAAATTTTTTTTCCAGTACCCCAAAACATATATATATACATATACATACATACAATAAATGACTCAATATATATATAGTCTTTAAAGCTTTGTTCTATTCTTTTGTTCGCCTTTCTTCCAAGACATGTAGAAGCTGCCTTTCCAAGCCTGGGAAATAGTTCAAACAGGGCTCTTACAGGCAAAAAAAGCATAAAGAGAGGAACAAAAAAAAAAAGATCTCACCCTGATTCACCACGGTGGGTTTTCAAGCTTAGCTGTTCTTTGACTTGCGGTTTCTAGCGGCTAAGTGATCGGCCATTTTACTGGCCAATCTTCTTCTCCATTGGCCCTCAGAGTTTGGCCCAGGCAGCTGGAGGAGCCGCCGCTCCTCCACAGCCGAGCGAAGCCTCTTCGACGGAGGTCACATCCTCCAGGGTGACTTTAGAGACCCACATAAGGGTCTACCGGTGGAGGGAGGCTAGCTGACAAGGAGACGAGTCTCTTCGTACTACTAGGAGCGCCGCAACCCGGAACCGGAAGTCAAATAGTACACAGTCTTGAGATAGAAGGAAGCATGAGTAAGAAACTCAAAATAATCTTGTCCTGATTTTGCTTAGTATAAAATGAGACAGAGAAAAACTGATAGACTTTAAAAACTTGGTCATACCCTACCAAAATAAAATAGTATTCCTGGAATCCTTGTGCTGCCTGTTTTTTGATCTGCCTGTCTTGAAAGCCTGTCCAAGTATCTCTCTGTCTTATCTTATAATAAACAAAAGCAGGGCAAGATTATTTCTTTCTCACACTTCCTTCTATATCTGCGCAATGCACTATCTTGTACTAATCTGTACTATACAGTGCGTTCAGAAAGTATTCAGACTCCCTTCACTTTTGTCAATTTTGTTATGCTGCAGTCTGATTCTACAGTTGTTGAAATTCTTTTTTCCCCTCATTTATCTGTACTCATAATGACAAAGTGAAAACAGATTTCCCCCCCAAGGTTAGCTCTACATTCTTTTACAATACCATATAGATATGGCTGATTTTGGACAATCATTTTGAGTAAATGACTCAATAATTGCAGATGTTTTCAGTAAAGGTTTTCAAGTAGCCATATCCCATGGAAATACTTTTACAGTTTCCTCTTCTTTCTTTTCTGAAATAAAATATGTATCATTTTCTCAAATTATAAAAAATTGGTCCAATCTAGTGATTCTTTGAATGCAGAACCTTTTTTTTAATACATACATGATACTTTCATTCCTTTTGCCGGCCTTAGTTGGCCTTTAAACCTTTTAAGTTGGTTTAATGCAGTGGTTCTCAACCTTTTTAATGCCGCGACCCCCCAACCGGTTGTAAGTCGAGGACTACTCAACCGGTCATAAGTCGAGGACTACTCAACTGGTGCAGCACCATTTGTAGAATAGACAGCAGGGCAGAGACAGCCTGGACAATTCCTATTGGCTTTTGAAAGCCAATAGAATTAGACTCTATTCAAGAGAGTCTATTCTATTGGCTTTCAAAAGCCAATAGAATAAAAGGGAGTAGCACAGCTAAGGAAAAGGGGAAAAAATGGCGGACTGCGTTGTTTGGCGACCCCCATGAAATGGTCGTTCGACCCCAAATGGGGTCCCGACCCACAGGTTGAGAACCACTGGTTTAATGGATGTTACCTACTGAGTGGCCTGAATTTTGGAAGACTTATCTTAAGACTGACATACCTTTGGAAGACCAACATACTTTGTCAAAAATACATCTAATTTAGATTAGAAATGTGGTATTGAAATGCTGTAAGGCACTGCTAGAGACACTTATGTAAAAATTGGGGAAGATTTTCGAGGGGATCAATATTAGCCTCCTTACATCATCAACATGAAATAAAATGTGTAGAAATTCAAAGACAGAGAGATAATAATAAGCACCAATTCTCTACTTTACTCTTTAAAAAGTAGATAAAAAGCCCTTCCTGAACACACTTCTGTTAATTTATTAGCTTGCTTGGCTATAAGTAAATAAATAAAAGATGGACAGAATTTTTTAAAGTAACAACACCCAGTAGTAAGACCTAAAGACAATGTTTCCTGAACTCTAGGAGATTCCTAATCTGGAGACTGTTGCTATCATGTTTGCATGAAGTCATTAGCTAAAAAAACATTTTTTCTTTAACAATATGATTCAGAATTTTTAGATTGGCTATAAATATAGATTGGTTGATTGGTTCATTTTTAAACTATTTTTATATATGCAAAAGATTGTACCATTTTGCTCTGTGAAGTATGATTTCAACTTGAACTTCTCAATCTTACATTGGTTGTGTTCTTTCAAAGAAGTAACTGCATTTCTTTACGTGCTCCAACTTAATATGACTAATTTAATATTTGTACTTGTTTAGTATATTATATACATTTCAGGAACCCCTAGTTTTTTCATATATGGCCAGTCAAATGTATTTTAAGAGAGCTCAGCATCTCTCTTTAAATTGTTTTATTTGCTTTTTCATTTTGATTTATGTAATTGAATTTTCCCATGAAAATCCCCAGGTACCCCCTGTAACTTTGCAATATTTTATAACTTGCAATTAATGTTGCAAAATATTCCTTTTTTCTTAAACATATCTTTATTCAAAGTAGGATTTAGGGACCATGTCAGATTAGATAGATAAGTAGATAAGAATTATGACACTAAGCATTTATACATCTTTCTAAACAATCCCCAAAATATAATGGTAAATGCAAAGGCAGATTTCACTACAGATTTTCTGGAGTGAAAAAAAGTGTTCTATTCTTTGTAAAAAGATGTTGTTATAATTAACCTACCCTTCATTACTCGGAATAGTTCGATATTTTTCAAAAGACCAGCCATCTAGTGTTGGGATAAAAAAGGGAAGATGTATAACAACTGACTGACTTTGAGCCTTACAAATAGTGGCAATAGGGAAAGTATATAGCAGAAAAATCTTACGTTGTTCTGTATTCCCGCTGCCTATGCTGATCTTGGAGTGCTGGCTGTCAGAAACCAAGTCCACTATTCATTCAAACATCTAGGAGAAGATGCAAGAGAAAGGTAGTCATAAGATGGAATCTGAAATGTTCATAAGGAGAGTTTCCATCAGATCAGATTATTTACCCATATAGTCCAGTATAGAAACAGTTTTCCAAAGTCTCAGATAACATTTTCAATCTGGAATCTTTTCCATGCAAAATACATGTTTTAGGGGGGCTTCCATAGAAAAGTGCAGTAGTTTATTGTATCGATCTATGGGCAGGCTGTTTTAGAAGCTCTCCCAGAGATTTTAAGGCATACATAGGTACAGACACAGAAGAATATTCTCCATTTAAACTGTTAAATATCAAAACTACATTTTTCAATAAAATTGGTAATTTACTGGCGAAATGAACATAGCGCCAACATAATAAAATCATAACATTCCCAAGTTGTAGATAATTCACTGTATAATTAACTAGAGCACCTGAACTATTGCCAGATATCTGGAAGCTTCCAGAAAAACAAATAATTACAAGTTAATTTACACCCAAGCTACCACAATTAATATTAATTAAAGACTCCAATTCTCATGCAAGGATAAACTTAAAAGTTACCGCAGAGATGAGATAGTGTTAGTAATGATGAAGAATGCCTTCTATAGAATGTAAGCTTCTACTGTGTTTTAAATCTTTTAAAGCTTTGAGGTTTAAATCCTACTTTTTTAAGGAAAAAGAAATAGGATTTCTTTACTTTTCCATAGCAGACTGTATGAGCCCATTTTTCAGTCCTGACTGTTGTAGGTACCTGCACTGTTCTTACAGAACAGTCTTGTCTGGTCCCAGGTTCCCTGTTTCCCATCTTGCCTGCTTCAGTCTTCAGATTAAGAAAGCATCTTTTCTATCTCATTGCAGCTGAGTAGAGACAATTAGTGTCACACACAATTAATTTGTATATTGAAACAAAGATGCATCAAGGAGGACACTCAAGCATTAAAGGGGACAATAAAGTTGGATATTCTTATTCAAGAATTGGCAATCTCACTAGATTTTTTCCCCCAAATTTTAAATAATCTTGAAGACAGCTGGGACCAAAGAAAGAGCTGGCCCAGCCATAAGATTAAAAAGTGTCTGAAAGAAAAATACCTGGACTGTTGACTAAATTTAAGAATTGTTTAGAGAAAAAGAAAAACTTTGGCTTTTGGCTAATCTTTTAGAGGAGAATCTACAGGAAGGACTTAAGATGGCTTAACATACTGTATTACAATTTTTTTTAAAAAAAAGTTCATGTGAGTTGAGGGTGCACCAATGGAGCTATATACACGGGCATGACCTGCCACTCAGGCCTCCCCCCATGCCAGGCTGGGCCGCCAAGCTGTAAAGGTTGGGGACCGCTGGGATACACTATTAGCCTAAGACAATTTAGGAAACAGATTGTACCCTTAGAGTACAATGTCCAAGGAATTTTTTGGGCCATAAAGAAGTCTGAGGATTAAAGAATTGATGCTTTCAAGTTGTGTTGTTGGAGAATACTCTTGAGAGTCCCTTGGACTGCAAGGAGATCAAATCAGTCAATCCTAAAGGAAATAAATCCTGACTGTTCTTCAGGACAGATACAGATACTGAAACTGAAATATTTTGGCCACCAAATGAGAAGAGAGGAGTCATTGGAAAAGGCCCTGGTATTGTGAAAGATAGAAGGCAAAAGGAGAAGAAGAATGTAGAGGACGAGATGATTAGATAATGTCAGTGACATGGTGGGCATGGGTTGGAATGAACTGGAGATAGTGGAAGATGGGCGGGGCTGACATATTAGGGTCAATGGGGTTGCAGAGGATCAGGCATGACTTGACTGAAGAACAACAATTTGATCTTTTTGTTTGTTTGTTGGTCTGGAATTTTTAACTGTTCTTGTACGTTCAAATACAGAACAGCAGCACCGCATTTTGAATTTTTTGGAAAGCCAGTTTGGTCTAATGATTAAGGTAAGGTATTGGGCTAGAAAGCAAAAAACAGTGAGTTCTAAAATTGCATTCTCCATGAAAGCCATCTGAGTGACTCTAGCCAGTTATTCATTCTCTCAGCCCAATCCGCCTCACAGGGTTGTTGTTGTGGGAGAAATAGGAGGAGGAAAGAGTATTAGATATGTTTCCCATTGTGAGTAATTTACAAAAATAATCACAGAGGTGGTAGATGGCAGCAATATAAATTGGATTAATAAATAAATAAAGATAAATTCTTAGAAAAAAATTCTTCTCCCTATTAATTTTCCGAAATAATTCCACGGTGCTCAAAGAGGCCATTTGTGAAATTAGCAAAAATGCTTATTATCTTTTATGGTGAATGGATGCTTGTGGTCTTGGGTTTTTTTTTTTTTTAGCAGCCACTTGAGTTCTGCAATCATTCCCCTCATTCAACTTGGAGATTTTCAGTGATTGCTCTAAATACATTTCAGAAACCCATAACATCAATACATTATTATGTATTGTTATGGTCATGCATTCATGAATATGCCACTGGATGCAAAGAGAAACTTTGTTCATTTCTGAAGAATGAATATAAAGTATAATAGTGTAGAATCAGAATATAAATGTATATTTCCCCGTGAGATTATTTGTTGTTTCTGATGAACATCTGAACTGGTCATGTTAGAATTCCAGGTTGAGTGGTAGAGTGACTTTACATTCATAAATCTTTAGAGACCAGTAGTTTTCTTTTCCTATGTAGACTAGCACTGGTCATAAACCACCAGAACCCAAACTGTAGAGCAATTAGAAAGTCCATTTTAAGTTTATTTTTCATGACCAATTCTGCATTGGACTGCTTTAAAATATAAGGGGTCTATTATCACATCCACCAGACTCTGACACTGCAGTCTCACTCTTGATACATCTGGATGAAAACCCCTTATCTATCAAATAAGACGAGGGAGGGACATGATAGCAGTGTTCCAATATCTCAGGGGCTGCCACAAAGAAGAGGGAGTCAAGCTATTTTCCAAGGCACCTGAAGGCAGGACAAGAAGCAACGGATGGAAACTAATCAAGGAGAAAAGCAACCTAGAACTAAGGAGAAACTTCCTGATAGTTGGAACAATTAACCAGTGGAACAACCTGCCTCCAGAAGCGGTGAATGCTCCAAAACTGGAAGTTTTTAAGAAGAGACTGGATAGCCATTTGTCCGAAATGGTACAGAGTTTCCTGCCTGAGCAGGGGGTTAGACTAGATGACCTCCAAGGTCCCTTCCAACTTTATTATTATTATAAGACTGTAATCCTCAAGAGCAGGATTATTCAGTTGAGTCTTTGATGATAAAACAATGTTTTGTTAAAGCAGGACCAAGTGACTTAAAGGATTTGGGGTGGAATACAGACTGTGGACCTCTGTTTTGTGACCCCAGAGCTGCCTGAAAGCGCAGTTACCAAAAAGTAGCAGTAGACTTTCTTTTTAAAAAATTAGAAATTATAGATGAAAAGATGAAAACTAAAAAAAAAAAAACCAAAAGAATAAAAAGGAAAAAGGAAAAGTACAGGAAGAAAAAAACGGAAAGATAGAAAAAAAAGAAACAAGAATATATAAAGTAATTACTTCCCCTTTCATCAGAAGTATAAACAATTTTAGTAACTTATCATCTTATTTTAAAATACAACAAATGATCTCTTCCTCCATATCCCATCTCTTACTTATAAAGAAATCCCCTTAAAGCCTTGTCATTCCATTCCTCACCAGCAAAAGTCCATTAAGGATTACCAGAGTTAATAACACATCTATTTTAACCTTGATCAAATAAAACAATTTTATATTCCTTCCTTTTACTTTTAACAATTTTGATCTTTAGTCCCTTCAAATAAGGTCCGAGAACTTGATTTCATTTCATGTTTTCCTTATTCCTTCTCAGAAAATTCTTCAAAGCTTTAACAAGTCTCTTTTGCAAATCTAATATAGGAAAGTTATCCATGCCACTCTCTTGGTTTGTTATTTGTATATTTCTTTTAATTACTTAAACAGTTTCTTTTAATTTTTTAAAATCCCATTTTATATTTTTATAAATAACTTCCTACTTCTATTTAGAGGTTTTTGTAGAATCTCAGTAGCTGCAGTCTCTTTTAGCGTGAAGAAAGTTTAAAAGTTTCCAAAAGATACAGATAAATTACAGCGGAAATGTACATTATGTTTGAGAAATGGGAGACTAAAAATGAGCAAAAACAAGCAAAACTGTGGCTCCAAATAAACCCCTTCATAAGAAATTATTATAACAGTTTAAAAACAATTTTATCATTACGGTTGATCATCCAATCATCCAGATGTTTAGATTGGCATTTTGGTCCACCTAATGAGTCCTTCCCAAAGACCTGGGATAGGCAGATGTTTAATAATATTACAGATATCATTGTAAGTTGTTCCAAATAAAAAAACTGTTTTTTGCAATTTAGTGATGATTTTGTCAATGCCGATGGTGCTCAAGTGGTCCTCTAGATGTTTTGGTATTCACCCAGGGCGCCTATTACTATTGGTGCTATTTTTGCTTCTTTTGCTATAGTCATTCTACTACTATTTGCAGATCTTTGTATTTTGTGGTTTTCTCCAGTTCTTTTTTTCGATTTTTTACAATGATACTTTGTGGTCTTCTCCAATTATTTTTCTTTTATTCTACTATCCCCTAGTATTGCCACATCAGTTAACCACATTTTCTTTTCAACCACAGTTAAATCTGAAGTGTTATGAGCCAAGACTTTATCAGTTTCTATTTGGAAGTCCCACAATATTGCTCATTCTTCATTATTGACACATAATAAACTAGACATACCCAATTCCAGCAATCGTTCCTTATATGCTTTAGCCTCCAGTCCCCTAATCATCTTTGTTGCTCTTCTCTGTACTCTTTCTAGAGTCTCAACATCTTTTTTTACATCACGGTGACCAAAACTGGATGCAGTATTCCAAGTGTGGCCTTACCAAGGCATTGTAAAGTGGTATTAAACTTCACGTGATCTTGATTCTATCTCTCTGTTAATGCAGCCTAGCACTGTGTTGGTCTTTTTGGCAGCTGCAGCACTCTGCTGACTCATATTTAAATGATTGTCCACTAGGACTCCGAGGTCCCTCTCACAGTTACTACTATTGAGCAAGGTACCCCATATTCTATACCTGTACATTTGGTTTTTCTTGCCTAAATGTAGGACCTTGCTTTTTTCACAATTGAATTTCATTTTGTTAGATAGTGCCCAGTGTTCAAGTCTGTCCAGATCCTTCTGTATCTTAAGCCTGTCTTCTGGAGTGTTGGCTATTCCTGCCAGCTTGGTGTCATCTGCAAATTTGATGAGTTCCCCATCTATCCCCTCATCCAAATCGTTGATGAAGATGTTGAAGAGCACTGGGCCCAGAACAGAGCCCTGGGGCACCACACTACACACTTCCTTCCATGAAGATGCGGTTCCATTGAGGACCACATGCTGAGTATGGTCGGTCAGCCAGCTACGGATCCATCTGGTGGTGATGCTGTCTACCCCACATTTTTCTATCTTATCAAGTAGTAGGTTGTGATTTACTTTATCAAATGTCTTACCTAAGTCCAAGTAAATTATATTCACAGCTTTCCTCTGATCCACTAATTTTGTCACTTGGTCAAAGAATGCAATAAGATTTGTCTGACATGATCTGTTTTTGACAAACCCATGTTGGCTTTTAGTAATGACTTTGTTTGACTCTAGGTGTTCGCTGATTCGTTGTTTATCTTTTCCAGAATCTTCCCAGGTATTGAGGTCAGGCTGATAGGTCTGTAATTTCCTGGGTCCATTTTTTTTCTCCTTTTTTGAAGATGAGAACTACATCAGTTCTTTTCAGTCCTCCGGTAGTTCCCCAGTGCTCCAGGATCTTTGAAAAATATAGTTCAGTGATTCTGAGATCACTTCTGCCAGTTCCTTGAGAACCTTGGGGTGTAATCCATCTGGTCCTGGCGATTTAAACTCGTCTAGACTGGACAGGTGCTCACTTACCATTTTCTTGCCTATGTTAACTTGTGTTTCTATTGTGTTTTTATTGCACTATTTTTGATAGGTTGGTCTGTTTTTTCCCTGTGTGTAAAGACAGATGCAAAAAATGAGTTAAATAGTTCTGCTTTCTCCCTGTTGCTTGTCACCTTCTTGCCACTTTCACCCACTAATGGACCAACCATTTCCTTCACTTTTTTCTTGTTTTTTATATGTTGAAAGAAGCTTTTTTTGTTATTTTTGACTTTGGTCGCAAGCCTTAGTTCATTTTGAGCCTTAGCTTTCCTCACTTCATCTTTGCAGGCTCGGGCTATTTGCTGATATTCTGACTTAGTTATGTGCCCCTCTTTCCACTTTCTATACTTGTCCCTTTTATCTTTCAATTTGTCAGAGAGTTCTTTATGCAGCCATGCTGGTTTCTTTTGAGAGCTGTTATTTTTCCTCTTTGTTGGTATTGTGCTAGACTGGGCTTTTATTATCTCATTTTTCAAAATTTCCCAAGCTTCTTGAGTTGTTTTCCCCTTGAGATTCTCATCCATGGAATTATTCACAAGCCTTCTCTAAGTTTATTGAAATTAGCTCTCTAGAAGTCCAAGACTCTAGTTTGACTGTGTTCTATTGCTTGTGCTTCCATAATGTTGAATTCCAATATTGCATTATCACTTCTTCCCAAGGTTCCTATGGCTTCAACACCTTTTATCATTTGATCTCTATTAGTGAGAATTAGATCCAAAATGGCTAACCCCCTAGTTCCCTTCTCTACTTTTTGGGAGACAAAGTTGTCTACTAGGTTTGCCAGGAACCTGTTTGAGTTTCCACTTGGTGCAGAGTTTGTCTCCCAGTTGATGTCAGGGTAGTTAAAGTCACCCATTACTATTGTGATGTGCTTCCTACATATCTTAGTTAGCTGACTAGCAAAAAGTTCATCTATTTCCTCTGTTTGGTTGAGTGGCCTGTAGTATACACCTATGGCAATGTCATTTTTTCCCCCTTTTATATTGACCCAAATGCATTTAAGACAGTTTTCATCATTGTTGTGCTCTATTTCTGTAGAGATGTAGTTATTTCTTATATAGAGAGCAACTCCACCTCCTCTTTTATTTGGTCTGTTTCTTTTAAATAATTTAAATCCCTGTGTGTTCCATGTGTGGGTTTCATCCCACCATGTTTCCGTAATGGCAACAATATCATATCTGCCCTCATTAACCTAAATTTCTAGTTCACTCTGTTTGCTGTTCAACACCACTAACTTTTACATCATTTTGGCAATTCTGTTATGTCATTGTTTATAATCATTTTATGTAATCTTCCTGCACAATCTGAGTATATGATTTACCTGCATAATCTACTTTGATCGTTTGAAGATTTTTTTTAACTTTGGCCTTAATTGCAAGTTCAATAACTTGTTTTTGTGCACCTAAAACCAAGACTTCAGCTTCATTTTTTTTTTGACGTTCCAGTTGTCAGCCGTTGCCAGGTTTTATCTTTATCCACTTTCCCTGATATATTTGTAGAAATTGATTGTATAATGCTTTTTCTTGCCAACATTCTGTTCCTATTTTTATTATTTTATTCTGATATTGATATTTTGCTTCACGTACATTCAATAAGTTCCAATTCTTAACTTGCATCAGTGCTTGTTCATGGCTATCTTTTACATAATCAGCAAATGCGTGCTTTTCTTCTTCAACAGTTTGTTTGACTTGAAGTTAATCTCTGCTCCATTTTGATCTATCAATATCACTATGGAGATGTAATACAAAGGGAATATTTATTAATACACTTGATTTTTGGTACAAACTCTCCAGTCAGCTTATGTTCATTTAATAATTCCAACAGTATATAGCAGAGGTGATGAACCTATGGCATGCGTGCCAGAGGCGGCACTCGGAGCCCTTTCTGTGGGCACATGTGCCATTGCCCCAGCTTCACCTCCCCCCATGACCCCCTCCTCACCAGCAGCCCCCCTGGAGGAATCACCCCTGAGCGTGGCCCACGCAGAGCAGCGCACCCAAGGACATGGCAGACAGGCAATATATACAAGACTCTGCCCTCACGCCCCATTGCACACAGTTGATGCTGCGGGGTGCAGGCAGAGGGTGTGGCTGCCATGGTGCCTCTGGGCTGCCTGGGCAATCTGTGGCGGGCTCTGGAGACGATGAGTGGCCCTGCAGGCAGACGGGGTGGGGGACGGGGTGGGGACAGGCGAAGCGGGGGCACGGCAGGGGCTGGAGAGAGGGTGGGGCCAGTTTTTGGGCACTCGGTCTCTAAAAGGTTCGCCATCACTGGTATATACTATCACAGGTGTGGCCCAGGTATTGCTGTTTTTAATGGTGTTTTCATCATTTAATTGTGTGTTTAGCACTTTTCTCACCCTTTGGATGTGTTCTTTACAAATCAAATTTTTAAATTGTCCATGCTTGATATTATCTAACTGTAAAATGCCCAGATATTATTTGTTCAGTACAATGTTCAGAAGTCACAGATGCCAGTTTCTTTAGCTGGTGTTGGCCTATGTACAGATCGAGTACTTTCCAAGAACCAAGGATGTTGTAATGTATTGTCGTAGTATATGTATGGATCCAAGTGATGTGGTGTTTTATTGAACTGAACATTCTGTTGCTGAAAACTGTTTTTGGCCTTGTTCTCTTTCCTTCCCCATAGTTAATGGCAGTAGTCCATACTAAAGTCAGTTGTGAGTAACCAGTTTTTTAACCAAAACCTACTGAGGGAGAAATAAATTTAGATTGCATGTCATCCCTTCTTAAAATATATTTCAAGTTTTTCTCTGCTCTCCTTTTGAGAGAGGATAGAAGCCTTAGTTACTGGGTTGAAAGGGTGGCTGACTTCTAAATTGCCACCTGCTTTGACACATCATTTTGTGTGAGTTCCTATCCTTGATTTTCTGCTCTTTCACGGAGTTCTTGTCCCCCAGCTTTTGTCCCCCTTGGAATAATTTCCCACTAGCTCTTGCTGGTTTCTCTAGTTTTTGCTTTGCTTCTTGCCTCTGACATTTTTACTCCTGTACATAATGAAGAATTAAAGAAAGATTCCCTGGGATTTAGCTTGAGCCACAGGGAGATAATTCATGCAGTTTTCCTGGCAACATTATGGAAGTGCTGGGAGTCCTCAAGTTACAACCATTCATACAATGATTGTTCAAAATTATGACAGCACTAAATGAAGGGATTTACAACTGGTCCTCGAAAGTCTGACCAGTGCAATGCCCTTGCAGTCACATGAACAAAATTTCAGATGCTTGGCTGCCAGCTTCCATTTACAACTTACCACCAGTTGCATCATCCTGTGCTCACATGTTTGCCATTTGCGACCCTTCCTGCTGGCTTCCTACAAGCAAAATCAAAGTAGTGATGACAATCCTAGTCCCAACTGCACTCATTTTGAGGACTATCTGTGGTTTGACACTGGTATCAGTTTAGTCTATAGTTCTGGAATCCCCAGGTGGTCCCCTATCCAAGTATCTAAGACAGTGATGGCGAACCTTTTAGAAACCGAGTGCCCCAAAACTGGCCCCGCCCCTGCTCCACCCCCTGCCTTGCCCACGCTTCGCCCCACCCTTCCTGCCCGCAAGGCCACTCACTGCCTCCAGGGCCCGCCGCAGATCGCCCAGGCAGCCCAGCAGCGCCACGGCAGCCACGCCCTCTGCCCACGCCCTGCAGCATCAACTGTGCGCATTGGGGCGTGAGGGCAGAATCTTGTCTACACTGCCTGGCTGCCATGTCCTTGGCTGCGCTGCTCTGTGTGGGCCACGCTCAGGGGCGACTCTCCTCCAGGGAGGCTGCTGGTGAGGAGGGGGTCACGGGCGGAGGCAAGGCTGGGGCAACAGCATGTGTGCCCACAGAGAGGGCTCCGAGTGCTGCCTCTGGCACCCATGCCATAGGTTCGCCACCACTGATGTAAGATAACCTTATTTATCTTCTGAGATCAGCTATGTTTGACTAGGTCTTACTGCTTGCTACAATTTATTTAGAAAAGGCATTATTAAATTTCAGAATAAAAGGAATGAGAAACTGGAGAATTCCTATATATTAGTGGAAATCCTTTAAACAGCCACCTTAATTGGAGCCAGTATCTGTTTTTCCCAGATGACCCTCTCATTAGTTGATCATATTTCCTCTTCTTCTCTGTGAATAATCTATAGAAGTCCTAACCTTTTGGAAGTTCATGTGCTGACTCTTAACACTTTTGAAATATTTCCCTGCAGATTTTTTTTTAAATATAGCCTCATCACCAGTGACCCCTTTAAGTTGTTTATAAATGGCATTGCCTTTAATGATTTTAAATTAGCCCTCTACATTTTGTAAAAACTTCTTTGACTTTTCCAGAAGAAATCATATTTTTCTCTGGTAAAGAATAGTTATAATGAATTTTGCAATAACCATGATTAGTACTCTTGTACCTGAAACATGAATAAAATAGCCTGAATATTTCTGTTTTCCCTTAAATATGCCTGTAAGAATGTCGTCATGTGTAACTGCTGTATACTTCTTCTAAACTAAAATGTATCAAAAATAGTCAGTGTTGAATACTTAGAAGAATACTTCCATCAGTGTAAAAGGTGGAAAGAAGCTGATTAAGTTACCTGTAGTTCTAACTATGAGCACGATTGTTGAATGAGAATGGGCGACCTTTGAGGTGAGGTGCAGATTTGAATTTAGAGTGCATTTCGCAGACTTTTTCCCACCAACTGGGAGCCACAATGGACTTGCCTGCTTACAAAATGGCTATAAGCATGGCCAGCCACAAAACACCCATTTATCAGAAGATCAGTGCACTCCCCATCTCTACCATCTCAGACATCTGTGATCCGAAGGCAATTGCAGCAGATAAATGAGATGCTAAAGGTTGGGAACACTCCTTGCAGCATGCCAGCTTCTTATTTCATTCTTCTTGCTAAATCAAATGGGCAGGAGCCATGTAGGAACTGAGAAAGATATTTGGAGCTACATTGGTCCTTTGCAATATTATGGAGCCTCTATTCGAATAGCTTACTTTGAGTGGTACTTTTGTAAAATGGTATAAGCCAATACCATATAGACTTTTTTAAAATTCTCTCGGCTTTTATTACAAAACAATTAACAAATGTACTTATTACTAGTCTTATACCATATCTGTAACAATACTTATCTATGTCTCTGTTTTATTCCCATGCTGTCTGTTGTTTGAACTTGAACCAAGGTCTTTAGCCAACTCCAAGTTGGCTTCTGCCAGCTGTGTTTCAAACTGCTGATGTGCAGTTTCTCATTCTGTACTGTGTGAAAGAAGAAAGATGCTTCAGCAGTGACTGGTTGGTTGTAGCTCCTCAGCTTTCCTGCTGGAGTGGTGCAGCTGTTAGACTCTACTTCTCCCTTCAGCTTCTCTGCCACTAGTTTGGCTGCTCCTCCTTTATCCTCAGTTGCTTGTTGAGCTGATAATTGCTCAAATGTTTCCTTTTGGCTCTTCTACCCAACACAAATCATCTTCCAAATGCACCTACATTCCCACACCCTGGTACTTTCAGCATTTTGCCCTTATAATTGAGACTGGGTGTGGTGCATAGTCCTTCAGGTTGCCATAAAGTTCCCAGGGGAAAAAACAAAGGGAAAGAAATGCTTACGCTAGTCACTGCCAGGTTTTCCTTCCACATTCCTTCCTCCTTTTTAATGGGGGGATGTGTGTCATAGTCTTATTCAGTTCCTTGTCTATATTAGCTCTTTAACATATGACTTGGAGTACTATACTCACTCCATTGTCTGATAAGTAGTCTTCTGGATGTTCTGTTTTCCAGCTTGATGCTGAATAGTAAACCTATATGGCTGTAACAATAGGTACCATTTAGTAACCGTTGAGTTGCTATCCTTCATTTAATAAATCCATGTGAATGCTGATGGGTGGTGATTACTTGAAACTCTCCCCCCATAAATAGACTATAAATTCTTCAATAGCCCATCATAGTGCCAAAGCCTCTTTTTTGATGGTGCTAGTTCTTAGCCAAGTAATGATCTCCATCATCATAGGGCTGCTCCTTGTCCCACTCCCAATACATCAATGTAAACCAGGGGTCTTCAAACTTGGCCCTTTTATGACTTGTGGACTTCAACTCCCAGAATTCCTCAGCCATGCATGCTGGCTGAGGAATTCTGGGAGTTGAAGTTCACAAGTCATAAAAGGGCCAAGTTTGAAGACCCTGATGTAAACTGTGAAAGGTCAGTCAAAGTTGACTCCATATAGGTGAAGCTTGCTTCATAATGCAGTGCTTGTTCATATTTATCTTATTGTGTTTTGTTTTCTGTGTAAGGTCTATAGAAACCTAAGCTTGTTTGGCGAGCTGGGTAGTGAGTCTAGTCTGAGACCCTACCAAAGCTAAAACTAATTTGACTTGTTTCTAGGTTTGGGGTTGGTTTATTTTTGCTAACGCTACTACCTTTTCTATATTTGGTTATGCTTTCCCATTCTGTCCTAAATACATAACATCTGTAAACCTCAAGTGACATTTTTCAGGGTTTATAACTTCCTCTAAATTCGTAAATCATCTTCTCAGCTTTTGCTATATATGTCTATGTCAGTGGTTCTCAACCTTTTTAATGCCGCGACCCCCAACTGGTCGTAAGTTGGGGACTACTCAACCGGTCTTAAGTTGAGGACTACTCAACTGGTGCAGCACTGTTTGCAGAATGGGACTTTTGGTGGGCTCAGCAGGGCAGAGACAGCCTGGACAATTCCTATTGGCTTTTGAAAGCCAATAGAATTAGACTCTATTCAAGAATAAAAGGGAGTAGCACAGCTAAGGAAAAGGGGGAAAAAATGGTGGACTGCATTGTTTGGCGACCCCCGTGAAATGGTCGTTCGACCCCAAATGGGGTCCTGACCCACAGGTTGAGAACCACTGGTCTATGTCATCTAAATACATCTCACACCACCTGATTTGCCCTGGAAGGATTCTGTTCATGAGCTTTTGGAAGGTTGTTGTATCCGATGTAACTCCAAAGGCATTTTTTGTAAGCTGCTTAAAACTCTGAAAAGTAATTGTTTTCTTTTGGGGTTCCTTTTCTAATAGAATAGTATAAACTTTTTTCAAGTTAAGTTTTGTAAGCTATCTAGCATTCCCCAATTGGTCTATTAATTCATTTATGCAAGACACAGGGTAATTATCAAACTTCACTATCTTATTTTCTTTTCTCGTGTTTATTCATAATTTAACTTTCCCGTTTCCTTTGGGTGTTAGGACATTTGGGGAACACAATTCAGTATATAATGTTTATGTTAATCCCAATTCCAATATTTTCTCTATCTCTACAAAGAACAAGTCAGAGATTTCTGGAATAATAATAATAGTAGTAGTAAAGTTGGAAGGGACCTTGGAGGTCATCTAGTCCAACCCCCTGCTCGGGCAGGAAACCCTACACCATTTCGGACAAATGGCTGTCCAGTCTCTTCTTAAAAACTTCCAGTGTTGGAGCATTCACTGCCTCTGGAGGCAAGCTGTTCCACTGATTAATTGTTCTAACTGTCAGGAAGTTTCTCCTTAGTTCTAGGTTGCTTCTCTCCTTGATTAGTTTCCACCCATTGCTTCTTGTCCTGCCTTCAGGTGCTTTGGAGAATAGCTTAATTCCCTCTTCTTTATGGCAGCCCCTGAGATATTGGAACACTGCTATCATGTCCCCCCTTGTCCTTCTCTTCGTTAAACTAGACATACCGAATTCTAGCAACCGTTCCTTATATGTTTTAGCCTCCAGTCCCCTAATCATCTTTGTTGCTCTTCTCTGTACTCTTTCTAGAGTCTCAACATCTTTTTTACATCGTGGTGACCAAAACTGGATGCAGTATTCCAAGTGTGGCCTTACCAAGGCATTGAAGAGTGGTATTAATACTTCACGTGATCTTGATTCTATCCCTCTGTTAATGCAGCCTAGCATTGTGTTGGCCTTTTTGGCAGCTGCAGCACACTGCTGGCTCATATTTAGGTGATTGTCTACTAGGACTCCGAGGTCCCTCTCACAGTTACTACTATTGAGCATGGTGCCACCTATGCTGTACTTGTGCATTTGGTTTTTCTTGCCTAAATGTAGAACCTTGCTTTTTTCACCATTGAATTTCATTTTGTTAGTTAGTGCCCAGTGTTCTATATGGTCTCTGGCTGATATTCCTGGCTTCCTTCCTTTACTATGTTTTATCCCTTTTCTAACTTTTTCAGCTTTCTGGGCTGAATCCTTGGCAAAGGATTCTATCCCTATCTCTGCTTGATGGTGCTGAATCCAGAATCTTGTTGAGGGTGGCAATTGCTCTAATACAACTTCACCCACTATTTCCTACTTGCTGTGTATTTCTGGCTTTAGTCATTTCTTACTTAATCTACCCAATGTACAATTTTCTTAACTCCTTACCTCATACCTAAATAATATAGCTCCCTTAACTCTACTATAATGAATAATCTCTTGAGCAAGAAGTCCTGTAAATGCCCTTGAGCCTTTTCAGTTTAACAGGAAACTAATCTACCCACTCATTCCTCTTTTAGCCATTTGCAAGTTATTGCAAAACATTCAAATGTTATAAAAAGGGGAGTCAATACTTCCCTCCTCTTTGAATTTAGGTAAGTTGACAGTTACATTTCAACACCAAACTAGAGACAGTACACTGTAAGATTCCAGGCTATAGGGCCAAACACTAGAAGACAAATAATATGATTGATTCGTTGATCAATTATGTGCCATCAAGTCTGCATCAACTCTTAACAACCACATATGTAGATTTTCTTCATGACAATTTATCTCTAATTTGTTCTTTTAGGTCTTCCAATGGTGCACGCATTGTCACTGTAAGTGAATCTATCCACCTTGCTATTCGTCATCCTCTTCTCTTTCCTTAAACCTTTCCTAGCATCAAACCTCCTCCAGAAAGCTAGGTCTTCACATAATGTGTCCAGAGTAGGATAATTTGAGCTGCTTATTTGTACCTTGAGTGACAACTTCAGGTTAATTTGTTCAATGTTCTGTTTGTTTATTTTCTTGACGGTCTACAGCAGGGGTGTCAAACTGCCAGCCTGCGGGTGGCAATGTGGAAAAAAGTCACAATACGTCGTGACACGTCACGTGACGTGGTGAGTTTGACACCCGTGGTCTACAGTCAAGTTTAATCTTGCTTCTTCAAAGTTCAATTTTTGGTTCCTTAAGTATCACAAGAAATACCATGGCTTGCACTATTTTGATCTTTGTAAGTATCAACATATCACAATATCTCTTCCTAAGCTTTCATGGGTATACCACCAAGTGCTAGTCAGTGGTGTATTTCTTGACTACTTATTCCTTTACTGTTGATTGTTGATCCTAAAAGGCAGAATCTGTCTACCATTTTAATATTTTCATTATCAGTTCCAAAGCTGGTTGTGGGAATTTGGGTGGTCTGAATTCTATGCTGCATAAGTATTTTGGAGCATTTTCTACAAGAGAGCCAGTAATTGATTCTTGAAGTATATATTAAAATAAAGCTGATAGGTCTCCTGCTTTCTTCTGTGGTTATTGTGATTCTTGGTAAACAGGAAACAGATGAATTATTATCCCTTAAGATCGTTTGTTGTCTTCACATATTGAACTTGATTCAAGACAATCTTTTCTCAAGCCCAAAACCCAGAATGACACATGGCAGTTCTTCCAAGCTGACTTCTTTATCAGTTTACGCCTACAGACAATTTTTTCCAGACTAAGAACTCTGCTATCTGCGTGTATAATATATTCTGTGAACTGTTAGGGAGAGGAGGTCTTCACCCTTCTACCCTTACACATAACATCCAGACTGAGTTGTCTCTTATTCCTCTGGAATGTACCACCTCCATCCTGGGGTTCACCTCCTCGTTACATTCCATTGCACTTTAGAATAGAATAGAGCTGGAAGGGACCTTGGAGGTCTTCTAGTCCAGCCTCCCGTTCAAGCAGGAGAACCCATACCATATCAGACAGGTGACTGTCAAGTCTCTTCTTAAAAACCTCCAGTGATGGAGTGCCCATGATTTCTGAAGGCAAGCTGTTCCACTGGTTGATTGTCCTCACTGTTAGGAAGTTTCTCCTTAATTCCAGTTTGCTTCTTTCTTTGTTCAGTTTCCAACCATTGTTTCTTGTCCTGCCCTCTGGTGCTTTGGAGAATAATTTAACCCCCTCTTCCAGCCTCTCAAATACTGGGATACTTCTTTCTTGAGAGCTTTTGAATGATAAACTGTCTGTGTAGTCCTCTCATAAAAATAAAATATGATTCTGTGGGGTATATTCTTTATTGGCCCCAGTTAAGATTATCAGCCAGATGGACGCATTTAGTACCGTATTTCCCCGAATATAAACCCTAACTGGAAAATAATCCCTAATGCGTCTTTTGGAGCAAAAATTAATATAAGACCTGGTCTTATTTTCAGGGAAACACAGTATCCAACACATCTTTATGTTCCTGATAACAAGAACCCTGTGAATGTAGTCGGTGCTCAGAGAAAGCGATTGGCCCAAAGTCACCCTGCTTCATTCCTTCTGGCAGGGTCAGATGAATGTGTTTCAAATGTCCAAAAGATTTGGTTGCATTGCTCTGCAAGCATTTTAATCTTTTTTTTTTCTCTCCTCTTTTTCTCTATCTTGCTTTTTTTTTTTTTTAAGAGTCCTTGGCTGTGGAACACAAAACAGTGCTGGACTGGTTACCCGTATCAGGTAAAAGAACAACAAAACACAGGTTGCATAGCATGATGTAAAATATTGAAAATGTACAGCCATCCTCTGAAATGGCTGTAAGCTGCCATCTTCAAATGCAACCTTTCACTTGGTTTATTTAGTCTAGATCAGTGTTTTTCAAACTTGGCAACCTTAAGATGTGTGGACTTCAGCTCCCAGAATTCCATATATCTTAAAAATTGCTAAGTTTGAAAAACACTAGTCTAGGTGGCAGAAGGGAGGAAGAGCTGGGGCTTGGGGAAGGGAATCTTTTTTATTTTACCACTGCTTACTGTTGTAATCTCATTTTCTCAATAGTTAGTGAAAAGGTCAGATATCATTTTAAAGAAGAAGCTTTGGAGTTGATAAAGCAGAAGAGATGGGGAAGCTAGATTTACCTCAACTCCTTTGGAGGGAAGGGGATCAAGGACTCTTCCAACCTTCTTAAAAAACACCAGAGCTGAACCTCAATATGTCTGTAATGTAGTGGTGATGAAAATGTGGCCTACTGTGAAGTCATAACTGACTTTGACTAGATTTACAGATTGGTCTGACCTGATAGTAAAAAAAGAAAAATAAAGTGACCTTGAGGAAATGACAGACATTTTCAGTGGGGGAAACCTATGGGATAGAATGAAGGTTTATTGCAATGAGAGTATCTTCTATTTATGTAAATGTGTTCTACTTATTTTGAATCAACGCTGAATTCACAAAAGAATGCCAGGCACTTTCCCCCCCCCCCATGCCTAATCAGAAAGTGTGGAGAACCAAATTTGAGTTGACATCAGAGGGGGAAGACATTAGAGCTGCAGATCCAATAAAGTAGTGATTCTGAATCACCTTCAGCTACATGTAAAACTGGATCCCATCAAACCTTTTAAAAGTTTAACAAGTTTTAAAACTGAATGGCATTCTAGGGAAGGGGATTCTCAAACTTGGCAAATTTAAGACATGTGGACTTCAACTCCCAAAATGTGGGAGTTGGCTGGCTGAGGAATTCTGGGAGTTGAAGTCTACATGTCTTAAAGTTGCCAAGTTTGGGAACCCTCCTGCCCTAAGGTAGTAACCTAGTCACCGACTTCAAGAACTGGGTTTCCTTTGTCTTCCAGGTGCAAGTCAAGGTGCTCATTGTCATCTTTAAAGGCATCTGGGCCTTTATTTTTGGGACTATGTCTCCCAGTTTTGTATCATAGTTTATATTACTGATTGATTGAACCAGCCATGCAGGAAGGAGAACCACAGCAAAACAGTACTCCCCACTCCAAAGCAGTCCAGAAGAATACCATGATCAGTGTTATTGAATACCACTGACAGATCCAGGAGGGCTAGTAAGGTTGGATGAAAGTTGTCCAACATACTTAGGTCCAAGGATGCTTCTTGAGAAGAGAGGCCTACTACCACCTCCCTCAAGAACTTTTCTTCTTTTTCCTAGTTCAAAACAAAGCTGACCATACAGGCAAAGAATATTAGCAGTTATCAAGGAAAATGTTAAGCAAAACAAGCATTCTTGAATTCTTTTATCAACAACAGCATTAGAAGCATTTGTATTTTCTTCACATGAAATTACCTATGTATATTTCTGCTGCCCCTCATATTTTATTTATTTGCATCATGCCTTTATTGATTTTAGCAATAACTCAAAGTGACAAACATATCTAATACTCCTTCCTTCTCCTATTTTTCCCACAACAACTCTGTGAGATGGGTTAGGCTGAGAGAGAGAGGGAGAGGGAGAGGGAGAGGGAGGGAGGGAGGGAGGGAGAGAGAGAGAGAGAGAGAGAGAGAGTGTCACCAGCTAGCTTTCATGGCTAAGGTGGGACTTGAACTCACGGTCTCCCATTTTCTAGCCTGGTACCTGAACCATTAAAATGTATTGCGGATGGTCTGCATATACTTCACTCTGGGCCACATGACTGGGGGAGAGCATTAATGGAACACCCACCAACTTTTCAAGTTATTACACAGCTGCCTCTCTCATAGATATGCGTTTTGGGATATTTTTGGGGGGAGTGATGGAACCAAACAATTTTCCAGCTTGATTTTACTTTGGCAGCTTCTCCCATTACACCAAATCTGGGTGCTTTTCATTTGCTTTCGGAGTGTTAATCTGCTGATAGACAGACAAGAGTTTTGAGTCCTTCACATAATTTCTTTCCAATATTTCATTGGGTTAGAAAAAAATAAAGAAAAGGTACAATTCAAAATATTGTTTTAACCCACTAAATCTCCAAAAGTATTATACAGATGTATGTATTTTAGATAAGGATTTGATTTGTTCCCAAAGTTATTGAATTTACCTTGGTGGAGTTTTTAACATCTTTTTTTTTTTTAAATATTTTCCAGCCATTGACGCCTGAGATTCATTACTACTATATACTTGAACTGGCATACTATTGGTCTTTAATGTTTTCTCAATTCATTGACATCAAAAGAAAGGTAAGAGCAATCTTTTTTGTAAAAACAATTTCTATTTGATAGAGCTGCATAATGTCACTTTGACTGAAACATACCATTAAAATAGCACCGAGGATTGTGCAAAGCATTTGAAACACTAAGTACAGTATCGTCCTTCAAAACATTAATCAGCCTTATCTTTTGCAAGACTTAATGCACCTTATTTTTTTTTTATTCATCACATTTCTACACCTCCCATCTCACTAAGTGACTCTGGGTAATTTACAACAGCATAAAAGTGATATAAAAACAGAAATATAATAAAGTTAAATGTTGTTCCCAACTATTTCAACCTCTGTGTACATGCATAGTTGCTTTATTTTGTTGACAATCTCCCCCCCCCAAAAATATTGTCTTTGTGCATATATAAAAAAAGTAATTGCTTACATACTTTCCAAAGCACTTCTTATGAATGCTTTGCACTGCCCTATTAGCAGCATCTTAATTCTAATTATCCAGGACAATATAAATTTAGTGTTAAGACTGTAACTGTGAATGGTTATTATATTTTCAAAAAGCAATATACAGTCAGATTGCATAATCTACTAGCATTATTGGACTAGGCTTAGGTAGTTTTAATATCTTTTGGGAGCTGGTTGCAATATTGATCACTGGTTCCTTAGTACGATGCCGACCATTTTATTCAGATTCTATTGAAGTATTTTAGGAAATATTTATCTTTTATGTGTCATTAAATATTGAGATGTACAGATTTCAGCACCCAGAATTCCATAACCAGTACAACTATTGCTGAAAATTTTGGGAATTGAAATGAAACACATCTAGAGGACACCTAAGGGTGCCTGTGTACTATGAAACAATTTATAATAGCATAATCCAATATGATAATCTTCCAGTGCTGAACTTGAACATGCTTGTGGAAATTATCATAGTTGACTTTTAGATACCAGGTTGGGAAAGGTTGTGTGAGAACATTAATATATACATAGAATTAATTATGTATTGTTTGTTTAATTTATATGCTGCCCATCTCGCCTTGGAGCTACTCTGAGTGACTTTCATTTCCATGAAACAAACAAACAAAAAATCCTTGTATAATTGGTAGCCTAGTATTGTTTTTGTTATTACTGTTGCTTTTTATCAGAAAGCAAAACTGTTCCTAGAGGGGGAAATTTTTTTCACACATGTTCCAGCATGTCTGATCTTGGAAGCAGGATTTAAAATCCTAGTGGGAATAAAAACGGGTATTCACTTTCAGATGCCTGGTACTGGATCTCACAGTTATTCCTGAGAATAGCATTGACAAGAAAAGATACACTTCAGAGCCTGATGCTGCTGCGAGCAGCCCTCTCATGTTGGTCACAACTTTTGGGAGGGTCACAGATTTTTCCCTGACCTAAATTATTTAGTGAAATATTTTATGATTTTGAAATAGTAAGAAATTGCACTATAGGACTTCTGGTTTTGCACAGTAGCAACCGGTTGCGGGCTTGTGGATTCTCTGCACCCCCACGACTGGGGACTCTAAATGGGTCTAAGTCGCCCCGGAGAGGCAACAAAGAAAGAAGGATGCTCCAGCGACTCTGGAACGGTGGTGGCCGTTCCGTTTGACTTGGGAAAAGCCTTCTAACCCAACAGGAGAAAGGCTGGCCGTATTGCATCAACCAGCCAAGCTATTAGCAACTGAAGTCCAAAAGCACTAACCAGCACAACTGTGAACAGCGTGCTTGAAACTGGGTGAGGAATTCAATCTTCTCTTTTCTATTCTACATTTAATTTCCTGGAAAAGATCCTCAAGAAACAAAATACCTCCAAAAGGGAAGAAGGGGGATTTCCACCCCACCCTTATACTAACAGAAGCAGCGAATTAATCTTTTTATGGAGGATCAAAATATATGGAAGTGAAATAAATTTAAAATTTAAATCTGGATAAATCTAAAATTGTTTGAATGGTTAAGACTCTCATTTTAAAGAAAATTGTTCATTTTGGAAATTGAAAAATAAATAGTTGCTGACACCTAGTGGTGGATGAAAACTATGACAGCTATAACTTTAATATAAGACTTGGCAAAACCTGGGAGAAGCTAATCTGTGTTTGTGACCTTCAAAGTTTTAACAATAAAGAACAGCTGTGACAAAAAAGACAATAATCTGGGCTGTAGACAAAGAGAGAATTATAAATTTTAGAAAAATCTTTTCTGAACTATTTGGATTACAAATATCTATTTAATTGGGACTCTAAAGTTATTTGCAAAGAAAAGAAAGGAAGAGAAAAACTCAAATTCTTGGCCATCATGAATCAGAGACATGTAGAAAGAACATATTAAGAAAACATAAATACTTCACAGGAGGAGATATATAGTATACTGCAACTAATTCAAACAACAATGACTTTAAACCACAAAGAAATACAAAATAAATTTGAAAATATAAATCAATCTATTTCTAAGTTAACTCTACAAAAAAAAAAAAATTCCCAGAAAAAAACAACAGAGAAGGAGCAGATAAAACAGATAAATGGATATAGAATTGAGAATAGAGACTTAAAAATGGAACTTAACAAAACAAAGAAACATGATTTAATCCTAGTGGGAAAAAATTCACAAGAATTGGAAAAAACAACTTATCCCTTATGACTACAAAATAAATCTGAGGACAAGAAAATAGATTGGATAAAATGGACTGTAGAGATGTCAGGAACATCGGAGAGAAAGGAAATGATAAGAGAAGTGGAAAGAAAGAAAAAGATTTTCAACAAACATGGAAAGGCAGAAGCCCCGTACAAAGACACTTCACCTGATTTACTTTTTATATCTACAGCAACATTTACAAACATACGGAAAAACTTTTTGATTCAGCAAAATACATTGATTAAGAAAGATACTGGGCAAAGGAAAAAGACTAAAGTGGAAACCAAGAAAATAGATGATGGGAATTACCAGAGAGAATACTTAAAAAAGAAACATTTGTTTGAATATGGTTAAAGAAATAGAAAAGTTTTGGAATATATATGTCATTCTAAGAGGGATGAATTCCCTAAATAATGTAGTATCCTTTTTTCCCTTTTTTGTTCTCTTTCTTGATACGAGTAATATAAAAAAAATTGAAATGACTTAGATAAAGGAAATGTTTTGGATACTTAAATGTGATTGAATTTAAGAAAATTATAATGGATAAAAAATATTTTGAATAAGAGTTAAAGGACTAGATGACTAGATGTGTTAAATGGAATGTTTAAAGATTAAACATATTTTTAATTATGGTTAAAAAGAATAAGAAATTTAGGAAATAAATATATATTAGCTTAGGAGGGATATATATTTTAAGTAATATGTTATTTTTTTATGTTTCTTTACTCTTGCTCTCCTTTCTCTTTTTTTTCATTTTTTATCTATTCCTTAAGAAATGTAAAAGGGTGAGATGGTTCATATGGAAAAATAGAGTTAAATTTTTAAATGTAATTAATTTTTGAGAAAATCTTAACCAGTAAGAATACCTAAATTTGGTCGGAGAAACAAACTAAAATAAGGACTGTAACAGGATCTGTGTTAAGGCAACTAGTATGATTAGATAGAAAAGAAATATATTGATGTGATTATTATTTTTAGGAATATTGGGAAAAATTATATATTTAATTGTTATCTATCAAAACAATAAGAATTGTATTAACTCAATGTTTGCAAAAGAGGATATTTTGGGAAAAGAGGAAATCAACTAAAACCATTATGTGGATTATGCATTATAGAAATCAGTTGTTAATGATTGTTTTACAAATATAACCCAGACAACACACTGTTCACCAACTATTAAGTGATTTATGTTTTTTAAAAAATCAGTAAAATATATTACAAAAAGAAAAGAGATCATACCATAATGGACATGCCTTGGGTGTAATACAAGGTGCTGGTCATCACCTTTAAAACTCTATATGACACAGGCCAGGCTATCTGTGGGACCAGATGTCCCTGAGGACATCTACCTGTCATGCCAGATCAGATAGGGTGGGCATGCTTCCTCTAAATATTATCATCTGATGGGAGCTAGGAAGTGTGCCATTCATTCATTCATTCATTCATTCATTCATTCAATTTCTATAGCCGCCGAACTCAACCAAATGACCGTTTTCCATGGCAGCCCCTGCTCTATGGAACAACTTGCCCCCTATGTTTGGCTGGCCACAACCCTTTTAGCCTTCCATAAGGCTTTAAAAACCTGGCTTTTCTCCCAAGTGTTAAGAGAAGATTAGACCCATATTAGAACTGATTGGCACCATGTTTTTGCTTTTATAGGCTAAAATGTAAAAATTGTAAATTCATACCTGAACTAAATAATACCTAAATGTGATTGCCCAACAAGCATTCATTCATTCATTCATTCATTCATTCATTCATTTATTTAAATTTAGGTGCCTCCTAACTCCAGTGACTCTGCAGTTCATGTCTAATAGCTCTACAGCTGGACACTTCCTAGCTTTATTCTGTGAAGGTGATAGGAAAAAGAAAGCATGATGAAATGGGAAGGTTGTATTTTGGTGGAGGAGACTGGTAAAGTTTAATGCCATAATATCTCACGAAGCCTTAGTCAATGGCACTGCAAGGAGAGCAGCTTATTCTGATTGGCTAATTACATTCTGATCATCCTGATTACCATGAGCCCTAAACCCTGAGTAAGTAATGAAGATGACTCAACATTCCGTGAGATTTTTATGGGGATCCAGTACCTCCTGTTTTTCTCCTCGCACTCGGATGCAGAGGATCAGATATTACAAATCTTCCCTACAGACAACTATGGAAGAAAGATGCCATAACCATTTTTCCCCACTACGTCCTTACTTTAGCCCAGGGATGGGCAACTATGGCCCCTTTATGACCAGTGGATTTCAACTCCCAGAATTCTGAATTGACCAATATATACTGGCTCAGGAATTCTAGGAGTTAAAAGTCCGCAAGTTGTAACAGGATCATAATTATGCACCCTTGCTCTAATCCATGGGGAGACAAACTAAAATCATTCTTATCTGTCTTTCTCCTTAAGCCCAGCAGTATCTAGCAGTAGCTGGAAGGACTGTAAAATCAATCGTGTTTCACCACTTATTTAAGGTGGCCATTGGGGTACAGGATCTCAGCAGGATGTATTGGCCAATTCAGACTGATTTAGGAAGATCCCCTTCCTTTAGGTTCTTAATCAGCTTTTGTTACTATCAATCTGTTACATTGTCAAAATTGCACAACAGTGTAAACTACTCAGCTTGTCCTGTGACTACAGTAATTCACATTAATTCTGCACTCTCAGTGTTGATTGAAGTGGTATAAGTGGGAAGGGAAAAACAGTAGAATGTCAAAACTGTGATGGTGTTACAATGAAATGGTGAAATAGTATAACTCTGAAACAATAGGATCAGTTCCATCCCAGTGTCCCACACAGAGCATGGAAGAATCTGGAAGGCTATATAAAGAAAGCGAATGAAGGCAAGATAAATCCTAAATAAAAATCACGCTTATGACTCAGGTTTTTCATGACTTCCATCTGTTGTGCTTTTTAGACTATTCAGCTTTGTTTATGAAAGTATCATAAGTGGAGGGGTACAAGAAAGAACCTAAAGATGATTAAGAGAGTTAACAGTTTGACAAATGCTTTTCCTGACTTCTGACTTTTTGCTATTCCCCCTAACTTCACTTTGTACAAGAGACTAATACCTGATGTTGCATGCCCTTCAACTTTAAAGAATATAAACTGGCTCTTATGGCTTGGGTAACAACCTGAGGACTTCTGTTGCAAAGATTTTTCCATGAGTTTCATATGCCAGGAAAAGCTTCAGGGCCGTTACATCACAAGAGAGGGAGGAGAATTGTTCAGTCCCTCTGTACCATAACTGGTACTTCTAGTTTGAAGTGTCAACCATACCCTCCTTGGCTTTGACTTATAGGAGGTCCAGGTTTCTTTTGTATGCTGCCTTTGCCAACATGATGGGAGAGAGAATCTTTTTTCTGTCACATGGATACCTCAAGTCAATTTATTGTCATGTGGGCAAGGGGTCTCAAATAGATAAAAGAAGAAATACAAAGGAAGAAAATGGAGGGTTTTTTTTCCCTCCATCTGTTAGAAAACCATAGCAGTCTGCCGCACAGAAATACAGAACTGAGCAATCTTCATAGCAACTGGTTTTTTTTAAAAAAAAAACCAATTTTGGGGGGGGGGGATTAATGTTTGTGGCTTCGTTCACATTGCAGCTTTATATATTAGCCGAGGAGGCAAGGCATAGCAAGCCACAAGCAAAAACTCGATAATCCTAGGTTATGAATGGGTTACCATACTATATTGAAAAGACAAGTGTGCTCATCCTGTTGTTTACCCAGTAGCAAACTCTTGACAGAAAAGCATCTTGCAATAGAACTGATTCCTGATTTCCAAAAGGCTCTTTTCGGTTATTGATGTGTTTATTCCACTAAGTTATCTCTGCTTGGCTAAGGTTTCACGAACAGTATCTGTAGTCCAGTGCATTTGATCAGATGAGCATTCTGCAAAAATAGCCTGATGGAACAGATGACATTTTTTCACTGTTCTTAATGAGCCATGAGGGATGAATTATCCTTATTGGCTATCATCATGTGCAGCCTGTGTATGCTTAAGAGACATGTGTGGGCAGTTTAATTAGCATTTTCCCATGTATCACTATGCTACATTTATGGTATACAGAAAGAATTAAGGGGAGAGAATGGACTACCAAGATGTTTATGATTGTCCTAGAATATTTCATCTGCACATCAGTCAAATTTACTATTGTAACTTTTACACTTTGGTAGGATGACTAGGCCAGGTCTGTTTTGCCAGATATTATTTTTAGAGACTTATCTCAAAGTCACTATTTAAAGGCTTTTAGAAAAGGGCCACCTTAATAAGTTATTAGTGTACTAAAATTTTAAGTTGGGAGGGAGACATTTAGCTTCATCTATAGGACAATGAAGTGTTTCCTGGAAAAGCAGATGAAATGGTGACATTTACTTCAAATCATAACCTGGCCAAGAGCATCTAAATTTGTTCCTTTGCATAGGTATTTATGAAGAGTTGGAATAGCTAATACCAATTTTGAAACTGCAGGAACTGCTAATTATCCTGCATCATAGAGGTGTGCATGTGTGTAATTTTCTTTTCCAGATGTCAGAAAAAGCTATCAAAATATCCTAGAAAACTGTCTCTTGGGACCTGTTTTAAACCAGCAATAATTAGAGTTGTTATAATAATAATAATAAAGTTGGAAGGGACCTTGGAGGTCATCAAGTCCAACCCCCTACTCAGGCAGGTAACCCAGCGCTTATCCTACTAATGTGAAATAGTAGAAACTTAAACTATTATGGCAACAATAATGCCATAAAAAGAATATGTGTCTCTTTCTTCCTATATCCTGTGGCATCTGTCAGAGGATAAGGTGTATTTTTAAATTAAATACACCAGGGGCAATCTCGGAATGTCTCCATGTGCTTATTTATTTTATTTGTTAGATTTATATTCATATTCCACCAGTGAGCTAAGGGTGTATTTGAAATTGAATCTTCCCAATACCTGTCCAACTCACACTGTCTTTCCCAGAACACTAAAGTCATATATGAAAAGCAAGGCACTTTATCAAGTCCATTAATATTCCTAGGTAATAATTTAAAAAAAAATCCAGGCTGTCTGGTCCTCCACCATTCTATCTGTGCCTTCCAGAGCAAGGAGCCAAACATGTTGACCTGTTTATAGATTTAAAGATTTGGGGAGTGTTAAGGGCTAAACGAATGCTTTAATCCTTGAGCCATTCATCCCACCCATTACAACTCCTGAAACATGCCTACACATCCTGGTGCGGCCTTTGAGAGTGTGTGAATTGCTCAATCTGCATTAAGATAAGAGTTGAGAGAGAAAAGAACAGATCCTTTTAATTTGCTTTTAGAGAGAGGGAAATACTTGTGGTGGACACCCATCTACTGAAGTCCATGATCCTTGAAGAAACTGAATAGCATTTATGAGCATGCATAGATATGGAGGAAAGCTATGGCAAATCTAGACAGCATTCTAAAAAGCAGAGACATCACCCTGCCAACAAAAGTGCGTATAGTCCAGGCCATGGTTTTCCCAGTTGCAATGTATGGCTGTGAAAGTTGGACCATAAGAAAGGCTGAGCGCAAAAGAATTGAGGCCTTTGAACTATGGTGCTGGAGAAGACTCCTGCGAGTCCCTTGGACTGCAAGGCGTTCAAACCGGTCAGTCCTAGAAGAGATCAACCCCGACTGCTCTTTAGAAGGCCAGATCCTGAAGTTGAAACTCACGTACTTTGGCCACCTAATGAGAAGGAAGGACTCACTGGAGAAGGGCCTAATGCTGGGAAAGATTGAGGGCAATAGAAGAATGGGACGACAGAGAATGAGATGGCTGGATGGAGTCACTGAAGCAGTAGGTGTGAATTTAAATGGACTCCAGAAGATGGTAGAGGACAGGAAGACCTGGAGGAACGTTGTCCATGGGGTCACGATGGGTCGGACACGACTTACAATTAACAACAACAACATAGATATTTTGGCTCTAGCAGATAGGGTATGGTCTTTCTTCTGCCAAGTACCTATACATACATAAATACACATGATTTGTGTCTTCCCCTCATCCACCTCTCTTTCCCCCACATCTCTGCCCTTTTGGCCATCTTGCACTCAGCTGTCAGCCCCTGCTAGCCCCAGCTGACCTTTGCACTTCTTTTCCTTCTGCTGCTGATGAGGTGCATCCAGCTGAGGTCTTCCTGAGGCCCTCATGCAGCCTCCCCAAACTCTTGTGAGGGGCAGCAGCTGCCTCACCCGAGCATGGCATCAGCTGGCAGGGATAGATAACCGCAAGGATTGTGAAGCGAGGACTACCTAATACTGTGAGACATGGGCTGACACAAAAGAAAAATTAGACTTCCTTTCTCTTCAAAAATATCAAGATAGAAAATAAAGACACAGCTCTTTTGTTCCTGCACAAAGGAATCAAAATTATCTAGATGCTCTGGTGACATAAAATATAATAGTGGGTGCTGCTCCTTCACAGCTGCTGTGCTTGCTGTTCACCTAAGCCAGTGCTATAAGGCAGCAATAAGTCCTATGAGCAGAGCAATGCAGGCAGATACATAACACGAGAATTGTTTTGCCTTTTTCTATGTTTCCGACATTGACCAGGGCTTTCCCCAGCTATCCTCTCTGAGATCTTTGCAGAAGGCATTCAGATTGTTCAAGGCAGCCAGGGATACCAGCTCTGGGAGATGAGAATGGCAACATTACAGAAGGAATGTTCAAGGGGAGCTCCTGCAGCTGTCCCACTATTGTAACCCTCAGCCATATTGGCTCCCCTTGTTCAGAAAACAATAAAGCAAGGCACCTAGTCTTTGTGTTTGTTTTAGATACAGTCATTTATGTTGTTTCTTGATACAAGTTAAGCAATGCTATATGGTGCTTTACAGTAAAACTATTTGTATTTGTTTACGCTAAGTTGATGATTGCATTCTAATTTATTACACTTTGCATTTTGTATATCATAGTTAGCTGCATAAAAGAATTACACAAAAATCATTACATATTTACAACACATAAATCTAATATTAACTTATTAGATTTTTAAAAATTACTGAACCCAGACATTGAAAAACTAAAACTAATTTATGTAACTGTGCTTTATTTTCTCTCTCTTTATCTTCCAGGATTTTAGCATCATGTTTACACATCATATTGTGACAGTCCTATTAACAATTATCTCTTATGTAGTCAATTTCACACGAGTTGGAACCTTGACTTTCTGTCTTCATGATGTTGTTGATGTCCTGCTGGAGGTAAGAGAGGGTTATTTGTAATAATTCTTTGCTGTCCAAAATGGTCTCTACGTGGAACAAATATTGTAGCCTGTGAAAGCTCATAATGTATTGACATTTGTCTTAAGGTACTGTTTCTGTAAGACCATAAATACCTTTGTATTTGTCTTTGGAAGTGACACTCATGAACACAGTGGGATTGACTTTCTGCACCTTGTTCAGAATCCTTTTTTGTTGTTGTTGTATTTTTATCAGCCTGAATTATTAGTGTCATTATCAAAATTTCTTTAAAACATACTGCTAGCTTTTAGATAATATATGAGTAAATTTTTAACACGGGCAAGCAGCAACAGAAGTAAAATGTGACCAAATTTAAAACTACACATAACACAGCAGTGCTGAAAAACAAAATAAAACATTCCTGATGTTTTTGCTGGTATGTTTCTGACTAATTTCACCCTGCTGGTTCTTATTCTCCCAGGCACTTAAGAAAGGACATGAATCCAGGCCTAGTGTCATCCTCAGCAGCTAAACCAGACAGGAAACGACCAGATAAATTAATTCTATTTTATTGTAAAGCTACGTTTACAGAAGTTTGCAAATCTAAAATGACAGTTCTCCCACTGTCAACTGTACTGCCAATAACTCAGGGAGGGTCCCTCCTGAGCCTTTTGCTCCACCAACTTTGCAACTGCAGGCGATGCTGTCCCTTGTTTGACTGTTCCCTAGGCAACAACCCTTTATCCATTCTCCCAAGGTCATTCCCACATACTATTATACCTACTCAGAAAACTTGCTCCTGCAGTCTTTGATATTGCCAAAACCTTCAATCAACATTTTATCAGTCAGGAGGAAGTTAGCTGCCTCTCTCAGCCCGAACTCCTCCCAGTCCCAGCTGCCTCTCATAGAAAGAAAATAGGGGCTTTATAGAGGACTAAAATACTTGTCATCATCTGCCTTCAGTCCCCTAAATCTGCTACAAAGACTTTGTCAAAACTTTTTGTAAGCCCATGTATATAGTATTTGAAATGTAATCGAAAGAAGGAATTGAATATGTAGGGAACAAATAATAAGAATATGATTGCATTAGAAGAAAAGGCAAATAGATGACTTTTGGACGGCACTTGGGCAAATCCATCTTCCTTTCAGCAGTTTTCTTAAGCACATCTGAGTTTGTAACTTTCACTTTCTAAATTTGTTTTACTCTGCTGATCAACTCTTAAAAGCTGATCAGCAATGGAATACTGATTTATTTCAACTCCTTGCTGGACTTTAGCTGGTTTTTTTTTCTTTTTCTTTCCCTTTGATTTATGTTGTTTTGAATGACCTTTGTTCTCCCTGTAAGGAAACACCACGGTGTTTCTGGATGATGAAGTGCTTTTATTTGATTTACATTAATTAGACTCTCACCACAGGATTTTTGTATTTTTGAATTTGCAAAATATTTGGAATTTTTCTTTTAACCTTGGATTGAAATATCCAGAAAATATCTATCCTGTTTCTTTCTGCTTCATCGTTTTTTTTAAATTTATTTATTTATTTATTTATTTATTTTGGTTCCCTGATCAACAGAGTTACAATGAATCAGATTGTAGGTAAGCAATGGTGGCTGAAATCTACGAAAAGCCTGTTGGGTAGCATGCAGCTTTTAGTTGAGACTTTTTAAAAAACATTTGATGAGATGATAATAGCCATGGAAAATATGCAGTGGCATGTGGTTTTGGATAAGTTAGATTCACAAAGGGACTCTGATCTGAAAGTTGCAGACCAAAGAGATATCCCCACAGCCAGAGAATTAACTGACTTGGTCTCATGTTGTCTCTTTGAAGTTTAAGCCTGCGTATCCTTACAATATTAGGAGCCTGACTGAACCGGGAAGTGACAAAAAAAATTTTCCTACGAAAAGGAGGGAGATTAGAGAATGGATTTATTATACCTAACTGGAAATCACTTCTATTTGGACTTCATTGGGAAGATAGAGCCACAGTGAAGACTGAATTTATTATATTTAATTAGACAACAATTGATAAGAGATGGCATTAAGAAACAAACATGGATATTTGATTCAGGATGAATTACTTTTAACTTTTGGAATGATTTGGGATAGATAAGACACAGTGGCAAATTTTCTGAGTGGATTATGATAGCAGTTTGTTAACAGGGACTTCTGAAACCTTAACCTTGACATTTTTTTTTCTATTAACTAATTTGTCATTAATATAGTATATAGGAGACAGGTCAATAATTTGCAAATAGATTTACTAGTTTAAAAAATTTGGGGGATGCCTGTGACACAAGAGATGGAAACCAATATTGTAGTAATGTATTAATCCCTTGGACTGCAAGGCGTTCAAACCGGTCAGTCCTAGAAGAGATCAACCCCGACTGCTCTTTAGAAGGCTAGATCCTGAAGTTGAAACTCAAGTCCTTTGGCCACCTAATGAGAAGGAAGGATTCACTGGAGAAGAGCCTAATGCTGGGAAAGATTGAGGGCAATAGAAGAAGGGTACGACAGAGAATGAGATGGCTGGATGGAGTCACTGAAGCAGTAGGTGTGAATTTAAATGGACTCCAGAAGATGGTAGAGGACAGGAAGACCTGGAGGAACGTTGTCCATGGGGTCACGATGGGTCGGACACGACTTCGCAATTAACAACAACAACATTAATCAGTATTCAATTAGGGGGGATAACGTGTATATGTGTTGGCTTTTTTTCTTTTTAATGTACTTTTTTAATGTCTTGATTGTTTTCTGGACTTTTTTGGTCTTTTTGGATTTAATGGAGTTTTATATTTTAACTTCTTTACAATAAAATAAAAAATAGATGAAGAAACGAAGAAGGAAACAGATGTGTGAAAAAAAGAATCCTAGTATTGTTTCTAGGGATTAGGTCCTGTTGAAGTCAAAATGTTTTGAATAAGATTATTTAAGTTTGGAGTGTTATAAAAAAATGCAATATTATAATTTATTATAATTGAGAAATAAAGATGCCAGATAGCAGTAGAGATATTAAAAAAATAAGATGAGAAGTGTTAATGGAGAGGGTCGACTTTTGTCCTCACAATATTCTGCAAAATTTCAAAGCAGAAGTCGTAAGGGCAGTAAAAATTTAAATAGTGACAATGCATATTTTGTACAGTATAATTTCTGCCCAGTTTCTTTAGAAAGAAAGTGACCTATTTCCTTTTCTTATTACAGGCAGCCAAAATGGCAAACTACTGCAAGTTTCAAAAACTGTGCGATTTCCTCTTCCTTTCGTTTGCTATTATTTTCATTATTTCTAGGCTTGGAATATATCCTTTATGGTAAGTAAGTGTATTTTTTCATGGGATTGCATATAGTAAGACAACCTTACTCAATCTGGAAACCTATGGCTTTCTTGGGCTGCAATTCCCAAAGTTAATACCAGGCATGGTCAACAGATGGCTCCAGGTTTTAGGGGAGACTATGTTCAAGGACTTATGAGAAGAACTTGTTGGTGGTCTGTTGCCTGTATGTTTTCAATACTGTAGGTTTTTTATATTGCAATATTTTTCCCCGAGTGACGAATCAGTGAATCTTGGCAGGAAGAGAACATAGCCCAGATTACAATAGGAATACTATACAAATATTAGGTGTCAAATACTGTAACATTTAACATCTGCTTTTTTATTACACAGATTGCTTGATAGTGTGGTGACTATGGTGACAGTGAAATGGAAAAGATGTGGTTCTCAGCTAGGTGACCATTTAGGTGTAACTTGCTGGTGTTTCATGTTGTGTCCACTTCTCTGGGTGGCAGGTTACAGAAATTGGATGGAAAGGCATGCACCTGAAGCCTAATCTTAAAAGACCCTCTAAACCAGAGGTCCCCAAACTTTTGGGCAACAGGGACCAGTTCCATGGAGAAAGGTTTTTCCACGGACTGGAGAGTGCGTGGTTTCGTGTGCTGCCTGCATCCCACGGATGGGGCTTTGTTTGTTTGTGCAGACCAGCTGTTGGCATGCTGCAGCCCAGTACCAGTCCATGGACCAGGGGTTGGGGACCCCTGCTCTAAACCTTCCTACAGCTTTGCCAAATCTAAAAGTAATTCCAGTTGCTTGATAAACTATCCTTTCTTTTTAAGAAAAGTTAAAACTCCTCCCCAAGCTGTCCTTGAAGGCATTACAGAAACACTCCCTACCCAGAGAGAGAGGCAATGGTTCATGACTCTGGACACACAGAAGCAACAGAGCATGTGCTTCTCCAGTGCCTATATTACAAAGACATTCATCTCACCATTACTGCAATTCTACACTTCTCAGCTGCTTTCAAATACCAAACCTACTACAACATATAATGTTGCCAGGTTCTGTGCGGTGCTGCTTAAAATCCGTCAAATGATGCCTGTGCCAAAAACTAGTCTAAGTGAGCATCTAGTCCATCATTTATTTATTTATTTATTTATTTATTTATTTATTTATTTATTTATGAGACTTATATACCGCTTTAAGTGCAAGCACTCTCTAAGCGGTGTACACCAGTAAGCATGCTAGAGTGCTCTGTAATTTGATAGATTTATCTGCCCCATACTAAAGTTTATGCTTCCCTGCAGCCCTCTAATGCTCCTACTCCTCCTTTCAGATACACACTGTCTGTTTTATATCTTTTGGCTTTTTATAATTATTAATATTTTAGATGCTTTTTAATTGACTGTAGCCACCCTCCTTATGCTGGTTTTGACCGTAATAAAAATTTGATTGACTGTGTGTTCTGATGCCTGGATTTTTCATTATCTTCTCTAATCCATCTGTTGAAATTCAGTGGAAGCATAGTAGCAGATTTTTATTTTCCTTGCTGCTTTCCTCTCAGAGTAATTACATTTTGAAAGTGGCAGAAGTGACCAGGACTGGATTACTCAGCAGGAAAAAAAGTGCTGTGGAGGATGGGTTTTCAGCTACATTTGAAAGCTTGCAGCAGAATTGACCAAAGACATGCTCTTTAAGCAGGAAGATAATACTTCAGATATCCACTCCTGGAGAAATCAAGGGATTTGGGGCTCAGAGAATGACTTTCTTGTGGCAGTTTCCTCATTGTGGAATAGATTGTCCCTGAAGTCCAGTTAGCCCTACCTTTTTATCCTCAAAGAAGTTCGTCGTCCCCAGAGGATTCCCAAAGGAAATCTGTCAACTTAGGGAACAGCAACTGACGTATTATTTTTTTTATCTTAGATGGGATTTATATGGAGTTTAAATATTTTAATATTGCACTTGTACATCTGACAAGTAGGCAGCATATAAACACTGCAATCAGCCAGTCAATAAAAAATGCACTTTTAAAAACTATAATGCAGTATAAGAAAGCATTCCTTTATTTTTTTTATCTAAATGCAAGCAGAAGAGGGACTGTGGTATGTATCTTGGAAACTAACATTCACAATTAAATCTATGGTTGTTACCATTTTTTCAATATGACATTAACCTCAGGATACTTTTCTGTATCAATTAGGTCAGGGATGTCAAACTTGCAACGTCACGTGACGTGTCACAACGTATTGCAACTTTTTTGCCATTGCTGGCAATGGGGTGGGTGCGGTTTCGCTATGATGCATCCGGCCCACAGGTCGGCAGTTTGACACCCCGGAATTAGGTCAATAGAGTGATAACTCAGAGCATATGAACAACTAGTATCCATTAGTCTATTTATTTTGGTGTAAGCAGCAAGGTGGATGACTCAGTTACAGATGAATGAATATATTGTTGGAATACCTAAAGGACAAGATTAAGGACAGATCATCATGCAGAAAATCTAATCACTAAAAGTCAATACCATCTTGATGGAATATGATCATCATCATATTCATCATCATTAATAAAGGAACCTGCAGTCAAGAAATACATTGCTGGCTAGCACTTGGTAATGTAATAAGGAAGGCCTTGGAAAAAAATATATACGGATGCTTTGATGTGAACAAACCTACAAAGTTCAAAATGGTGCAAATAATGATTTTCCCAGTGACAGTTATGGAAGCAAAAGTTGCACTTTGAAAAAGCGGGATAGAAAAAGCATTGATGCTTTTGAATGTTGGTGTTGGAGAAGACTCCTGAGATATCATGGATAGCCAAGGAAACAGATAAATAGATCATCAACAAATCAACATAGAGTTCTCAATAATTTGACCAGATTCAAATGATCCTCCTCTGGATATATTACACAAAGACCTAGCTCTCTGGAAAAGCATGTAATGCTGGAAAAGGTGGAGGAAAAGATAGCAAGACGACTAGCAGCAAAGTGGATGGACCCAATTACTGAGCTACTGTAGGAAGACTCGAAGGTTGAGGACATATGATCCATTTTACATAGGGCTGCTGTTCAAGATGACTCAGATATTCCAACTGATGAAAATGGAAGCAGTTTATATGCTTATTGGACAGTCTCATTACTACCATTGTTGTAGGAGCTGACTGCATGATGTAGGGTAACGAAAGGTATCTTTTATAGCTAGGTGTGTTTTAAGGAAGCCAATTGCTTCACAGATAAAGTGGAGGCTTTTAAATTTCCTTTACTATTTTTGAATTATTTACAGTGTCCAAACTTTTCTGTTTCTGATTTTCTCAGTCTTTCCCCCAGAGCCATTTGCTAGCACCTGCTCACGACATTACTAGCTGTCAACACTCTCCTCCCCCTCAATATTTCACTGAAAGAAAAAGATAAGAAAGGAATTGGCTGAGTTACTTTGGGGTATGCTGAAAGCTTCTCGTCAAGCTTGTCAGTTGTCCTTCTGTGTACAGTAGATGTTGTGTAATACACTTCCTTCCCAGGCTGGAGCTCCCCTGAAGGCTACAGGCATCCATCTAAAGGTAGTCACCTCCGTCAGTCACCATCTGTCAGGCTTGAGTGAAGGACATCTCTCTTTCTGGATCTTTGTGTCTCTTTTTTTCCCAGGGAAGTTTTTAGCAAATGTTTTGGCCTTCTAGAAGTTTGTAAAATTTGGCTGTTCCAGAAGCTCTTCTGTGTGGCAGTGCTCCTACTATTCTATTAATTATAATGTTTAACTATAATTGTTAATTATATTTCTGTTATTGTCTCCTAACATGCTTAATGTATGCAGTATGTATCCTATTGTTATTATTACATTGGCTGCAGCTGAATCTTTTCTTCACCACTGAGAGTCCCTTAGGCTGAATGATTAATTAATTTATAAGTAAATAAAAATAAGATAGAATCTAATTTTAACTACAGCAACGTCATTTAATTACTGATACTCTAACTGCAATATTTTTCCTATGCAATCAGTATCAATTGGGAGTACTGTAATTACCAAATATTCCATTTCATTCCATCCCACCAGACTCAGTAAATCATATCTTACGACGTATGACTACATTTTATCCTAAAAATTTCCGTTGCAAGCAAGATAGCTGTTAAGTAAATTTTGCCCTATTTTACGACCTTCTTGCCACAGTTAAGCTGGTAATACAGTTGTTAAGTGAATCTGGCTTCCCCATTGACTTTCTTGTCAGAAGGTTGTAAAAGATGATTATATATGGCTCTGGGACACTGCGACCGTCATAAATACACGCCAGTTACCAAGCATGCAAATTTTGATCATGTGATCATGGGAATCCTGCAATGGTGGAAGTATAATAGCACTTTTTGCAGTGCTGTTGTAACTTCAAAGGGTCACTAAATTGAATGGTTGTAATCTGAGGACTGCCTGTAATAGCTTAAATGTGCCACCACATAATATCTTCAAATAAGGTTGAGGGAGAAAAATTGAAAGCTTCAAATTGAATCAAGTGAGAGACTTTATGCATACCATTAAAAAAAGTAGACTCAGTTGAAAAGATTTTATCTCATATTGGGTTGCAATGTGAGCTTACACATGCAAGATACTTTTATACTGATAGCTAATGACTCAGGAAAAAAATTGACTTATCCTCCAACATTAGCTTCCTTATGTCAAGACTAATTATTCTTGGTTAAGAGTGGTAGAACCAGATGAATGCTTGTGTAATCAATTTCTTAATTTATAAAATAGGAAGATTATAATCCTTGCAAAATGGGTCTTAGAATAAGCTAATGTATTTCAAATATTATTCAAAGTGTATCATCTCCTTCAACCCAACATCCTGCTATAGATTGGATTACCGTTTTTATCAAACCTCGCACTTCCTTCAGATTTTGCTTGGATTTTAGAAGTCTTGATGTGTATTTTGAGGCTAGAATCTCCTTTCTATAAAGTATTTGAAATTTGGAGCTGGGTCTTTTATATTCAATAGTTTGCTTTTTTTTTTAAATGTATATGTGTACAAACAGAAAAGCAGCATTCAAATTGCTAATTTTCTGTTCTGTTATGTTTGCTTTTAATCCCACCTTTTTCCCCTAGGAAATTAACATTTTGTAATTAGCTACATTCAGAGCTATATTTCCTAAAATCTGGTAAATGATCTGATCTCTAGATTTTTAATTACAATTCATATAAATCCCAGCCATGGTCAAGATTTGTGAAGAATGTTGTTCAAAAACCAAACTAGGCAATTGACAAATTTAAGATTTGGTGATTCCTGTACGATCTATTTCTCATGAGTGTGCATCTCCCTTCTCCCAATTTCTTTCAGGATACTGAACGCCACATTCTTCGAACTGCCTGAAATTGTTGGTGGTTTTCCTGCTTTATCAGTCTTTATCATTTTACTTTCGATACTTCAAATTCTCCACTGCTTTTGGTCCTATATAATAATAAAGGCAGCCTATAAAGCTCTTTTGAAAGGCAAGGTAAGATAAATGGGGATGTTTTTCTTGATGTCTTTTTAATCATCTACTTTTCCAGCAAATATTCTGGCATGCTTCATTGACTTTTGGGCAGTGAAATCTGTTAGGATTTCTGACTTTAAATACGCTGTACTTTAAATATACAGCATTTCTGATAAACATAGGGTCAATTCTTGCTATATTTATATCTTAGTACATTATATGAAGTCAACCATTGTAGCTAGTAAATTGTGGTTCTCCAAAGAGTCACCCAGCACTATTTGACCTTGGAACAGAATCTGTAGGTGGGTATCCCACTCTCTGAAAGGTTCAAAGGCTGAGCTTTGAGCTCTGTATATATGAGGAAAAGCACTGAGCCTTGTAATTTTTGTATTTTAGGTTGTCTGTCTTTTTTCCCTATTTTATCCTACCTGATTTCCAAGCTAAATTCTAGTTTCCAGTGGAAAGATTGTTTTGAACGGCTTCTTCAAGGTGCCTAATTGCAGTAGGGGATGAAACAACCTATTGCGCTTCTCTTCAACCTGGTTTTAGGGTATTGCACTAACTCAACCAACTGTGGTTTATTCAGTGAACTCTGGCTAATTTGCATTTGTGAGCCTGAAATATTTATTTTTGACCGTCTGAAGATATATTTATTATTTGAGTATTAGATTGAGTATATTATTCTGGTTCAAGTGGTTATTCGTATCGTTTTGTCCTTAGTTCATCATCAGAGCCTGTTTGCTCTTAAGCAAAAGTCTGTTTCTTAGGACTACAAGCATCTCTACCTGTACAAGTGTACACCTGTCAAGGCTATTTTCAATTTTTTTCTGAAAGCACTTGTGCAGTTACAAACATGCATTGGCTCTCATGCATTGTATTTTTCTTTTTTAAAAAATACATACATATGTGTTGGGAAAGTGTAAGAAATAAAAATAAATAAATAACATTTTAAAAGGCAGTATGCAAAAGTTGCAGAATGTGAAACCACAATCTGCCCAGACATCTCACCTTCAGACTGATAGCTGGAGTTTCTGTGCGGTTTCTGTGTCTTCCAGACTGAGCCGCACACTGGAAGGGATTCAATTTGTGTTCTAGTAGGCAGCCTCTTGTTTCGTGGGAAAACAACATGTGACTTCTTTCTGAACCTTCTTAATAATCTCCTTTCTGCTGCCTCCAAAGGCTGGGAAGTGGAATCCTTTGCATGTAAGTTTCTCTGGTAGGGAGAATACAGTACAGTATCTCTTTCTGTGGGTTTGCTGCTTCTCTTCTTTTCTTTTCTATGCCCTTTAATTGTTCAGCTGAAAATTCACTTTGCTAAAGATTGCATGCTCTTTGCAGCTGTAGAGCCAGCAATTTGTTTTTCTTTTTTTGTTTTCTTCCTAGTGTTTTCCCACAAGTTCAGGGTCCGCCTTTTGCAAGTCGACTGAGTGTTGATCCATGGGATGCGACAGGAATTGACCAACTGGCTTGTTGACCGAGCCTGACATTGGACTAGAGCCAACAATTATTTACCATATTCCTAGACAGAAAAGATAGAAAGCTACTTGACTCTTGTTCTCTTGACCTCCTGTTCCAAGGACCTTTTCAGGATGGAAACATTTAAATATGAAAAAAAGGGAAACTTTTCTGGAGTTGACCCCAGCTGAGCTTATCATTTCTACCCTGCCATTAAATTACAAGATGGACCGTTAAAAGTATTTGCAATGGCCCACAAGCCCATGTGAAAATTTTATGGTATGTTATTAGATAGGGCTATTTATTTCCTTTGGTCTGGTGATCGTAAGGAATTTTATTTCTGCTTTGTCAGTGACTTACATCCTACATTTGAATTCAGTATACATGACTTAAGCTACTATTTGGCCATCAAATACTAGGACTCCTATGCACATCCAGCAAGACTTCAGAGGCTTTAAATGCTAGAATTCCTTTCTTATGCAGTGCTAAAATTCATTACATGCATCAAATTCACATCTTTGCAGCTTCACTCAACCCTCCATCTCTTTGTCACTTTCGATACTGCTTGGCCTTTTTCTCAAGCTACTTTTTCTGTTTAGCAGTTTTTTGTTCTGCTCCAATTTACTGCCTGCTGTTATGCCAAATGCAATTCATGATCAGGGATTTTATTATATAGTGCATTACTTCAGAGTATATTGAGCGCTCATTGATGCAGGAGCAGGCAGCCTTTTGGTGGTGGGGCTTTGGGGGATAGCTGAGAGAATAAACAGAGCGGTATTAAGAATACAGATGGGGCTGGAATTTTACAGGATTTTCCCCCATTTTTCTACAATTTATTTTCTGTGACTAACTATGTTAAGATTATACAAGTTCTTAAAGTTGCAGTCTTCATATTTCCTACCCCAGTATGGCAGGCAATTGCTAATTTGGGGAGAGTGCACCATTCAAACTTGGCATTAGAGGTAGCTTTGAGAACTACTCTAAAAATAAGAATTTGGGAGCCACCTACAGTGCTTGGATTACAAATTGCTCATCTTACATCAATGACTTGTTCGTTGTTCATGCCCTTCTCAACTGCAATATTTTCTTTGCTGCTGCTTCTTGACACACACCCTCTCCTGCTCATCTTGACTGCCACTGCAGACATGGCTTCCAGTTCTGATTCCTCTTCGGATCAGTCAAAAGCATGATTGCATGCTTTCTGTAATCCCAAACTCTGGGTTTTCTTCTTACTATGATAGCAAATGGTTTGTTTTGTTCATTTTTGGTTTTCATAAACCAATTTGAAGCCATGACTGGTAATGCCCACAGAAGCTTCCTAAGTTGTTTATTGATGCCAACATTTTTTCAACATCCAAACTGTTTTTTTACTGTTGATATCTTTACTAGAGGTATTACCAATTAAATGCTTGGTTTGTCAAAACATGTATTTATCTGTGGGAACTCTAGACGAAAAACGTGTAATCAAAATTGTCAGCTGGAATCTCTTACAGATATTTTGGCAAATCTAGTGGCATAAGCAATAAAAACTGCAAGACGAATATCTGATATAAGCTTTCAATATACTAGTGTAATCTTGCAAGAAGTGATAATACGCCCTTATTGCTGTTCCTCTCCTTGTTTGTATGGAGAGGAACAAAAATTGAAATCTTAAGCTGTAGATCCATGGAGCAGATTTACTGAGTGTCTGCCATTCCTTCCTCAAAGTGGGTTTCAGATCACATTAGCTTTATTGAGAAGGGACATTCAGAGTGATAGCAGAAATAAAGTAACGCTAAAGCTTGCTTTAGATTCAATAGAAGTTCAGATAAGTATACCTTGTGGAAGACAGAAAGGAGGGAAGGGAAGGAAGGAAGGAGGAAAGGAGGGAGGGAAGGAAGGAAGGAAATACCACAATAGAGAAGTTTAAAAGGTGAGGTTAGGAGGCAACAAATGCAGAAAGGATGAGACCAGAGGTATCCGGCCACTACTTTTAGTTTTAGTCTGTCCCACTGAGCGTATATGCAATGGCAAAACCCAGTGCTTGAGTCTAACCTAGTGCTCAAGTCTAACAAATGGATGAGTACCTTTAAGTCTTCTGTCTAACTTCCCCTTGAACTCTATAAACTGCTTTTTTTCCTCCCAGCCTAGCTCCAGTACTAGATATAAGTTGGGCTGGGAGAGGGTAAAGTCTGAACTGATCAGATGAAGAAGGTAAGGTAGCAGAAAAAGGGGAAGGGATTAAGCTCTTCTCAACTAAGTGTGCTTTCTAGTGCAAAACACAGAAGCTGGCCCTCACTCAGCACCTACTGGTTTGATGCAACTTTCCCTCAACTTCTCTGGTTTAGCACTCAGAAGCAAATAGTTAAGATGCAACTGGAAGCGAAGCTGGTTGGTTCCCCAATGGGGGCAGAGAAGCTGCCAAGAAACTCTTCATAGTTGGCAATATAAGAACTTTAATAAACAAGTAAATAAACAACAGAACAGAGAGCTGATCTCCTTTCTCTTATGCAACTGATTCCCATAGGTTTCCTTCTCCTCTCCCCGCTCCCCCTTTCCTTACATATTTTTCAGGCAAAAGATGACCGAAGTGACGTGGAGTCCAGTTCAGATGAGGAACCCTCCACTCTTCAGTCAAGGACCTCCCAGAGTTCAGCTACCATCAATGGGACAAATGGAACAAACGGGTATCTTACTGGTAGCAACTCTGCAGAGGAATATTAATCCCGGGAATATACACTACTGCGTGAACTGTTTGCAACAGAAAACAAATAAGTTATGAATGCAGGATTTGATTTTTTTTTCTCTCTCTCTTTGTTCTTCTTCCCTTCTTCTTTTTTTCGTGTGGGGGGTGTTAAATCTCAGAAAAATTATCTACACACAGTTGGAATATTTAAAGCTTCTAATACCACACTGCTTTATTTCTTGTTTGTAAACGACAGCGCCACATGATTTTCTGTATGTAGGCATGCTGTATCTATCTATCTATATATATATATATCTCGACAAGATGGGAGCAGTGTTTTCTTCAGTAGTTTTTGAGTCTTATTTATTTTATATCTTATTTTTTGAGATGACTTCCAAATGAAAATGAAAACTTCCTCAAGATTCTCTTTTGGACTTCATTAGGGTCAAAAATTGCCAGGTTAAAGATAGGTCTTTTCTGTGCTTGGTTTCTCTAGCCACTATCTGATATTGTAGTTACCTGCTAAAATTTCACTTATTGCAAAATCACACAAGTTCATGACTCTTTCTAGATATTTTTTTTTATGAGAGGGAGGTCTCTTTTTGCTGAAAGATGCTGACTTTAGAACTTGCTGATACAATCACAATTGTCATTTTCCCTGATTTTAAAATGTATCTTGATATTTTTATGTAATAGAATCAGTTTGAACATTCATTTTCGTTCACTATATGTGCTATAAGAACATTTTTTTTATTGATTTAACCCTCCAACAGTGTGGCAAATTTGATTTGGCTTCCAGCCAAATGAACTAACTCATCTTCAACGTAGGTCCCATCTTGCAGATTACCTTAAATTTTCTGTTTAGATCCATTTTTCAGGCATGTGCAATTGAACTAGTATAAGTGCTAGCTTATAATAATTGTAATATTTATTTCTTGTTTCTACTTACTTATTATTTACAATATTAATTTCCTTCCCTCAGTAGCCCTTCCAGATGTTCCAAAATGCTGTTTAGAGTCTGATCAAATGGGTCTTGTGCATCAGCAACACCTGAGCCGGGATGATTCAATCAATTATCAATCAGTCCAGGACTCTTTTGTTTCTAGTCCTTCCACTCAGCACAGAGCTAGCTAGGAGACTATCACTCCTTTCCCAGCTTCACTTTTATTTATATATTTATTTTACCTGAAGTGGAAATTATACATACATGGCACAGGTAGAATCAGATTATAGACAAGTCAGGAGGATTGTATCCCACATGCATTCCTGTAGATTTTTTTTTTTTTTTTTACACAAACTCACCTTTGAAGAAGAGTGAAATCTAAACCAGACTCTTTGAGGGCTTTCTGTGTTGCAGAAGACAGGGCAGTCAGAGTGATCCCCCCTTATCTTTATAGCTGTGCTATAGAAAAAAGATCTTAGGATTAAAGACCTTGATAGTCGAGTGTTGGGGAAATGGGGAAGAGGGGTTTCCTTTTTTTTCTAAACAGAAGTGCAGTCAAAGTAGGGTTTCCACCCAAAATTTGGAGATACCTAGTTTCAGCTCCACCAGGACTTACATTAGTCTATCCATCCAGGATAGCTCCAACCATCTCGGTAGCCTTTTTTGGGGAGGGGGAGGGCTCATGGGCTGTTGTGAGTAAGAGTGGGGAATTCGCTTTGCCAGTCAGTTACACAGGCCACATGGAACAAATGGTATGAATTTCATGTCGATGCTTTTTGAAAATTATTTGAGAAGATATATATTGAGCTTGGCCCAAAAGTCACATGTGCCAAAGTTAATATTGAAAGATCTAGCCCAAAAGAAAGAACAGCAACGGGAAAGAATGTCTTTCTAGAAATAATATGGGCTCCAGAGATAGGATGTAGAGGAGAAACTGAATTATCCATAGGGCTAGTTTTGATAGATCACAGTAAAATGCTCGATTTTTACATTTACTTTTGGCGTGACAAGATGAGTGACTCATTTGAATGGATATTATCTTACCAAAAGTCTCTTCCTTAAGAGATACTTGTTTTCAGTTTAAATGAGCCAGAAATTAATTGTAAGCCAGTTTGGGAAGGTGGTCTATTTTATGTTTTTGTTTAATTTAGTTTTTTTTGGTTTTTTGCTGCTACATTTCTGCAACTTGAGAAAAGTTATACAGTACCGTATTTTACCTGGCTTTATTATATGGGAAGAGCTTGGAAGGAAAAAGAAAAACAAAATGATTAGCTGCCTTGATTATCGTTTCTATGAAGAAAGGAGTTCATGCGACTGTTTCTGAAGCCAACCCAGTTGGTATTTTCTCTTTTCCTAACGGATGTAGGTAATGTTGGGTCCCCAATCTTCCAGATGTTTTGATTTGTTGCACAGACCCGAGGTATCTTAAACCTTGAGCTGGACTGTGGTCACTTGACTATTCTGTGCAAATATATTGGCCAAAAAACAAAAGCCCAGTTACTTGTGTGACTAAATATCTCTTGAAATGCAAATATGGAAAACGTTCCCTTATGTTTTCTACACACTCCATCAACAGCCCTGCACTCAAGAGTGTAAGAGAATTTAGGAAAGGGGAAATTAACAGTTGTGGTGAATCAGTATTAATACCCTCCTGGATATCAGTTAAAATTTAATTGGTCCCAGAGTTCTTTATTTTTCCTTCTATATTGTCGTTCACTATAGCTGTCGCCATTTGACTCGAGCTCCAATTCTTTGATGCTAGGGCTGAAGACCTTTAGGCAGATGGATCCCAGGGGCTGCATAAAAGAACCTGAGTTGCGATGAAGCAAGATGGTCAAAATAAATACATGTTTGATGTTCTTTCGGTTATTAGTATGGACAGCGAACATTAATTCGGAGGGTTGGCCTATTTAATCCCATGTCCATATAAATATTGCAATTACATAGATAAAAGAAAGGGGTTCCAACTTACCTAGTTGACACCTCAGTGACTAGAAAGGTGTTAGATAGTATTGGGTGTTAAGACTATAAAATGTAAGTAAACAGTGTTAAGTCACAGGAGAAATGGCCTCTTTTAAGGCCATGAAGACTCCATTCGAAAGATACCCCTTTTCTTGCACTCTGGGGCTTGTAAGAAAACGGGGATAGCATTCACATGTGTGCATGTTCAGTGTTCTCCTATGATTGTGCTTGCAAAGACCCCAAGTCAAAATAAGGAATTATTCCCAGGAAAATTCCCTAGAATCCATCTGGTCTTCCTTTGCCTCTAATGGTATTTTCTCATTTAGCTTCTTTATTTAAAAAAAAAAAAGTTTAAAAGGTCCTATTTGTAAAAGTCGTTTGGTCCCTTTTTGCACTAGAAATGCAATGGCTGGAGTGTGTAGAATAGGGAAAAAAAATGAAGAAAACTCTCTGGGAGTTAGTAGCCTTTAGATTGACTGAATGTTTTAGTAGCCAGCCCTGGAGTAGTGAAGTAAGATCTATAGTTGTGTGCATTTATTCTGTTATCAAATAACATGGAACGCACTGAAATAAGTAATGGTGTGTTTTTCTTAAAAAAGAAAGAAAGAAAATAAAAAGATTGGCTACCCATCTGAAGACGGAAGTTTCTTCGGTGTACATCCAGTTAAGTTGAAAGTGTGACGCCTTACCTGCAGTTTCAATCCAAACTGTAGAGTGCCAGATTAAAAATACCCAAAAGAAATAATACATGTATCTGTTGTCATTTTTGAATTGGTTCAGTGGATTTCTCGTTTGTTGCCTCTTTTTTGCAGATTGTCATTTCCTATAGGACTGGTTTACCTAAGACCCAATATAGAGGCCTGGGTCAGAAACTTCAATGTGATTTTATCTTTGCACTCATCTTGTAATTCAGCCCTTACACAGACATCTTGTTCCTTTCCTCTCTTATACCCAATGTCTACTGTTTTTAAATAGTACCCTTAATTGGAGCTTAATCACATGCACACTGAAAATGTATATGCAATGGAGGGGAAGGTGCATACATCCAGAATTCACTTCCTATCTCTTCTTTGCACATCCCACAAAGTAGAATACACATTCTTCTGTGAAATAATCCCCATTTTGTTTAAGGAGAAAATATTCAATATTAGCTGCTAATGAGATCAAGGTATGAGCCATTCTTCTAAGAAGTATTAATATGTGTTTTCCTCCCTATTCCTGTCATATGCTGAAGCGGGCTTCTTTCTTGTATCTGATATATGGAAGTAGCTCTCTTTTGTCTTTTAGCAAAATAAAAGCTTGAGTTGGGATTAATAGAGAAGGAGATTAATCATCCATTTTTCACACATTATCAAATATAGTTCTGGGAGCGATCCTGGAGGACCTTTTTCAGACTGATCGCCTGTGAAACTATCCTTTTGTTCCATATATTCTACAACTGAATTGAGTGTGTTTGTGTGCTTTATGAATGCTATAGTTTCCCATAAATGGGCAAATTGTCATGTAACTGAATAACAGTTTATTTAGATTGTCTTACACTACAGTATATATAAAAAGATACGATATGCTGATGGTTCAGGTCAAGTACACAGTCTGTCCTCACTTTAACAATACATGCCAAAATTTGGCATTTGGGGCTATTAATTTTTTTTTTTTTTGCCACAAATAGGTGTGTGTGCAAGCACACATATATGTATATACACATACATGTGTGCACACATATATTTACCACAACATAAACTTTGGCTTTCTATAAGAAACAGATGGAATAGTTTATTCTCTCTTGTTATTCATATTTTAAGTATTTCATTATTATTTGCTGTTACATGTTCTGTGGTATTCCTGAATTCTCATGACGCATAATAAATTAAAAAAATTTGCATGCTATTGTGGGAATTACCAAAGTATTCCAAATCCAGCCATCTTGAAATCAGAAACAATCAAAAGGATTCTCATTATACTACAAGAGTCTTCCTTGGATAAATGGGATGTTGCTGCTTAACTACCCAACTGTAGTTTCTCTCTTTCAGAATTGTCTTGAGTTTTTGGAGGAACTTTCTTTGTGTAGGTTCCATCGAAGCAGGTTTTGACTGAAGTGAAAATTAAGTGCCTGGCTCAGCTTTGCATATTTAGGAAATGGCTTCCCTTTATTTTAATGTTGATAGTATTTATTTCAACCTTCGCTTTAGCCTTGCACATTAATGCTACAATAAGATGGTCATAACCATTGGCAATGACAATCAGATCAAAATGAAGTTTGATTAAAACTATTCTGATACGATGGAGGGCCACAACAGGTGTGCATGGAAAGTGCAACGTACCCCAAAAGATGACACTCTTTTTGTGCCCTATGCCATATTCAGTAGGTCAGCTTAGGACTGAAAAAGGTACAGTAACTTTTCCCCTGAGATTTTGAGACAGTCGAATAGTCTGAGAAAGTCCCAGAACTATCAGAACTTATTGGCATATTCCATGGTCAAAATTAGAACAGTGTATGTAGCCTTGGATTTTGCTTCTTTCTCCTTTTTGTCGTAAATATAAAAATAACCATTCTTCTGAAATATTTGGAATCAATCAATCAATCAATCAATATTGTGAATTTAGATTTGAAAACACTTTCATAATAAATACTAAGTATTAGGCCTTCATTTGTCTTCTTTCTAATTAAATGGTTGCAGAGGGGAAACTTAAGGCTTGAACCTAGGCTGAAGTACTCTGAGCAGATTAACCAGAAGTTGGATTCACAAATCACTCTAAGCTATTACTTGTTTTACTCTATTATAAGCCACAAGAGTTGGACTCCCACTTCATGCCAAGCAATAAAACATGGTAAGCCTAAAGCACATCATAATTGAGCAACACACATGCAACTCATTTACTTTCCAGTAGCATATGGAAACGTTTGCATATGTTCAATAAACTGTGACCTCAGGCACCAGGAACATAGTTGAACACAAGTCACAATAAGGAGCTTTGGCTAGTGATGGGAGGACGCTGTATGAACATTGTTGCTCTTACCACCTTGATGTTCCTTGATTGAAAATCAGGATAGAAATGAAATAACTCTTTGGGCAAAGCAAAGTTCAGATAAAAACTGGTAGAACCTCAGTATGGAAATGTCTTTTCCATAATAATGCTGGTTTTAGTTCCTATTTACATTGGATACAAGCCATCTCCTGCCTGAAAAGGTTATCTGATCCAGCACAAGTTTCTGAAAATGATGTGTCACCATTTTATTCTGTCCCCACAAGCAATTTTGCCTCCGAAGCAGATTGAAAACAGAGGAATCAGTGAAAATTTCTACTCACCCAAATGGAAGATCCTCCTGTCAGTGAGACAGATATTCATAAATTGTAGCTTATTAAAATAATCTCAAGAAGCAAATCCTAGGGATTTTGTTAGTGAGCAGAGTATTTTTTTAGTATTGACAGTGCCACATGCACCATTGCCAATATCAAGGACATATTTTATTTTAACCTTGGACCAAAATCATTTTTGCAAAATCTGTGAATGTCTGAGTCGTACCATTCCCTCAAAGTACTGCTTTCTTGGAGAGTGGAACTAAGTGCTAGAAGAGTATAGGATAAAAAAAAATCATATAATTCAATGATTCCATGAAGGCAAAAAATAAATTTGCTGCTCCCGTTTCCCAATACTATTTTAAATGTAATAGATGAGTTGATGCTGATTTGTCAATAAAGACTCTTTCCTTAAATTTCATCCATTGTTGGTTTTTTTTTACAGAATTTCCTGCATGGTGTAGAAACCCAACTGAAAGTATCCCAACAAATGTTTGTTGGAGTGAGCTTGACCCTATCTAGAAAAGGGTATTCTATTATCTTTGGTAATTGGTTGGACTATCCAACAATCTGTCTTACTACAAAGTATTTGCTAACCTTCAGGTGGAGGTTGTCCTCATGTAACTTAAGTCCATCACTGTGTCAGGCACTCAGGAGGCCCTTCAAGAATATACTTCCCTTCAATCCCTTCCAAATGAGGCATCACCACCACTCTTTTTTATCTTCTAAGAAAGCCCACAGACATTTATGAAAATAAAGATAAGAATGGATTTTTGTTGTTGCTTCTTTGTTTAATAATTTCAAATATAATAAGATAGGCCAGAGCACCTAGAGGTGTTCTTTCTTTGATATATGTAATTTCTCAACACATTTATTTTCCTGAGACCATAGTTCTGTCCTAAATGGTATTAAGAGAGGTATTTGTTTCCAGGCCAATGGGGTTACATCTCACTTTCAGGGGCTGGGGAACAATCTCCACTCACCTGAATCCCTATGTATTCAGGTGAAACTCTAAAAGAGGACTAAACTCTTAGCTAGAATGTACAAGATGGATCTGCAGTAAAATATATTATACCACCAACCTGAGCAGATTTTCTGCTTGGAGCACTAGGGAGCCATACCTCCCCGAGAGATACAAACAATGTTCTTCACCCTTCCTCCATTTTTGTTTTTGGTTTAATATTCAACAGCTGCTGAATATGTTTAGTACAAATTGGACTGCCTGGGAATAGTAGTTTAGCCTGTTTGGATTCAGGTATCTGTTACGCTTCTGCAAGCATCAAATCATGTTTTTTCTCAATATTCTACAGAATGGATATTGTTTCAGGATGCATGTATGACTGGCTGGATTTACATATCACACTATGTTTTTTCTAAACCATATAAAATAACCGAAACTTGTCCTGGTTCATACAGTGTTAAATTATTGTTCTTGAGCCAATATGTCTTGTTTATTGTTTGTCAAATTTAGAAGTCCACCCAACTCCATAAAGATTCTGAACACTGTAACATTCAAAACAGTAAGAACAAAAAACAAGAATGAGAATGATATCTGTTCAGAAGAGAAACATTGAAAGCAGCTTTAAAAATTCAATGATGGACTTGCCACTCACCTCAATTCAAGGCCTGGGGAAACAGCCAGGTTTTTGAAGACCTTTTAAGCACCTTCAGGATGTGGACCATGTGGATGTCAGAAAGGATGCTGTTTAGAGACAAGTGCCTTGCGAGAAAGATGTACTTTCTGGTCCTGACTGATGATATTAGATTACACCTGATCTGCCTGATCATACAGGATGGGCAGAAATTGAAATAGACAGTCCTTAAGATAAACAGTCTAGTCTTCTTTTTTAGCTAGCTACCTAACAGGTTTTGTCAGTATTATGATATCTTCAATCTGAGCCTACTACACCTTGAATGAAAATAGGTTGCATAAGCCTAGGTGTGCCTTGCCTATGTTTGCTCTTGTCTTGGGCAAAGAAAGATGGGCACACCTTAAATTGTTCAATGTGCTTGGAAAGTGTATTGAGAGAAGATTGGGAGGGATAGCAGAAATGCCTGTCTTCAGCTTAAGGAATAAGACACATTTCCTTGTGGACATCAAGAATGGCCCATGGGGTAATACAATTATCCAACATTTATCGACAGCTTCTTTGCCATCTTCATTTGTCACAGACATTGACCTCTGATCCTTCCCTTTTTGGGATGCTTCCCATGGCCCTTTTCATAAATCCAGACTGAATAATGTCCTTATATGCTTTTAAATATCTCAAGAGTTGGGAGTGGAGTTGAATATCTTTGGCAGCTACCTTGGGTCCATGGAGAAACTAAGAAGCAGGACACCAAAAAGAAAGCTCTATATTTGCATGAGTCTTGCATTTACTTCTGAAAATTTTCTTTGGAAAAACACCAAGAGTAGAAAATGTTACTGAATTAAAACAATTTTAATGTGCCTATGGAATTACATCAAGGGAGGGTCTGCAGTACTTTGGAGAAGTTGTGGAAGTTGTAATCTATCATCTATCAGGGACAGTTACTCAATATAATTCAGTTATGTTGCAGATTCTTGGGAAAACCTGGACAGAAATGTTTGCTACATTGATTTTCTAGCTTTCTTGTGTGCAATCCAGTATGGATGCTTCCAAGTTTACCATCAGTGAAGTGGTAAAGGTCTCAGACACATAACTGATCCAGAGTCACCTACTGAGTTTTATGACTGAGGATCTGAATTATGAGAGACGACTGTCAGTTTTAACCCAGCCCTTTGCCCACTTTACCCTAGTGGGATCACTTTTCATTCTACAGTGGTGTTCTGTTTGCAGGCTGATTAAAAATAAAATGCTCAGAATTTCTAACTGCTTGTAGCCTTTTGATTTTTCCTTGTCTATCAGGAAGTACACTGGATAACAATCACCCATTGGGCTAGTCCCTTAATTACTTTGTATTTGCTTTGCTCATCTGACCTAATTTCTTGCCGTGAAACACCCAGCCTTAGTCTTAGACCAAACTGGAAATGCTACAGCAATAAACAGGCAGTTCAGAATGAAGAACCCACTTGCTGGCTGCATGGTGAGTAGAACACGGGCCTTTCTGTGTAATTCTCTCCTTCTGCCTTTCGCTTTGACCAGAAGACTGCATGTCTGCTTGGAAAGGGGACAGTTTCAAAAGGAAGAATTCCTTGTTCTTACACGACTTGTCGAGGGCTCTTACGTGGAAGCTGGCTTCTGGACTGAGCAGCTGGCCACTGGGTTGAGCTGTACTATAGATGCCCTAAGTACCCTTCCCTCTTTATATTTTCACTCTTCCAGAAGTTCTGTCTCCAGCTTACTCACTCCTTAAGCTGACAACAAGCATCTCAGTTCCTTTTGTGCTTACTCAAAAGCTGAGGCATGTTACTGCTCACCTCCGGCATCTTGATTTTCTCAGAGTGGGGGCCATCCTGGAGGCCTCCTGGAGAAATGAAGAGGTTGGGTATGAAAGATTTTTTAAAAAAAAAAAGTGCAGGAGAAGATACCCAACGGGAAAGAGTACAAGCAGCATAGGATCCTCAGGAACGCTTTGTTTATTAGCTTGAGGCTCATCTATGAGGCTGATGGGAATTCTTGAAGTTTTGAAAGGATGACCGGTTTTAGGTTGATTTTTTGGAGTGTGGGGGGGGTTTTTTGCACTTGTGTCAGAAGCAGTGAGGCACTTCCAGGTTGAAAGGATTAGCCAGTGACATCACTGTTGCCGGGGAGGGGGGATACCCAGTTGGGAGCTCCTTTCACGTCCCCCCCCCCGCAGAAACTGGAGTGAAAGATTAGAGCTCACCCTGCCCAGGGCAGCACTCAAGTCTCAAATGCAGGCTTGCTAATCTCCAACCTAGCGTCCTAACTATGCGAGCCAACATGCTCCTATGATATGGGTAATGCCACACAATAGCGTCCACAATGATTGTGTTAAAAACACACCTTTGCCAGAATTCTCCTTCTGCCCAAACGTAACCTGTTTTCCCAGTTCAGCCTCCCCTCTCCTAGAACAGTTCCTTTTTTTCCCCACATGGCTTAAGCTAGTACAGTGGTTCTCAACCTGTGGGTCGGGACCCCATTTGGGGTTGAATGACCATTTCACGGGGGTCACCAAACCATGCTGTCCGCCATTTTTTTCCCTTTTCCCTAGCTGTCCTACTCCCTCTTATTGGTGGCCACACCCACTTGAGGGTCACCACAACATGGGGAACTGTATATGGGGTCATGGCATTAGAAAGGTTGAGAATCACTGAGCTAGTAGGTGGGAAATCTGTGGGAGAAGCTGGCAGACTTCCTCCAAAACCTGCAACCAAAATAACCAGCTGGTGGGGAAGTTATCCAGTACACTGGAACAAACTGATTAATAATGTTTACGTAATCTAATGTGAAGTTTAGGAAGTTCAATTAACCAAATACATTTTTTCTCTGGGTTTGTCCCATTTCCGAATTGCAGCCCTGACATACCATCCAAAGGTTTCCTTTTTTTTAACTTTTATTTTATTTTTTTATTGAAAAGATTAAAATACAAAATTCAAAAGAAAAAAATTAAACAGAGAAAAAACTAAACAAAAACATTGAAAAAATGTGAATTAAAACAAGAACAAAAATACATATTATTCCTCCCTAGTTAAACAAATCTGTTGCAAAAATAGTAGCTTCCTTCCCCCCTTTCAAAGTGGGTCCAAAATGTATAAGGCTCTTATATCCCTCTGCCAATAAAAGTTTTTGCCCACCTTTGTCCTACATCAGAAGTGCCTAAATTTTTCCAGTTCAAAGACTATATATTCTGATCCTTGCTGGAATCTTAATTTCAACCAGTTATCAAGGCAGGAAGCCAAATCATATGTAACTCTTGTTGAGGGAAATATGCTGACTCTGTAAATCACTTAGAGAGGGCTGTAAAGCACTGTGAAGTGGTATATAAGTCTAAATACTATTGCTATTTTGTCCTTTGGGAGTTATAAATATTTCACAAAAAATCTACAATAATTTTTGGATAGAGTTAGCAGGATTTTTCTCTTTCCCTACTTGGATCCACTACATGTGGGTACAAACTGGTTTAGGTTCTGCTGCTTTGTGCTTTTCAGTTGTATTAATACTGTAATGCTTTCAAAAATTAACACCATTCATACATTAGGAACACAAAAATTGGTATTTTCGAAAGAGAGAGGCAACTGAGCAGGCATGTACACTTGTGTGGATGCTAAAAAAAGGTGTGGTGATATTGTAAATACGTCTCTTTGTGAGTAGGTCAGGTATTCAGTTTCTTGGGTGGAGATGTCAGATGCTGAAAATTGTTGCACCTTAGTAGCTGAAATTATTGTGCATGCACACTCACAAATCTTGGCATTGATATATTCTCACTGGTTCATCTGTTTAAGAAATGAATTATTCTTTTAATATTCCTTTATTCCCAATGTTTCCTGCTGGGAAGAATCATTGCCACTCACTCATTCCTCTCCCCCCCACACACACAAGCACACAATAACACACCCCATGCAGGTATAGACAATTCCAAATGCTTTGTGCCAGAACAACATAGCAGGTCACCCTAGCGTAGGCTTGAAATATTGCGAAATGTTAAACCCTCTAAGTGACTCAATCCCTGTGCTGTGTTTCAGCATGATCAGGCATACCAAGAGCTGAAAGGGTATTCTAAAAATGGAGATAATTACTGCAAACAACTCTTATCTATCCTTCAACAGAGGTATGTATGAACAGCCTGAGAGAATGCAACAAATTCTGCTGCTGAATTTGTTTTTGTTTTCAAAATTGGGACGGAAGAGAGAGTTGGTGTCACACGGAGCAGGCTTTAAGATGAGACTATGAATTGGTTGCAATGAATGTTTAATTTATTCACCCAGTGGTTACCAGGACAGCTAATACCATGGAGGGAAAAGTCAAGTTTTAGAATAATATTGTATTTTATTTCTTTTCCAATAATGTTTGTCTGGCTTGATCATAGTGTGCTCTCGTATGCTGTTACCCAAACTTGCATAGCCACATCTTATAGGGAAAATACTGAAGTTTTTTTTTTATATTTCTATTTGTGATTGGCTACAAGACTGCCATTTCATCTAAATCCAACGAACTCTCGCTTAGGGAGCCAGGGTTTGTTAAAACAAGTCAATTTGTTTAAGAAGCTGGCTTGTTCTGATAGTAAAAATTAGCCCTAACTGAATTTGCAGAAATAGCAATAAAAGGAATGATTAATTTAAAATGGGAATTAAAACATTTGAACTCAAATGCCAGAGGAAGAGAAGACAAAGAGGATGCTAAAATCATTTCCACAAAGAGTCAAGAAAGTTCAAATCAACCCGACTTGCATTTTAAACTGGAATGAGCAAGGTGCTTTCATTTTATTGGTGTTACACAAAACACATCTGAGCCGAGGCACAATTCCCCTTTAAGGACCTGTGAATGTTACATCAATGAATCCCAAGAGACCGTTGAAGCAAATTCTAGCCAAGCTCTGCACAACATTGTTGATACAAATTAAAATATATCATCTATTTATCATCTATCTATTTTGAAATAGTGACAAAAAATAAATCAATAAGCTCTGCTACATGAAAACGGAGTGAAGTACTGCACCAATGCATCTTGTGGATGATTATAAGGAACAGGTAACTCATATGGAAGAGGATTGTCTGTAAGTTACCCCATTTCCAAACTCTACCAGGCTTTAAAGATCTTAAACAGGAGACCTTTGAATTCATTTCAGATATTAATTGAAAGCCAATATAGCTCTTCTAATAAGGGGAAAGCATGTTCTGGATGACAGCTTAATTCCCCTATTGGTGTATTTATTTTGATCACCTCTAGTATTATTTGATGTGCTCCCCTTGTCACTTTGCTGCAGATTAGTTACTTGATACATTTTATATATTATTTGTTAAATTTACATGCTGCCCATCTCACTGTTGTAGCAACCCTGGGCGGCTTATAGAACGATAAAAAAAGTTTTAAAAGATCATAGAAAACAATTAAAATTGTGAAAGATTAAATAAAGACTAAAATCCAAGAGGACATGAGGTTGGAGATCTTCACTCTATCCCATCAGCCATCTCCAATATAGAATGCCCAAATCGTAAGACCCAGTTAAACAAAGCAATTTAATTTGAACCCTGTTATTTACTGTAAAAAAAAAAGTGATGTCAAAATGTATCTGCTGTCTTGCACTTAATTACTCAAAAAGGCTATCTAGAATATTCTTTTTCTAATGTTCACTTTAAGGCCTAGATAGGAAACCTACAGTCTTCAAATTGTGTTGGATGACAGTCCCAAGCAGGTTCAGCCAATCATGGAGACAGAATGAAGACATTAGAAGCGACAATCTAACAATAAATCGAGGGCCACCTTTTTGCAGTCTTGATTGGCATGGGAACCATTGAATCAGCTCTTCAACTTGGTTCATCCTACAAGATTTCCTTTTGATGATGGGAGTTATATAAGAATAGTCACACCCTCATTCTGAATAACATCTTACAATGTAAGGAATTCTGGCTATAATTTTTATGCTTTACTGACTTCAGCAGGGAATAATTTTAAACTGTTCCATTTAATTTAAAATGGATGACATTTAATTGAAACCTACCATTCTACTTTCTTCATATCAGTCGTACCTCTAGCTTAGAAGATACTTTTTGTAGCAGTTATCATTGATTTGTATATATCCATAACAAAAGTTCCGTAAAATTTACTAAGATGTACTTATCACTGAAGAGAGAAGAAAGACTTTTAGCTGCAGCTTATTTCATCCTGAAAACCCAATTCATTTTCTTGTCAAATATTTTGAGCACTGTGGCTTTCGTTAGCTGTACCTTTCAAAAAGCAATTGCCACTCCACTGAAGATTTGTCTTGCATCTTAAACCTTAGCATTTCTTTTGTATGAGATGTCTTTATGAAAATGATGCTTTTATAAATAGAATGAAACATTTCACCATCTGTGCAGTTAAAGGGAGGGGGGAATGAAGTTGAACAAAAATCACTGCTCTTCCTTTCATAGATGCTGGAGCATCAGAATTATTTTCATAATACTGAGAAAATTTAATACACAACTTTTTAGGAGCTGAACTGTTCTTAACAGCCTGATTCTGAATCAAGCGTGCATTTGACTCAGTAACTAGTTGGATTCACATGTTGCAAGAAGTCATGGCAGGTTTTAATCAAGGTTTATTGAATAAACCACAATTCCTGTGTTCATACATAACACAGTAAGCGATAAATGTATGCACAAGAGCTGTGTTCACACAAAACCTGAAGTCAAAAATGAATCCACTTCAGATATGCAATTTAATGGAGTGATGTGAGAAGTAGCTGTTCTACCAGTTATGGAAAGAAAAATCTTCATCAGGGTCCAGTCCAAGCTGGGAATAATCAAAATGGAGACTGCTTTAGAAAGAAGGTTGTAGTTTATTAAAGAGGAGAGCCAGACAGAAAGATTGCTCTGGGAAAGCTGACCACATGTAGTAGGGAGTGGTGGCTTTTTATACCTTCTTGAGCTTTTGTTTGGAATTGTTCCTCTGGTATGAATTTTGACTTGGGTCTGAGTGTGTCTTTCTGGTATTCTGATGGTGGTAGGTTAATCCTATTATGTCCCAAAGGTCATATCCTGCTTCCCTGGAGCTGTGGCTGATGACTTTTGGATTTTTGGTGTGAGGGATTGTTGATTCTAGGGATCTTTATCTTTCTAATCCCAGCTTCCTGGCTCCAATCTTTTTGACAAGATAAGATATCTGCATTTCTACAGCTGGTTTCTGTTTGGGGGAGGGAGACTTGGGGCTATTAAGAAAAACTGGGCATGCTTTTCTGCCTTTTTAAGATCCTTTGAGGAAATATAATATTCTGCCTTTTTAATATTTCCTTCTTTGGGGGGGGGGGTGACTTCCCACACAGTTCATCAAAAAAGATTTGGATTCTAGATTACATCTTAGAACGCGGGGTTCTCCCCAAGTATTTATTTGATGCTATTCTGATTTCAACTGGGGATTGTTTCAAAGTTGCCATTTAAATTAATCTCAAAATTCTTAATCTCAGCAAGCTAAGCAGGTAATTTCTCCCCTACCAGCTCTCAGGCTCTGTGTCACCACTTGCCACCTTATCTTTTGAAACAAGAGCTATCAAGGTCAGCAAGCTTTGTCTGCCTGCAAAGCTTGTGCACCCCTGAGTTGTGTGTCTCTTTCCTGAAAAGTGTGCTGGTGTTTTTTTCACTTGCCTGTAGTAAAGAATAGATACCTATGGACCCAATATTATTCAAACCTCAGAGTATTTCAACTGAGGCTGCTTTAGATATTCAATTGTACCTTATCAAATCAAGGATACTCAAGAGAAACTGCTCTACATATGTACATCTATGTCTGATGTGTGATCAGTGCCTTCAAAGGATACAGTTATATCACCTGTGGCTGTAATAACTGTTTTAACTGTCTGCCAGTTATTTGCCCTAGACGTTTTCTTATAGTCCTCTCCTCATTCAAGGAACCTGTTTGATAAATTATGTTCCGGTCAAAGCCAGTAAGAGTGGCTGAGAGACAGGAACTGGTTTTCTCATGTAAATTACATGAGTGCTGAGGGCAAACAGGGCATAACTGATTCATGACAGCGCAAATGAGAATTCTTAGGAGAGTGGTGCTGACTTTAATATGAGCTGCTGAGTGACATGAATTATAGAGCAGCGGGGATGGATGAAATTTCCAGAATAACAGGAAGCTTCTGACAAATACAGTACAAGGAGCAGCATGTGTTGGAAAAGGAAGAGAGTTTTTTTTTTTAAAATTGGTTGTTCTGAAAAAGTTAAAATCCATCCTCTGTCCCTAAAGAGGTGTCTGCGAAAGAAAAATTACTCTTTGAAACAAGGTGCAAAATCCCATTAACATCCTTCCAAGTCCAGCTAAATAAATAATTATTTATCCATCGGTGATGGATTCATGCTGTCTGGAAATGAATATTTATCGATTGAGAATATAAACAATTTTTGCAGTATTTATGTTCTTAAAAACTTAGCAACAATCAAACCCCTTCCAAATGACCTGTTGGAACTAGTTAAATATTTTGCTTCATTGTTGTTGTTGTTGTTTTGGAGGGAGGGAGGGGCAATGTCTGTGCATGCATAGGGATAAAACCAGCACTGGGTACAGCTAAACGAACTGCCCACCCTGCCTCCAGCAGCTGTCACGGGGGAGGGGTCAACCTGTTTTCCAAATCACCTGAAAGCCAGACAAGGAATAACAGATGGAAACTGATCAAGGAGAGATTCAACCTAGAAATAAAGAGAAATTTTCTGATAGTGAGAAGGATCAACCAATAGAACAGACTGCCTTCAGAAGTTGTGAGAGTTTCATCACTGGAAGCTTTCAAGAAGAGACTGGATTGCCATCTATCAGAAATGGTGTAGGGTCTCCTGTTTGGGCAGACAGTTGGACTGGATGACCTACAAGGTCCCTTCCAACTCTGTTATTCTATTTCCCAGTTGCAGAGAGAATGAATTGGCCACTACAGGTAAAGCATAATTTCTCTCTGTGTTATGTTTCTTTCCATTTTATTGGTGTTTTTTTTTTTTAAAAAATTCAAATTCTTTCCTTTCAATTTTTTTAAAGGATGCATGAATTCTAGTTGAGAAACCCTTTAGGAAAGGGAAGTGTTAATTCTAATTTAGTGCCATAAACGTGATTGAAAACAGCTGCAATGGCAAGGAAGGACATTTGTCAACCTACAGTGATGAGCCATAATCCCAGATTCCTAGTTGTTACTTGAGATAAGAGAGAGCGAGAGAGCACTGTCCTGTCCATTTTGTAAAGACAAACAACAAGCTCCCCCCCAAAAACCCTATCATTCTTTTTTAATCAAAGAATGAACAATAGCAGATACTGCAGATGTAACAGTATGTGAAAAAGATCTTGAGTGATGGATGAAGAGAAGCTTCACAGGGAACGATCAACTAGAGATGCATAGTCTGCAGCTATACTGGATGAGACAGCCCTAGTTTCTTGGGCCGTGAAAGAGATGGCGGGAGTTGTATTTTCAAACTTGTAAGGTTCTATTAATGTAGCTTTACAATGAGGTAGAATTAGTCTGGGAAGGCTGTGTCATCAATCTTACAAGTCTGAAAGTACAAATCTCCTGCTGTCTAATTTTACAGCCTAAGAAACTAGAGAAAGTCCCTTTGGAGCCTCTTGCTTTTCCCACTATCCAGCTATGGTGTCAGACCTCCGAAGACAGTTCCACCCCCCAATTCCCAAGTGAACAGCCAAAGCAAAAATCCCAAGCATGCCATCCCCCATCCCCTCTCAGCACAATGGCAGGACACCAGAGAATGATGGTGGACCTGACATGCTACCCCCCTGAACAGTGAAACAAAATATTTTCTCAGCATCATATTGGCTGCCGGGGGACTGATCAGGGGGAGTTGGGATTGGGAAAATAAAAGAATTGCTTTATGCTTCGTGTGGGACCTTCAGATTCCGCCTGACTTTACTGCATCCAGTTTCTCTCAGTAAAGGTTCTTTTGATTCAACTCAATGGATTCTTCCTCATCACTACAAAAGAATTTTGTAAGTTGTTTAGAAACATTAAGGGAATGAGTGGCATATAAATCTTCCAAAGAAAGGAATGTTTCAGGCGCCACTGTTATTCTTTACATAAGGCCCATCAAATTTTCCAAGATGAAGAGAGGTTGCAGTTTAGAGTCTCCATTATTTATGAAGAAGTTTTATTCTCTGGCTTTCCAAAGTAAGACTAGAAAAAAGCTCTAAAACCCTGGATAGTTGCTCCCTGTCAGTGCAGGCACCACTAAACCTGATAGGCTCTGATTTAATGTAAAACAACTTGCTATGTTCCTGTCCTAGAATATTGCCCTTTTTTGCCTGATTAATTAGGCAAAGTTGCCAAATTTATGAAAGGATGCTTATTCCTAGAAATTAAAAAATCTAACAGATCAGATCAATAAGAGAGAGGGGGAGGGGGGATGAAGAGAGGTTACACATATAAATTAGCTATTTGTTTTAATGTTTTTGGACTGGTGGATTTGCCCATTTTGTTTTCACATATTATTCAACTTCCCCCAAGTCTGACTTTTGTGAGATTTATTAGAGCAGGGGTGTCAAACTCAATTTCACTGAGGGCCGCATCAGCATTGCGGTTGCCCTCGGGGGGCCAGATGGATGTGGCCATGGTGGGTGTGGCCTACTGGGTGGGTGTGGATGGAGTGGGTGTGGCCTACTGGGTGGGCATGGCCAGCTCTACATCATTCGCGTCAAGGGTGCCTGTGAGGGCCTGGGCAGGAGTGGGATAGATCTGAGGGTCTCTGGCAGAAGGGGGTGGGACCAGGGCAAGTGCCAAGGCATGGTCCACTGGAGGAGCCTCACTGTTCCTCTCAGGCCATGCGGGGGGGGGGGGGCTTATGGAGCTAAGACTGAATGCATTTCAGCATAGATGGCCACCACAAAATTGTACATTGGCTCCTGGCTGGCTTGGGCCAGGGCCAAGGCAGAGGGGGCTGTTCCCTCAGTTTCCAGGATGGCTTCGCGGGCCACATGAAACCACTTCGCGGGCTGCACCCGGCCCTGGGGCCTTGTATTTGACATGTCTTTATTAGAGTCTTTAGCAGAAGATTCTGATTTGCACAAACTCTAGCACAGTTTGGGCCAAGACTAAAACTATTATTTTAACTCCTGCTGTATAGTCCCCTCCTCTCCCCATCATAGCCCCACCCCCCCGCCATACATACACAATGCCCATTTTTTCCTCTATTGGTGAAGTTTCTAAAGTTTTAACTTTTAAGATGAATAAGTGCCCATTGATTCTTTTCTCTGCAGAACTAGTTTGGAGATTACATATGGTAAAGGACTGGAGAAATTGGCAAACAAGCTTGCCAAAATGCTGGCCAAAATAAAAGTGAAGTAAGTATTAACTATACCAGGGGTAGTCAACCTTGGCTCTTTTATGACTCGTGGACTTCAATTCCCAGAATTCCTGAGCCAGCTTAGCTGGCTCAGGAATTCTGGGAGTTGAAGTCCACGAGTCATAAAAGAGCCAAGGTTGACTACCCCTGAACTATACTTTTACGCTGTTTTCCACTGCCACTGGTCCAGGACTTTCTTCAAAGGTAAAGATATGTTACCTTTGATGGTTGTTAGAGATCCAAGTCGACAAGTCTTTTTCTCTTCTGGGTGTGACAAAAGGAAATCGGTCTCCCTGGACAGGCTGTAGTTATATAATCTGACCCAGTGATGTAAACTCAGAGTTCTGATGATTGGAAAGAATTGCTCTGCTTGAGATCAAGTTTTTCTTGATCTTTTCCATTTGAGAACTGCAGCAATTGCATCCCAACCACCATGCATGATGATTGGCAATAAGATGATTGTGAGGAACTACAGGGAGGCTGCCGGCTCCCTAAAATGTTTCTAAAACAACCAAAATTGTGTCATATTATCAAATATTAAAAGAGTAACATCAATGACTATTGTAGTACTTTTGTGGGTTAACGATAATCCCCAGTCACAAATGGGAATCATTCTTCTAATTTTAATCCATATCCTATATCAGATAGGGGCACTCTCTTTTAGAAAGAATTGTAGTTAGACATGGTTGAGGGCTAAACAAGAAAAGCCTTGGTCCAAAAGTTTATGTGAATGGAACCAGAATCTTTTCTTTTGCAGGGAGAAGTTCACTGGAAATTTGGGAAGCTTTTCCATGTTTTCAAATACCTATGTTAAAGCCATTATAGAGCTTTCATTGGAGTTTGACTCTGTTTCCCACCCCGAAATAGGGAAATTATGCCATTATTGTTCAACAGTAGTGATCAAATTGAAAAAAATATCTGGACTATATCTAACTTTGGGATCTCAGAATGTCCTTCTGCTCTATGTGCATAATAGAATTGAATCAAAATGCTCCAATATGGGGGGGGGGGGAATGGAGCAGCCCTCACATTAACTACACATCACTCAGGTATCATTTTGCCATGCAAAACTCTTTTCAAATGTAGCCAGCTTGCTTCCAGGGTTCATTTCTATTAAGCAAGTACACTTCTGTAATTCATTTTATAAAACCACTGTTACAGAATTAGCCTGGGTCTCAGATTGCCCAAATAGATCATATGAAAATGTAAACACGAACCTAGTAAAAATGTCACCTCTCCTGGGTTCTTAGGAATTATAACTTGCTCACTCAGAAGTTGAAATAAAAACATGTATCTCCTTTTTTCCATGGTCTTTCTTTAGCTATATTCATAGTACTTCGCTTTGTGTTTCGGAGGAGCTGAAATCTGCATCAGATTTACACAGGTAAGTACAACCTACTCCATTATTCAAAGTCTACTGAGGCCTGGAAGGGCTTTAAAACTTCTGCAATAAACATTTCAATTTTATTGCCTCCTTGGAGGAGATTGAATGGATGATATTTACAACCATTTCTTCTGTGGTTGTCTGGCAAATGATACTCTTTTCTGAGAAGGCAAGTTTTCATAACATAGGTGTATATATTTTATGTCCTGCATCTAGAAAGCTTGGCAAAGCCATTCAGACAGAAGCAATAAACCCAATGAATCGTATCCTGCAGGACCATGAGAAGAAGAAAAAAATAGTGAGTTCAGATAACCCTTATTTTTATGATAAAGTACTGCAACATTTTGCTTGTGGTATTTGAACCTACCATGATGCTGACTAGGATTCAAGCCTGTACCACAAATTGTGATCAAAATATCTCTCAATGAAAAAACAACAACCATCCTTCATTTGAATTTCATCCATTCCCCAGGTCTGAACATGTTGCAAATACAGCAGTATGAGCAAAATTGACTTTGGCCAACACTAACTAGCAGATCATTCCTAGAGACACAGACAAAGAGGGATGATACAAGAAGAAGATGCATTAGAAAAAGGAAAGTCATTCATGACAGCAAGCTGTAAAGCTCTATTGCCCGGATTTGAGATGGTTCTCCCTAAAAACCATCCTAAGAAAACTGTATCACCCTATCTCAGGACACATGTCTTTAACAAATCTAGATGATGATCACTATAGGTGACTGGGTCTCCCTGGATCTGGCTTACAGTGGAACTGATTCCTCCTCGAGATCCTGAATGTAAAATATGCAGGTGCAAAGAAGGTTATATCTGGGGATGGGCTTCTAATTTCAGTGAGGGCCATGGCCTTTACTGGGCAAAACAATGTGACTATGTTGTGGCAATTATCTATTCTATTCTATTCTGTGCATCTTGTGGGCAAAGCATCTACCCCATGGTTTCTGCCTCTTAGAGTTCTAAGTAGCCAATCAACAATCTGGCAAAACAGATCACACTCATTTCAAAGGTCTCTTAGGTAGAAAATCTTTCTACCCTAAAGACATACTGGTGCCCGTTCTGCCCTCTGTGATCAATTTGATCTAAGATACTGTAAAATGGACATCTTGTGAAACGAGGTACATAAAAAGCCCTCCACTTGATAAGTGTAATGGGAGATGGAATTGTTCTTAGGATGGTGTGCACAACAATATATATCAGTTGGTGCAATTCTCTCCCCCCTCCCTTTTCCTACACATTTCACTATAAAGCTTTTGCCAACATATTTCTTGGTGTCCATGTGGAGGAGTGGTGGAGGTTAAAAGAACCAAGGTAGGCCATCCCTTGGTAGACACATACTCCTGGCAAGTCCTACACTGAAAGAAATACAAGATGTTATTCTCTTGGATTATTTTTTTGTTTTACGTTACCTATTGTAAAAAAAAATGCTTTTAAAAAAATAAGATTTAGAAGTTACTTTCCATTAAAAAGTCCAACACAACTAAATATGTTAGGTTATTCCCTGAAATGGTATCAGTTTTAATATTAAAAATGAAAACCTAAGGAATATTTATTCCCCCCCCCCATGATTGTGGTGTTTCTTTCCATAAGGTAGATAATACAGTTGAGAAGACAGCTGAAGCAGTTATCAACAACTGGCGCCAACAGTTAAAGGCAAGTTTTAATCTTTTATTCCTACAAAAATACATGGAAGTGATTTATCCATTAGAAATTACTGCAATGGTTCCAGTTACCTAAATGGGATTCAGAAGCTCTTTCTGAGAAGTGGACCTCTCTAATAACTACAAAAAAAGATACTGAATGACTGGATTCTAATTTGAGAGAAGGAAGGAAGGTGATTCTAAAATAAGGCACTTAATTATCCATTGGGGTTTGCATTGCTCACTACAATTCTGATGATTTGATATTCTAATATATGAGAAATCTGCATGTTACACAAAAATTCTAACTCCAAAATTTGATTGGCCTATAGAGGTGTCGTCAAACTTGGCCTTTTGATGACTTATGGACTTCAACTCCCAGAATTCCTCAGCCAGCGTGCCTGGCTGAGGAATTCTGGGAGTTGAAGTCCACAAGTCATCAAAGGGCCAAGTTTGAAGACCGCTGGCCGATAGACTCAATCAGAATGGCAGTGGAAATTTTGTAGTGCTTATAAGCACAAATATTAATTTTCATGCTTAAAAATTAGTAATCTGGAGGATGCCACTCATTTTTCTTTAAAAATGCATGTTTTCTTCTAGTCTATATTACATTGACAAATATACAACAATGAGATATTTACTATTCACAGGGGAATGACTGATAGATCTCATCTAAATGTTGTCATCAGCAAGCCAGAGATGCCCACCCCATGTTTGTTTGTGTATCAAAAAAAGTCATGAGCCTACGAGCATTAAAAAGAGTAGAGCTTCAGTCCCACAGTTCTACAGACAGCCCTCGACTTACAACTACAATTGAGCCCAAAATTTCTGTTGCTAAATGAGACATCTGTTAATTGAATTTTGCCCCATTTTACAACCTTTCTTGCCACAGCTGTTAAGTGAAACATTGCAGTTGATAAGTTAGTAACCTGGTTGTCAAGTGAATCTGGCTTCCCCAATGACTTTGCTTGTCAGAAGGTCACAAAAGGTGACCACATGACCTTGGGACACAGCAATGGTCATAAATATGAGTCAGTTGCCAAGCATCTGAATTTGGATCACAAGATGATGGGGATGCTGCAAAGGTCATAACTTTGAAAAATGGTCATAAGTCACATTTTTCAATACCATTGTAACTTTGAACGGTCACTAAACAAACCGTTGTAAGTCAAGGATTACCTGTACTTGCCCTCTTTACTTTTGATATCCCGATGCCCATGGTTTGGACTGTATGCAACTCCCAAGACATGGAATAACAAAGAATCTTAAGAGGTTGCTACCATGGGCTTATATTAACTCTAATTATGAATTTTGTTGATAGACCAAGAAGAAATTAAAAGAGCTAACCAAGGACCATGAAGCACTTTTCCGTGATACAGAAAGCTCCCACCCATTGGCTTCCCCAAAGGCCAAAAAAAAGGTATGTCTTCAGACAGGTATATGCCCAAGTGGAGGCATTATATAAATGAGGTGGAGTAGGTAGACAGGTAATGTGACTCAGGATGTTCAATTCCCAGAAGAACACGAATCTGCTTGCTAATTACCTTCTGGGGAAGTATTTATCAGCACTTCTGTAGCCCATAATAGCACATTTCTTCTGATAACTATTTTTCTGCATTACTTGGCAAATCTTAATGATTTCCTCTCCTTCTTTGCATGTGTCCAGATATCACCTATTAACCTGCTTTGAAAGCAATGCCCCCACTATGTGAAATCAATTCCTATTTTTTATTTTTAAAAAAACCCCTTGCATTTATATTTTCATTTTAGTTGCTCAGAAACCTAGAAAAATCTGCTATCAAACTGGCAAAGGAAGATGAAGACTATTACAAGAAGAACTTAGCTGCCTGTGAAACGCGTGTGAAATGGGAGCAGACATTAGAAAATGGGCACCAGGCAAGTCACCAGATGTTTCCTTCTGGCACTGTAATCTCTGGTCTTGACTGTGCTTTTCCTCAGCTGGAAACAAGTCAGATTCTTTTCTTTTCCAATTATATTCTAGTTTGATTTACAGCTGTGTGTTCAAGATAAAACATCTAAGCCCCCCCCCCAAAGTATAACTTTAAACCCTGTTTTGTTGAAGATATGAAACAAAATGGTTTCTGTTCCCAGCATCTCAAACATCCCACCCTTGTCATTCTATTAATGGAAAATTATTTATTTGTAACAAATAAACCCCCAACCTAAATGGGCAAATAATTTTAACTGTATTGATGGAGACCTCGTACAAATCTTTGGCACCATTCCAGGATAATGAACTGTGTTGAGTCCTCGGTTAATGGCAATGACTTCAAGAAGCATTTCATAGTTTCAGGAACTCTTTATTAGTCTTCAGTAGCCCCGTTACAACTCTGAGGAGAACAAACCTCTCAGCCTCTCTTAAAGACAATCCCCGGGCCAAAAAGCAACATTTAGGCGCGCGGTGCGCCTTGCGCATGCGTGCGAGCGCCGCGCCAGCCAGTCTGGTCCTGGGCAGCTTGCAACTGCCCGGGACCATTGCAACATCCCGAGCCTGCCTTTGCAGGCTCAGGACACAACAAACTGTGTGTGAGAGCAGGCATTGTTAGAGGAAGCAATTTCATTTTATTTTGAAATATCCTGCATGGTCCCATGACAAAAAGTCTTCCCAGGATCACAACTCTCAAAAAACTTAGAGCAAGCTTTTGGGCTCTTTGCAAGAGAGCCACCTACAACTGTCTAATTATGGAAGGATAATCACTTTTTCTTTCCCAGCATTAGCCTGATAAAAAGATGTAGGTAACAGTAGGCAAGAAGTTATTAGTAGAGCTGCTACTAATTCTTTGGAGGAAGGCTAAGAAATTCTTCCTTTTTCATCCTCAGTTACCACAGGTTCAGCTTCTTTTCCTTTCTCCCATCTGTATCATTACCTCCAATTTTTGGAAGACAGGATAAAGGGCACACATGTACATAAATCAGGGGTCTTCAAATTTGGCCCTTTTATGACTTATGGACTTCAACTCCCAGAATGCCTCAGCCAGTGTGCCACAAGTCATAAAAGAGCCAAGTTTGAAGACCCCTGATATAAACAGAGACCTCTTCACATGCTTGTAGTATACTTTTAGGACAATTATTATCTATATTGGTAAAATCAAATGTGAGTATATGAATTTCATAGGTAATGTATTATTTTCCCTAATTTCTGGCAAGAAAGAGGACCATGTGATAAAAGCATATTGATTTACAGCAACATAAATGTTCTCAAGATACATTTAGTTTCAGTAGCTCATCCTGTTCCCAAGATTTATTTCCTGAGAACAGGATGATCAGTGAAATACAAATTCTTGGCTTGGTCTGACTTCTGCTTTTGTGCATACGTATTAGCTTTAAAAATAAAAAAAATACTTAATATGTATTCGTATGCTTTCCGACTCTCTCCCCTCCCCCCCAAAATAGTTAAAATCAACATGTTCAAATTAAAACATCCCATAAGGAACAATCAAAGAACATGAATATGTTTAGCCTAAGAAAAGGTACAGCAGTTTTCATTAAGGATTATCATTCAGACAAAGGGGTAGATTTATCTTCTGTTACCCCAGAGTGCAGAGCTAAAACTACAAGGAAGTAGATACAAAGAACATGTCAAGAGAAGCTTTCAGACTGCCCCCTGAAATGATGAGATTTCCCTTATTGGAAGTCTTCAGACAGGCTAAAGCAGTGGTTCTCAACCTTGGCAACTTTAAGACTTGTGGACCAACTCCCAGAATTCCTCAGCCAGCTTTGCTCACTGAGGAATCCTGGGAGTTGATGCCCACAAGTCTTAAAGTTGCCAAGATTGGAGACCCCTGGGCTAAAGGATTGTCTGTCAGATATGATCCAGTGGATCCTGGACTGATCTTCAAGATCCTTTCCAACTCCACCATTCTATACTGGCCATAACTGACAACGTTATCCTTTTCCTGAAAGAATTGCTAAAATGGTAAAACAAATAGTTGGTGTGTAGTCATGTCAGACTCTCACTTGACCAAAGGGGCTTTCTTTCTTTCTTTTTTCATAGTACATATCTCTTTGAGTCCAACCTAATTAAAATCAGATTAAGGACCATCCAGAATTAGATTAGAATCTAAAAAATAATAAAAATACTAAGATTTGTTACAAGTGCTTTTAAAAAAAAGCATCAACAAATTGGCCATAAATCTTCTCACTTTTTTTTTCTTGGAGCAGTTTAATTAAATGCTGTTGAGCATCACCACCTCCACTGAGAGCTTCTGTATCTTTAATTACATCCTTACATCTTATCCAACTCCTTCAGTACTCTTGAGTTAAAAGGAACACACCTACGTAACAGTCAGGAAGATCCACGATCCAACCCCAGCTTATTTTTTGATTGAGCTCAAGCTGCTTCCCAAGTGATTGTTTGAATCCATTTCTTTCAGCTCTTAACAATGTGCAAGCGAACTGCATTCTCTAGCTATTGTTAGTGCAAATGGATGATCCAGAAAAATGTTGTTGAAGTAATCTTTTAATCAACTCTTAAGGCTCCATAGGGAAATAAAGCTGCTCCTAATAAATTTACCCCCCTCCCGAATTTCAATTGCACTCCTTTGTTCATCTAGTTTTTTGAACGATGCATCATTATGGACCTGGGTGCGCCACATTATATAGGCAGATAGATTATGTTACTATTTTGCATTTTTTGTGCTGATTAGAAGGAAACAAGATTTGATTTTGCCTTACTCAAGGAAGTTTTATGAAATAAATTCTGAGTCAGAATGAACCTCTCCTATCAATAGTTCTAGCATGACTTGAACTGATGGGTGGAAAATGTAGGAAGGAAATCTTCTGTCCAACTGTTTCCACCCAGTTGTACTAGAACTAGTCACTTAGGGCAGGGGTCCCCAACCCCTGGTCCATGGACCAGTACCGGGCCACAGCATGCCAGAAACCGGTCCACACAAACAAGCAAAGCCCCATCCATAAGATGCAGGCAGCATACAAAACCACACACCCTCTGGGGAAAAAACTCTCTCCACAGAACTGGTCCCTGGTGCCCCAAAGGTTGGGGGCCTCTGACTTAAGGAGTTTAACTCTCTTCCTACCATCAGTTTTCCTAAGTTTCACTCAACAAGAGCAAACCTTCAACCTATAGCCTTTCTTTCCAACAACAAATAATATAGAGGCATCTTAATGCTTGGTTGGGCGCGTTTTAAAGGCCTGTCTTTCAGTCGGAATTCTACAATATTGTCTGAGTTTTCAACAGGGTCAGCCAGTATGAAAGCTCAAGTCCCAAATATAAATCACATTTTAATTAAAAAAAATGCATTGTTTTTGTAAAAATACTTCCTGCATGTATGTCTGACAATTCATAATCACTGGGGTTCAAAGTGCCCCTGATCAGTGGCCATATTGTACATTCAGAATCTATTTGATTAGATTGACTGATTGAGTAAAGGCAAATATACATGTCCCAGGATAATGTTGCAAGATTGAATCTGGGTTGATTAGCAGGACCTGAGGTTTGAGTAAACCTCTAATAAACCTCTGGTCCCGGTGACTGGCCCAGATTTGATCTTGACTTATTGAGTTTTATCCCACTTTTCTTTTTGGTCATCTCAAGGCAACCTACACATATCTAAAGCTCCCACCTACTATTTTCATACACCCTAAGCTAATCTGTGTGAATGAAGACCCATTTAACTCTGCAGGATTCACTTTAGACAGAAGCCCTAATGGTTAATGGCTGGAAAAGATTGAAGTAACTGCTCTGATTATCATGTTTAACTTTTTCTTTCTTTATAGAGTAATCATTGTTCCCTTTCCAACAGAGCATCCTTGACCTTGAAAAAGATAAACTCCTGCTTCTCTGCAATACGTTACATCGTTACAGCCAGCTTCTTTCTCATTTTGGACAGAGCCTCATTGCTGTATGTTAATTGCACATTCTTTTGCTCTGAATTAAATATTGCTAGGAAGTGCTCTCCTATCTAACCTATCTGTCATTCATTCTAGTGCCATGCAAAGGTTCACAGTGCTGTCACTGAGGCGGAACTTGACAAGGATGTGCAGGTGTTAGTGAATGAAATGTCACTAACCGCTGCAGAGACCAAGCTCGAACTCTTGTTAACAGACTACTATGTAAGTGCCCTGCCAAATCTCCTGCCCTCAATAATGGAAAGAATCATTTTAAGCTTCTCCCAAGTGGGATTCTGGAAGCTGAAGTAGAGCAGGATGGATTCACTGTCCTGGGGGGGGGGGGTAGAACCTGGCTGTGATTGCACAAGACAAAACCACAAGCTAGCCAATTGTGTTTTTGATACTTTGGAATCCTTCAGTTCATTCACAAGCACAGCACATGTGTATGATAGCATAATGCTGTTGGCACGGTGGTTAGAATGCTGTATTGCAGGCTAACTCTGCCCACAGCCAAGAGTTTGATCCTGATCGGCTCAAGGTTTACTCAGGCTTCCATCCTTCTGAGGTCAGTAAAATGAGGACTCAGATTGTTGGGGGCAATATGCTGACATTTGTAAACCGCTTAGACATTTATAAAGCACTATGAAGCGGTATATATGTCTAAGTGCTATTGCTATTGCCATATCAAAATGTTAAGACAGTGATCACATTGGTGCAATTCTTTGTATATCCACATAATGTCAGCATACATACAAAAGGAGCAGGATATTGATCACCTGGTTGTCATTGTCATTCTGACTTTTGCTTTATACCATCCCTCCCTTCCCCTGGGGTTTTCCTGGTACATGAGTAGAATCCAAGCCATTTACTGTAGCGTATCTAGAATTTGAAGCTTAAAAACCACAAGTTCCTATAAACTGTAAGTACATTTCATGCTCCTATATAAAGCCTTCATGGTGAAGAAAAGAGATGCAACTACTTTTCCCGGTGGAGTAGGTTGATAGGCAGAACTTAAGAAAATTAGTCTTCTAATCAGGCGTATGCAGAACAGAGAGGAAAAGGAGAACAAAGGAGACAGCATATGTATGCATACACATATTCTTAATGCCTCTAATAATCAATAGGATTAAAAGTGGCAAATATTTTTTATTTTGGAGCTGTATATCTCCAACACACATTTTATAGTCACTTTGGAAATGGAGATAGTCAGCATATAAATTGAATAAATAAATTTTTGTTTGTTGTACTCTCAAACCCAGAAAGTGTGTCCTAGTTCAGTGTTAAATGAATTCTGAAAAGTATCTTGACTGAATAAATTATGCTTAACTGTGGACAAAGTGTGCCAATACAGCTCATATTTTAATGCATTCTATGAGAATCATGGCATGGAAAGTCAACACCTTCAGCATCCATGGCTTAGTTCAATGCTTTATTTCCTTCACTTAAAAGAAAATAAACTCTACTTTGTTGTTGTTGTTAACTGCGAAGTCGTGTCCGACCCATCGCGACCCCATGGACAACGTTCCTCCAGGTCTTCCTGTCCTCTACCATTTTCTGGAGTCCATTTAAGTTCACACCTACTGCTTCAGTGACTCCATCCAGCCATCTCATTCTCTGTTGTCCCATTCTTCTATTGCCCTCAATCTTTCCCAGCATTAGGCCCTTCTCCAGTGAGTCCTTCCTTCTCATTAGGTGGCCAAAGTATTTGAGTTTCAACTTCAGGATCTGGCCTTCTAAAGAGCAGTCGGGGTTGATCTCTTCTAGGACTGACCAGTTTGAACGCCTTGCAGTCCAAGGGACTCGCAGAAGTCTTCTCCAGCACCATAGTTCAAAGGCCTCAATTCTTTGGCGCTCAGCCTTTCTTATGGTCCAACTTTCACAGCCATACATTGCAATTGGGAAAACCATGGCCTTGACTATACGCACTTTTGTTGGCAGGGTGATGTCTCTGCTTTTTAGTACGCTGTCTAGATTTGCCATAGCTTTCTTCCCCAGGAGCAAGCGTCTTTTAATTTCTTGGCTGCAGTCCTCATCTGAGGTGATCTTTGAGCCCAGAAAAATAAAATCTGTCATTACCTCCATTTCTTCCCCATCTATTTGCCAGGAATTGAGAGGGCCGGATGCCATGATTTTGGTTTTCTTAATGTTGAGTTTCAAGCCAACTTTTGCACTCTCCTTCTTCACGCGCATCAAGAGGCTCTTTAGTTCCTCTTCACTTTCTGTCATTAGAGTGGTATCATCTGCATATCTTAGGTTGTTGATATTTCTCCCGGCAATCTTAATTTCAACTTTTGATTCATCTAGCTCTGCCTTTCTCATAATGTGCTCTGCATATAAGTTAAATAGGCAGGGCGACAGTATACAGCCTTGCCAGACTCCTTTTCCAATTTTGAACCAATCAGTGGTTCCGTGTCCAGTTCTCACTGTTGCTTCTTGACCCGCATATAGGTTTCTCAAGAGACAAATGAGATGGTCTGGTACTCCCATCTCTTTAAGAACTTGCCACAATTTGTTGTGATCCACACAATCAAAGGCTTTTGCATAGTCAATGAAGCAGAAGTAGATGTTTTTCTGGAACTCCCTAGCTTTCTCCATGATCCAGCGTATGTTGGCAATTTGATCTCTAGTTCCTCTGCCTCTTCGAAATCCTGCCTGTACTTCTGGTAGTTCTTGATCCACATACTGCTGGAGTCTAGCTTGTAGGATTTTAAGCATAACTTTACTAGCATGTGAAATGAGTGCAATGGTGCGATAGTTTGAACATTCTTTGGCATTGCCTTTCTTTGGAATTGGAATGTAAACTGACCTTTTCCAATCCTGTGGCCACTATTGAGTTTTCCAAATTTGCTGGCAAATTGAAACTCTACTTACATAGAGATAAATAACATTTACCATACCCCAGCTACACAAATTCAGACCCCATCAGGGAGGAGTTAATTTTCTTTACCTCTGTGATGCTTTCTAATGGTCATCTAGATTATTGTAGCTCAAACCACAATATATTTTCTCCTCTAAAATATGCAAATTCAACAACAAGAAGATTTGTTCCTGTCTATATGGTTATGCCTGGTTCTGCCCCTAGCCTTGATTCATGTTGAACGAAAGACATCATTAAAACACTTTTCCATAAAATATGCTTGTCACACACAGAGATTTGTGCTTTTTCAGGTGCCTTTTCAGATGCAACCTTATCAATACATAGCATAACAAGGTAAACTGCTAGTCTTGTTAAGTTTATATCTACATGGTTCAGTGCCACACAGAATACTTATGTGAATAACACTTGATATTCAGTATAAACCAGATCAGAGATGCACAAGGATATGATAGCATAGTGGAACAAGATATTTTTAAAAATCATTATGGGAATAGTCAGGATTTCAGTGTCTCTATTTTTAATTGAAGAGACTCAACATTAGTTACTGCATTCAAGTATTTTAATTAACCACATACCAATTCTTAAAAAGTATTTCAAATTCTGGTCACATATCAACATGGAGAAAAGCCATAAAGGGTCATGTCTATTTCACAGGGACATAGATTTCAATAACATAAATTTCTACTGCCATATGAAAAGATTCAAGATTAATATAGAATTGCTTTTTTCAGCTTCCAACTTTTCATCCCCCAATTTTTATTTAACCCTTTATATATATTTAAAATATTTTGAATGTTTTTTAAATTAATCTCTAATTTTTTAATGTTGACTTTTGATATTTTTAAATGCTTGTTTTTAAGGTACATATTGTTTTTTACTTGATTATTGCATGCTGCCCAGAGTTCTCATGAGATAAGTCGTATATAAATTAGATAGATTGATCATAGATGATAAATGATAGAGATAGATAGATAGATAGATAGATAGATAGATAGATAGATAGATAGATAGATAGATATAGGGAGATAGGGATAGAAGGAGATAGAGATAGACAGACAGACATACAGACAGACAGACGAGAGACAGACAGACAGACATGCCTATCTGAAATGTTCCCCTATAACTATTTGTAAAGTGAAGGCTAAAGCTGAGGAAAGATTAAATACAACTAACAGTTCTGAGAGCTGGTCTTGATTGTTATGACTTTAGTAACATACAGATGTTCATCTGGTATCTTTGAGGATTTTGATTAAACTTTTAATGAGAAAGTGACAGAAATTGTCTCTGGGGGACAACTGAAACGAAAGGTTGCTGGAGAGCAGAATGAACCCACCTATAATGGAATTTTAAAAACAACAAGGAGCCTGTTGTTTTCCACTGACACTTCCATGTAAACTTAAAAACTAATCATCACAGACCAAACTGGCAAAGTACATTGGGAGGGCATATGTGAGCTTCACCCTTGATTCTGGCTGTCAGCAACATCTGTCTGCCTTTTTTTTTTTTTTTCCTAGCCAAAGGGATCTAACTCTTTCATGCTGACTTTATAATTCATAAGGCTGTTAAAATAAACAGCAAATTGCCAGCTTGGCAATAAGCATGAGTTGAGAAAATTACCATACATATACTTCATTCCCCGCCTGCATTTTAATCAAAACATATTAATCTTTTTTCATTCTCCCCTCCTTTTTTTTTTTTTTTTACTATGAAAGGAAGAAGATATGATGAGCCTAATTGAAAAAGAGAGGAGACAAACTGCCATCAAAGCTAAAATAACACGGGTACAGGCAGATTTGGAAAAGGCCCTGCAGGACAAAACAGGTTACCTCACATTTTAAGCATTTTATACTTGATCATTTACACAAGGAGAAGGTGTATCTAGTCTGTGCCTTTCTACGGTAGCTCTTCTAAAGTTAAAGAAGCCCAAACTTTTAAAACTCTCAGTTTGTTCCCCTTGGATAATGGATTGTATTGGTCCCTTTAGCTGATAGCATTTACGGAATTTTTTGTGCCATTTTTTGTGCCATGGGACCCCTTTGAGAATACACTGAAGTCTGTAGAGACCTTCTCAGAAAAGTGTATTTAAATGTATAAAATAAAATAACATAGATACATAGATAGATGATAAAGAGAGAGAGATAATAGATATAGATGATAGAGACATTACATTACAAAGGAAACCAATCCCGCTCATATTGTTATCAAAATATTTAAAAACTAAGAGATGTTTAATATAGAGATACCTTTGTTCATTTATTAAAATGCATTAAATCATTAAAAAGACAATAGCTTTTTTGGAGTATAATTTTAGATAATGAAATATATTGAAGTTAATATTTTTTTGAGCATTTAGAGGCCATACAGTACTTTCTTGCCTATGAATAAAAAGAATTAACTTAGAGCAGCGGTTCTCAACCTGTGGGTTGGGACCCCAGTTGGGGTCGAATGACCATTTCACGGGGGTCGCCAAACAATGCAGTCCGCCATTTTTTCCCCCTTTTCCTTAGCTGTGCTACTCCCTTTTATTCTATTGGCTTTTGAAAGCCAATAGGAATTGTCCAGGCTGTCTCTGCCCTGCTGAGCCCGCCAAAAGTCCCATTCTGCAAATGGTGCTGCAAGTTGTCTGCAGCGAAGGTGAGCTGTCTGGAGGTTTCCACCATTCCCTGCTGAGCAACTACTAAAAATGTAAGCAAAAGTGGGCCAGGGGTGGGAGGTGGGAGGCTGGCGGGCAGGGGCCATGCTGGTGTGCGTGGGGCCCAGCGGGTGCCTTACCTCCCTTGGGCTGGGCCAACTGGTGGCCCAGCCGGTGATCGGCCTGCGCCGTCTCTGCCGCTTGCCAGCTACACCTCGGCCAGCGCAGGGGGCAGCACCACGCATGCGCGGTGCTCCCGAGCAGGGAAAGGCCTCGACTTATGACCGGTTGGGTAGTCCTTGACTTACGACCAGTTGGGTAGTCCTCGACTTACGACCGGTTGGGGATCGCGGCATTAAAAAGGTTGAGAACCACTGACTTAGAGATTAGACTTTAATAAAAAATAATGTAAATTTTTCCCAGTCAAGTTCATGGATCAATAATGGGTACAAGGGCAAAAATTCTACTTAATAGAATGAGCTACGTCCAACTTCTTAATATTCACGTGAAACAGAAACTTTCCCAGTAATTATAGAGCTTTGAGGATGTAGAGCTTTTTGCAAGTAAGGTCTTCAATTTGGAACAGGCTTTTCTAAGGTTAAAATACGATAGATAGCTCTAAAGTTTGTACTGATATTAAACAGGACACACTATAATTGAAACAAAACTGGGGGTATCTGAATAATGTTCCTTTTGATTGCTACTTCTACCCTTGAAAGTAGATGATTGTGTACATTCTAATATTGTTTCAGTTCTTTTGTTGTTCTGTTCTTTTTAATAGCATGTATATTGCTTTATTCTAACATACGGTACCTTGTGTTCAGAACCCAAAGAGTTTTAAAAATATTTTAATGTAAGTAATGGAAATTTGCTAACAATGCTATTATATCATGGTTGATTTCCAGGGTTGTTTAGAAATGTATGAAGACTGAGCAAATCCTTGTATTTATATTTTTTAAAGGCTTGGAACGGATGCTTCAGGCTTACAAAGAAACCCCTCAGTTTTCAGATGCAAAAAATATAAATGATACCATTGCACAACTTAATGAGGTACACTAGAAATTAATATATATTTCACATTTTAAATACTTATATTGCTTAGCTTTTGTTTAGCTGAAATGCAATCTTCGGTGTTAATCCTTTGGCTGGCTCTAAGAGTGCACCTCTGGATGTATATATCAATGAAGTTAGGTAATAACTACAAAAACCACCTTTCAGTTTTGGGGCTGCATTTAAGGAAAGCCCTTTCCAAGTCACTATTTTCAGCTTCAGGTTAAGTGCTTTTCCCAAGCATTTTCACTTATGCATCTTTACATTTTAATTTTAAACTATTTTGCCTTGTACTTCTTACTCTTTTACTTTTTAAGAGCTTTACAAGTTAATCCCACATAAATTAAAAATACATGTCCTCTTTACAAGAAGATTCATTGGCCATAAAGCAGAATAGCCTGCCAAACATGTTTTGTTAATGTTACTTGAGCATTATTTTAGAATAATAAAACAAATACAGATAGTCCTCAATTAGTAACTAGCTCGGAGAGTGACCATTTGCAGCTACAACGGTGATGAAAAAGTAACTTTGTGACCAATCTTCGTATTTACAACCTTTGCAGCAATTCTCTCTCTCTTTCAGTCACATGTTCACCATTAGTCAGTACATGTTGTCTTGTACCTGACCTGCTTCTTTTTTCCCTTTGCAGAGCGGAGAGTGCCTAAACAAACTATCTCTTCCTGAGCTGCTTTTCTATGCAACACAGCACATCTCTAAAAAAAAGTCTTAACTGCAAGTTAACAAGATCAGCTCTGGGAACTTAATTACAGGCAGCTACTGCCTGTAACTGACCAGACTTTAATCAGTTTTACACCTTCTGCTTTTGTTTTCTTGCTAAGTGAACCAGGATTCCCACTAGCACATTCTTTTCAAAGTGAATTCCCCACTGTATCCCTCCTTACTCTCATGTAATCCCTTTCTCTCCAATTAATGTAAATACAAACATCAATTCACTTGTCATTAATTATCCTGACACTGGGGTGAGGATTCAAAAGGGCAAAGGAGTAGAGAAAAAGGACTTTAAGAGTTGCCTTTTGACTCAATTTCCTTAGAAGTCAAGTTCCAGAAACTTTCCCTGCCCTTTGGACTCACCTGACTGTCTTGGACTGTATCCTTCGGGAGCTATAAAGCAAAGCAAAGCTTAAATAAAATCATAAATACAGTGGCCATGTGATTTTTCACTTAGTGACCTCTTTGCTTAAGAACTATGTTGCTGGTTCCTGCAGCTGCTAATGAGGACTAACCGTATTTTAAAGGTAGATTTAGTCTCAGTGTCTCCCTCTGCTCCAAATAATCAGAACTGGGAAAACAAAATTTGTGCATCAAAATATTTGTTATTTATATGTATTTAAAAATATATATTAAAGGCAACTCTGAAAGCTGCCCTTCTACAAGCAAATCATTTCAAATTGGGGAGCGCACTAGCTGAAATTGAAAAGAAGCCTAAACCGTCTCATCTCTTGAATAACTGCATTTCAAAATGGAAAGAAAAGGTAATGATATGGGTTATGGTACTACATGTCCGTACGATGATTATATAAATCTGAAATAGTCCACTCTCAGCATGAACATTTGACTACTGGTTAACCAACTTGAAGGTGGTTATATCTTGGTATATACACACCATGTCAGTTATTATATTACATATTCTCAGGTTTGACAGGAGGCTGTAAGTGAAGTTTACAATCTTCTAATCCTTTCTGCATGATTTTACTGCTTTATTTATTAATATTTACTGGGAGGTGATACTACCATTTTAAAGTTTATACTACCCTATTTGTTAATCTTAATCCCTTTTCTTGCCTATATATAGCTAGAACATGTATTATAATATTTTGTTTTTCATAGTGCTTTTAGCCAAAATTCTTTACATGTCTTTCTCCTACTGTATTCTGATATTGTCAATTCATATTTCCTCTGTAGTTATTAATACCTTTCGTTTCTTTCTTTCATTTTCATTTTTCTGTTGCCAATAACTTGTCTTCATGATAGGGGAAAAACCAAAAAAAAAAAAAAAAACACCTCTTTTTTGTTGTTCCCAAATAGTCTTCTGGAGCATGTTTAGTTTTTCAAGCATTTATATGCCTAGACCCCAAAAGCCTCATTTATTCAAAGGAAAATTGGTGAGCACCCCTACCCCACCCCTTCTCACCTAAGTATTAAGCTGCAGCCACTCATATTTTTTATTCTGAAGCCATGCAACTCCCAGGAACATTTTTGGAAATGGAACAAATTTCAGAAATTGATTATTTTTATTGTGGCATACTAGATTTCCATTTATTTAATGTTAGATTCTTTTAATATGTATAAGGTAGATGGGCTTGGAAATATTCATAGATACCCTCCCCATTTATTGTCATTAATGTGTTGCGTGCTCTCAAAAGTATACATATACATCACACATATATAAACATGCTATATACAACATATGTATATTACCTAAACCCTTACATATAAATACATATACATATTAATCACTGTCTATCTTGAATACATAGCGGAAAGAGAAAGCTTGAGAGTTCACAAGATTAATACTGTATGGAACAAAAATATGACTGAATCTGGATGTTCTGCTTCGGATACCACAAAGCCCCCTCCCAGAAAGTTACAAGGAAAACAGGTCGTGAAGAGAATGTGTAGTGTCCCAGACAATCCTGCAAACCCTGCTCAAGCAATGCTTATATGCCATGTCCTGGATGGGAGGGAGTGAACGGTCAAGAATCTTTTCTGCCATGCTCACCACTCTCTGCACCACCTTTTTGTCTAGAGCAGTGATGCTTCCAAACCAGACTGTGATGCTGTATGATAGGATGCTCTCGATTGTCCCTCTGTAGAAAGTGGTTAGGACAGGGGAAGGAAGATGTGCTTTTCTCATGCAACACAGAAAATGCAAGCACTGCTGTGCTCGCTTCACCAGTGTCTCGCTGTTGACTGACCAAGCTAGCCTACTCATTAGCTGCACACCCAGAAATTTGATGCTGGTAACCATCTCCACAGATGAATCATTAATGCATAGAGGAGTGTGGCTGTGCCTGCCTTTTCTGAAATCGACAGTGATCTCTTTACTTTTCCCAACGTCTAAAACTAGGCTGTTTTTCTTACACCAGTTCACCAAACCCTCTACCTCGTGGTAAGCACCCTTATTGTCATCTTGAATAAGGCCCACTACTGTTGTATCATCTGCAAAATTCACAATATGGTGAACCAACAGTCATGAGTCAACAGGGTGAACAGCAGTGGACTTAGGATGCAGCCCTGGAGAGAACCTGTGCTCAAGAAAATGGGGTAGAAAATATTAATCCCAACTCGCACATACTGGGGCCTATCAATAAGAAAATCAAGAATCCAGTTGTACAAAGGAGTATTAAAACCTAAAAGGCCCAGTTTGCTATTAGATGCTGCGGAAGGATTGTATTAAATGCCGAACTGAAGTTGACAAGCAGCATTCATACATGGGTATTTATTTCCTCTGTCACGGGTGTCAAACTCGTCACATCACATGTTGTGACATATTGCAACTTTTTTTTCATTGCTGGAGCTTGGGTGGACGCAGCCTCTGAATGATGCAACCAGCCTGCGGGCCGGCAGTTTGACCCCCCTGCTCTAAGTGCTCCAAGCTCAGATGGAGAACAGAAGAAATAGCATCCTCTGTACATCTACATTTTGATACTGACTTGAAAAATCCTCCAGAAAGGATATCTGACTTGTATTGTAGCCCCTAAATAAACTTTTTAAAGCAGTGGTTCTCAACCTTTTTAATGCCGCGACCCCCAACCGGTCATAAGTCGAAGACTACTCAACCGGTCGTAAGTCGAGGACTACTCAACTGGTGCAGCACCGTTTGCAGAATGGGACTTTTGGCGGGCTCAGCAGGGCAGAGACAGCCTGGACAATTCCTATTGGCTTTTGAAAGCCAATAGAATTAGACTCTATTCAAGAGAGTCTATTCTATTGGCTTTCAAAAGCCAATAGAATAAAAGGGAGTAGCACAGCTAAGGAAAAGGGGGAAAAAATGGCAGACTGCGTTGTTTGGCGACCCCCGTGAAATGGTCATTCAACCCCAAATGGGGTCCCGACCCACAGGTTGAAAACCACTGTTTTAAAGGTTCCTTCTCCTACTCCCACCCCTGAGCCTATAGGACAAAGCCAACAATTAAGAGATTCTAATAGAATGGCACTCAAAGATGCAGGTTTATTAAAAATAGAATGTCATTGAAAGCTGATCCAGGAAAGTTCCAGTTCCTCAAGAGAGACGTGTAAAGGGGGAGAGAAGCAGTGCTTTTTTTCTAAAAAAAAAAAAAAAGGTGCTGGAACTCACACATATCATATAACCTGCCTTGCCTACCCTACAAGGTTCCATCCAAAAAAGGTGCCGGAACTTCGTTCTGGGCATTTTATGACAAAAAAAGCCCCGGGGAGAAGTATCACACAACACTATAGACAACACACATGGCAACTTTACTCGCTAAGCTCTTGTGTATGGCAAGTTTTTCCCTGCTGTGCTACAGATCAGGATGGTTGCAGAGCTGCAGGTAAAAAAAAAAAAAAAGGGGGGGGGGGCTTCTTTCCAGTAGCCTTCAAATCAAAGCTCTTCAGAATCCTGACTTTAGAAAATCTTCCTACATCTTCTTTCCAATCAACAATGTTTAGATGTTGTGGTTGAATTCTGTGGCTTGCAGGATGATTGCTTTAAATGTTTGCAGAATTAGAATGTATCTATGGTGATAGTTTTTTTTACAGGATTATTGACCAAGAAATCTGAGTTGAATACTTCTTCAACAGGCAAAGAGAAACAATACTGTTTTCTTCTCCCTTTAGGACTGTCTACATAGTTCTGTGACAATCACTTGCCCGGTTACAAAGAGAAGCATTAAACAGACCTTGAAAATGAGGACCACCAGTGAATCTGGGATTAGGTCAAGCTGCCCGCCAGGTAAATTATTCATTTATTTATTGCCAGCTAATATCACCCCTATTTCCATCTGTCTGTCTCTTTCTTTTTTTGTCTGTGTACGCCTTTGGGACAATTTTTGATTCTGACAACTGCCTGAACAAATCCCTACAGTTTTCTTGGCAAGGCTTTTCAGAAGTAATCTACCATTGTCTCCTTCCCAGAGCAGAGTGAGAGTGACTGGCTCAAGGTCAGCCAGCTGGCTTCATGCCTATGACAGGACTTGAACTTCTGGTCTTCCAGTTTCTAGTGTAGTGCTTGTTTTCCTTTCATAAATACATAGTAGCTGGAAAAAGGTATTGATATTCTGTCAAGGATATATTAGAAAGCTAGGCATCAAATAATAAGTCTAAATAGAGATTTAAAAGAAGAGCTCAGTTTATTGGCAGATTCCTCAGACCCCAGTTATTTCTGTTATTCTTCCCCACTCAGTTGTTCCTTGACTGCAAAGCTAATTGTATTCTACTTCATACACTAATGGAGCAGCTATTAATGAAAGAAAGATTGAGCCAAAACAATGCTTTGCTGCAAAGGTAATTTAAAAAATAAAAAAATAGATATTAGAATTTGGAATTTCTTTAAAGAAGACACTAAACTGCAGCTACTCTTAATATGCTGTGGGCTAGGAACTGAGGGGATATTTTCCATGTCAACTCATTTCGAAACAGGCTTTCTTTTTTTCAGATTTAGCTGAGAAATAGTGTATTTTGTGGTACATTCACTTATCTATACATACACACAGGGCAGAATTGTCTGCAAATAAGGAACATCGTAGAAAAAATGCCAGGGGCAAGCCACATGCATATGGTTTGCCAAGAAAACGGATTGTACCTATGCGGTCATCAGCAGTTGCGTTTGTCTTTGAGACATTTCCTTCCTCTGCAGGTGGTCCTCGACTTACAAAAGTTTGTTTAGTGACCATTGAAAGTTACAGCAGAACTGAAAAAAGTGACTTATGACTGGTTTTCACAGTTGTGGACCTTTGCAGCATCCCCGTGGCCGTATGATCAAAATTCCGATGATTGGCAATTGGTTCATCCTTATGACGGTTGCTGCGTCCCAAGGCCATGTGATCTCCTTTTGCGACCTTCTGATAAGCAAAGTCAATGAGGGAAGCCAGATTCACTTAACAGCAACTAACTAATCAACTGCAATGATTCGCTTAACAACTATGGCAAGAAAAGTCATAAAATGGGGCAAAACTCACTTAACAAATGTCTCACTTAGCAACAAATATTTGGGTTCAACTGTGGTTGTAAGTTGATGTCTACCTGTATAGAGAAAAGGGAATCAACTGGGCCAATATTAAAAATATTCCATTTTTGGGGGTTGACATTGCAGAAACAGGGACCGGTGTGAATTCCACCACCTCCTTGCAACCGGAGAATTCAGAAAACAGAACGTGCCGAGCTTTGTATGACTACCACACAGAAAGAGAGGATGAGCTTTGCTTAAGTAAAGGTAACATTTACTCATCCTAATCTCAATAGAAATTGGGGGGGGGGGAAGAAGCGAGTTAGAAATGCAAATATCTTTCAACTATTGTAATGAAAAATCAATGGGTGCTATCTCATACATTTATTTATTTATTTTTAACGAAGAGGACCCATTAAAATGTCATAGAACTATTTGGGGTCCTCTGTCAGGGTTTGCCAACCTCAGCTTATCACAGCTGATTTGTTATTCAGAGTTTTTTCTCTTTGTGATGCTCTTCAGTATTCCTACTGGGGTCATCTCAAGGCAGCTGCCCGTATTTTTAATTCCCCTTATTGGATGCTAAAAATGAATATGGAGAAAGACTGAAGAGTAACCAAGTCTGCACAGTACTCATCTGCCTAAAATCCTGAAAGCTTGTGTGTCATTTCAGAATGTTGTTCTGCCTAGGGCAGGCCCTGGGATAACTGTTTCATAACGCAACAAGAGAAAGATATGCCATTAGAATTACTTTGATGAGCAATCTCAGAGTTTGAGCAAACTATGTAAAAAACTTTTCAAAAGAAACTAATCTAGTAACGGTTTGAACCCTCCCTAATTGCACCTGTGTGCCTCAAATAATAGTAATTATCTCAATAATAAACGGACTGGGAAAATACAGGTTTAAAACAGCTGTCCTAAGATTGCCAAATTAAAACCCAAGGGAAAAAAAAATTGTGGCTTCCTTATTATAATCACATGGAAGAATATTATAATCACAACTTGAACATTTTTGCAGATGTTCGCTGATCAAAGATAAACAGCTTGAAAAAAAAAGATGGAAATCTATGCATTAAAAAAAACAGCTAGGGATTTAAGAAACTGAATTGATCTTGCAAAAGGACCGGCCTACAGCTAAAGGCTACTAAAAGCAACCGTCTATATCAGGGGTCTTCAAACTTGGCCCTTTTATGACTTGTGGACTTCAACTCTCAAAATTCCTCAGCCAGCGTGCCTGAAGTCCACAAGTCATAAAAGGGCCAAGTTTGAAGACCCCTGGTCTATATCTTGTGATAGAGCTTTAGAAATCAAGCTTGTCATAAATTGGTTCAAAGATGTGGTCCGTGATTGAGCTAAGCAACAATGGGGTTGCTATGATCCAGAGGAATGGAATAAATTTCATTCAGAATTCAAAGAGTGCGCCATTTTTTTTCCTAACCCAGCTTTAGCTCTGCAAGTTGTGTCTCTTGATTTTCTTCCTACCTACGTGCGAGATGCACTCGAGAGCAGGCGCCTTGTTTGAAAGACTAGAGAGAAGGCCTTCTATACATCTGTCCTCCATTGGCCAGTAGATATTGTCCCATGCATTAGATTAAATAACGACACAACATAATTAAGTAAATCTTAACTGGCTTGTATTATTATCCTTTTAGGCGACGTAATTGTGATTCATCGCAAAGACAAGAGTGGCTGGTGGTACGGTTCTAGAAAGGGGGAAAAGGGCAATTTCCCTGCTACATATGTGGAAGAAGTGACTCTCTTGACTGACAAGAGTGACGAAGAACTGTCGCTTTAAAACAAAAGGAAAAATAATCACCCCAATATGGATAACAAATCCAACAGACACGTTTCTGTGTTCAGAATGGAAGCCAAAGAACAATTGTCTTTATTTACAAGAAGCTCTGAAACTGATATTTGGTGAATTAGCATTGCAACAAAGCAATTAAGAGACAACTTACATGAAATCCCTTTTAAATGATATTAACTCTTAAATCATCACGTTAACCAGTCTTTGCAACAGAATGAAAGGGAAACTGACATTTATTTCTGAAATGCCAAGAGGAAGTCAATTTACCATAGACTATTCATGAACTGAATTGACACAATATAATCAAATTTTACACCATGGTTGTTGTTTTTTCCAGACTCATAAGACTTTAGAAGGACATGAAGATAATAGCATCCCTATTGCAAGGCTGAGCAAGCCAGAAACTTGTTCTGCTAGAAGATAAAAAAAAAACTTCTAATTTTCAAATATATCCCCTTGAGGGGATCCTAGGATTGTTGTTTTCTTGCATGATGAGGTAAGACAATCATCCAACAGATGACCGGTTACTATTTCCTAATTCTATTAGGTTATGGTTAGATATGTTACATTTGAATCCTATTCTTCTTTCAAGAGTTATGTGCAGCACATCTGGTTTTCCACCCAGGCCTATTTTATTCTCATAATCACCATCTAACCCAGGTTACATAAATAACTCAAAATAAGAGTGAAGATCTGGATCTAAGTTTTCACGGTCATTGTCCAAGATTCTCAAGCCGTTACAAGACTTTTATTCTTCCTAAGTATGAAGTGACAAAATGTGAAGGCGGATTTAGAAACTAAGCAGTGCTTTATTGGTAGGTCAAAGCAATGAAGGCTTTTCTAACATTGGCAATAAATGCAGAGAAATTGTTGGTTTCTCTCACTTTCCGCTGCAGTTCTTCTATGCAGTCCAAGGGAGGAGAACAAGAGATCACTAGGAAAAAGCAGTGAATTATATTCTTTAAAAAAATTGAAAACAAGACATCCTAACTTGGTATATATCAGTAATGGTGAACCTTTTAGAGACCAAGTGCCCCAAAACCACTCTGTCCAGCCCCCCACCCCGCCCCCCATCCCACCCTACATGCAAGGCACCCACCGCCTCCACGGCCTGCCACAGATCGCCCAGGTGGCCCCGCAACGCCATGGCAGCCACGCCCTCTGCCTGCGCCCCGCAGCATCATCTATGCATGACAGGGCACGAGGGCAGAGTCTTGTCCCCGCTTCCCAGCTGCCATGTCCTTGGCTGCACTGCTCCGTATGGGCCACGCCTGGGGGCGACACTCCTCCGGGTGGGCTGCTGGTGAGGAAGGGGCTGCGGGGGGAGCTGGGGCGATGGCACGCGTGCCCACAGAGAAGGCTCTGAATGCCACCTCTGGCATGTGTGCCATAGGTTCGCCACCACTGGTATATATTATATTATGACCTATTTTGTCATAAAAGTCAGAAAATGACATAGCAAAAAAAATATATCCTGCATTCACTTCTCGTAATTTTCAATTTCAACATAAAACCAAGAAACACATCTGTGGGCAGCTGGATGCTAGCTTCATATTATTGGCTATCTCTTACGCTGTAAGTAATTGCGAAGGGTTTAAATTTTCTTGATGGCTTTCACTGAAATAGATTACTCTATTTTGATTTGGTTTGCTATAACTGTTTGGGAATTTTTAATAAATGGGTCAATACATTCTAAGAAGAGTGGGGTATCTTTTACCATTACTTCTAAACAGCTGCTAGGTAACTGGCCACTGATACTCTACAGTGCAGAAGTAAGGGAATGGATAGCTAACAAGAATGACCTTACAAATCATTCAGAGAGGGTCTCCAATGGTGAATGTCCTGCAGAAGAGGACTTCTTTTCTATTCATCCATCTAGAGAGACCCTTGAAGTAGCCACTCTATAAGATTCTATAATAGTGATGGCGAACCTTTTAGAGACCGAGTGCCCAAACTGCAACCCAAAACCCACTTATGCATCGTCGGGTGCCGGGTGGGTGTGGCCCATTGGCTGGATGTGGCTATTGGCTGGGCGTGGCTGCGGTGGTAATGGCAGACTGGGACTAAAAAGTTCAATCAATCAAATCCAACTTTGCAAGATCTTTTTTTTTCCCCGCGAGAAGTTGAAATTGACGGATTGAACCTTCTTTTTATATATATATATACATGGCGGCAGAAGCCTAAAGCGAAAAGGTTTTATAAAATCCAGCTGAAGGCCTAGAACTGGGGCGACGGCATGCGTGCCCACAAAGAGGGCTCTGTGTGCCACCTCTGGTACCCGTGCCATAGGTTTGCCACCATTATCCTATAAGAATGCAATCACCTTGGTGCTTCGCTCGCAGCATTGCCCCGTTCAGCACACCCTTCCAGGATTCACATAATCCTAAGTGCGTCTGCACTATATAGGGGTCCTTTGGTCCTTGGCTTACGAACTTTCATTCAGTGAACAGCTGGTGCTCAACGTTATGGCCCTTGTGACTGCAATCTGGCCTCTTGGCGACCCATTCACACTTAGGACGGATGGCCAAGCCCTCCATGATCGTGCGATCACCATTTGCAATCTTCCCTTCTTGCAGGGAACATTGCAAGCCACGTCACTCTCTACGCAGCGTGCTGCCCCCCCACCCCACCCTAGAGAGAAGGCTTTCTCTCTAGCCTAAAGAAGGCAGGGCAGGGATGTGCTGTGCAGAGGAACAAAGCCAGAACAGATTTGTTTTTCTGCACAGCCCACCACTTGCCCTCCCCACCCTCAGGCCAGAGAGGAAAACTTTCTTTCTCTTCCTTTCTAATGCATGGTGGGGGAGGGGAGCCAACGTGCTGGGCCAGAGAAAGAAAGCTTAGAACATTTGGGATCCAGGCCCTTCTTCTCTGGCTTGGCATACCATTTCGGTGCATGGAGGGGATCTGCTTGCTTTCTTTTGGCAGACAGCTCTTTTGCTCCATTTGTTGAGTGACCTATAACAGGGGTTGGCAACCTTGGCTCTTTTATGACTCGTGGACTTCAACTCCCAGAATTCCTGAGCCAGCCAGGCTGAGGGGAAAGGGAGAGGTTTCCAAGCTGAGCCATGCTGGCTCAGAAATTCTGGGAGTTGAAGTCCACGAGTCATAAAAGAGCCAAGGTTGCCTAGCCCTGACCTATAACAACCACAGCTGGGAGGGCAGGGACAGCGGTCGCTGAGTGAGATGATCACATGGGTGCCTCATTTAACGACTGCAATGACTTATGACTGTAATGGGCAAGATCCTTTATGGTTGTTACTCCAGGACTACCTGTAAAACCAAACTGCTGCTTCAGTTGTTAAAAAAAAAAAAAAAGGAGAGCAAACCTTCGAGCCAAATGATCTTTTTCAAGCAGGAATGAAATAAGAAATCGGAACAGATCTCACGTAAAGTTGCCAAAACAAAAGTCTTAAATGTTTTAAGCCCAGCTTTGTTTGACAGAAGGCAGGGAAGTTTTGGAACATGGGACATACTATAACCTGATGTATAATAGACTAGTAAATTGTTCAAGCCCTTAGGGGGGAAAAAAACATGGAAAAACCAGAAGTTGCCAAGAGAAGTATATAAAAATTAAGGCAAAAACTGAACTACAACCTTAAAACAATCATTCCAATACTGAAGGCTTTTAGTAGAATGAAAAGGTGATGAGAACAGGTGTGAGCTTATTTTGATATAAAGGAAATTGGAAAATAAGACACTGTTGGAAGTTCTGTACATACCTTCGTAAGCTCCCTCTTCATTTATGGAAAGAGTAAGTACGTATGGCTTTTGGAAATCTTTACGATCAATGCAGCGAAATACAAACTGCAAATGCTTATCTAGATGCAAAAATAGGGATGCATTAAATCTCAGGTATGCCAGATAAAATTAATTTGTATATATTTCAGTGGTACTGCCATTTTATAAAGTCTTAAACATTTCCTCCTTTATTCTCACATTTTAAGAAATTACTAGCAATGAATGTCTAAATAGTGTAGGAAATGGTGTGGAAAACGGCAAACTGTTCCTCCCGGGAGGCTTTGACCAATCACAGCTCCTGGTTTATTTGCAAAGAGACTTATTTCTACTTTGAGAAATGCTCCCTCCCCTGATCCAAATAATCATTTACAAAAGATCAGGAGGAACACGCATAATGCATGATTGGGCTATTGTGTGCTGAAGTTGTTTTTTTTTTTAAAAAAAACAACAACAACCCTAACCCTGAATAATCTTGGTTACAAAATATTAACGCTTCAACTGCAGTTTCAGAAATTCCTTTTAAAGAAGAACAGATGTGTTCAACAGATGTTTGTTCTTTTCTCTGCGTGCACATAAAGAAATAAATGGATGCTAACTGTTTGCCTTTAATAAAGGACAGGCAACCCAAATCCCACAGATGGCTACTATCCCTTTGGAGACTTCTGAAGCCATTTTCTAAGATTTTAAGGATGGAAATGTGAACCGCTTGTCTTCACCAGGGTTTCTGACTCCCAGGTCTATCCTTTAGAGCAGGGGGAGAAAAAGCTATTGGAAGGGATTTAAAAAAAAGGAAGCTGGGTATTTAGGAAGCTGTAATACACACTCACATGTGCTTTTCAGTCCTTGTGGAGACTAGGCAGAAGATAGATGAGCATCCCATTCTAACAAGTCTCTTGATAATACAGTTGAAGGTTTTATCAGCCACAAAAACCTGTCCCTGTTTGACAGAAAGCTTGAGGGCAAAACTAATGTACGTGTGACTGGATTCGCAAACTCAGTTCTAATACTGAAAACCATTTTTTTCATCAAGTCTACGCTCAAAGGGACCCTTGCTTCCTGAGAAAGATTTTATTCCCTATGAAATCATCTGGTGCAGGATTAAGTTTTTGAACTTCATGGTTCTGATCATTATAATAGTAAATGGCATTTTTAAAAGCTTAAGAAGTTACGAAGATTCTTATTGAAGTTCAGACAGAGCAGAGCTCAGTAAAGACATAATGCTCGATATTTGTTCACTGGTTTGCAAAAAACTTATCTTGCACAAAACTCTTGCAAGAAAAATAACCCAGACCACTTAGCACCACAGAAACATTCTAGTCACTCGAGAAAAGCATTATCATCAGAGATATTGTAGGAAGAGCTGAGTTAGTCTGTGAAGCAAAAAAAAAAAAAAAAAAAAGCAAGAAATCTGGTAGCAGCTTTTTCAGCTAAATTTTCAGGGGAAAATTTTCAAGACATGCAAAATGTATTGTTTTGGGGATGAAGCATTCCCTTTTCTTCTGAACTATGCTTTTAGAGATCCCTCAGTTTTTTCATAAATCAAAGGACAGAACTGGCATTTCTGAGTCACGGGGATTCAGTGTTTTAATATGGTGTTGCTTGGAACTTTCCGTCCTCCAAATGATGCCATCTGCACAGCCTTAATTATCATGGTAACTAATTGGAAACCACATGCTAACTGGGACTGAAGCAAGCAATGAGTGGGGCAAAACCTGAAGTGGACAATGACCCCTACTCTGCTTGCCCCCGTTTTTTGACAGACCTCTTCCTCTTTCATTCATTTCCTAAAATTGTTAAGCAGGAGGATGAAGATAAGGGTAACTGGGGGAAGACTGGAGGGCTGAATTGGTCTCTTACAGAGAGCTTTTAAAATGAGGCTGAGCTAGCAGGGATGGACTGCACAGACAAAAGATTGTTGAATGAAATAAGATTTTCCCTTGCAGAAGCCTTTGGCAATATTGCAAATCTGTGTGGAAAATTTAGTACTTTTTAAGATTATTATATAGCATAGCAGCAACTATCATCAGCTTTATAGGAGAAAAGTAAATGATTTTTCCACAAAATGTAACGTCAGTCATTCCGAAGCAGAAATGCGTGCACCAATCTTACCGCATGTTTTCCGTATTTCTAACCCAAGCCTCTCTTTGAATAATTTTTCAGCCTTGTGAAGTCTTTCCTCCATTTCTTCTGCTGTTTTATGCTTTGCTGGGATTTAAAAAAAGAAAAAAAGCTTCAACAACTCCACTACGCTTATGCCTAGGTTCATTTTTTAATAAGCTGATAAATGTATGAAATCAAGCATCTTTTTTTTTCAGCATTAGTACCTGATTTTTTTCAAAAAAAGTAAACAATTTATTTGACAACTTCACCTAATTTATCATTTGCAGTTCCTTAACAGGTTACCTAAATTACATTGCATTTGTGTGAACTACATTATCTGGGATCATGTAATGCTCTTTAGTTACTGAGTTCTGGGAAGGAAACATCACAACAGACAGTTCACTGCTGGAAGAAGACAAAAAATGAATCCAACCGAACATGGATAATAGCCTTTATTAGGATTTCTTTGGTAGTGATAAGAACAAAGCAGACTCACTTCTCTGCTCTTATTTCATTTGCAAAGAGTAACTGGTAGCCGTTTCAGCTGACCAGATCCCTCCTCAGGGACGGGAAGGAGAAGCCCTTGCAGGTTTACCGAGAGGAGGTAGTTTGTGGGACAACATTGCTCAGATCTGCTGTACTTTATTTAGTTGGACAGTGTTCTATCCCAGCCTTTAGCCGTCCTTGTTAAAGGCACAAGGACCAAACCCCTGTTGATAAAATAGGCTGGAGACTTTAAAACAAAACAAATCCCTTTTAATATGGGTGACAAACCTGCCAAATAGTCCAAAACACAAACAGCAAAACTCAATCCAAATAAAAGAAATAGTCCACAGGAAACACGATGCAAACAGAAGAGTAGT